TGTTTACAGTGCCGCTGCAACATTTTAGAAATAGTCAGTTTGAAATTTATTTTTTTTTTAATCTTAAAAACCGACATATATCATTAGCGATTGAAAAAATTGGTCTAAAGAGTTTAGACAGTACTTCCCTCGCTGTCGGAAACTTGACGACTGCATGCCTATTGTGTTTTTTTTCTCATTACATTTTTGTAGTGGGAAATTAAAAAAAAAAATTGCGATGACGTCAACATTTTTGCGAGGACACGTATATCAGTTGGGATAGATGTAGTGTAATACTAAGAATAAAATTATTGTATTCCCAAATTTTCGGGAAAATGAATTGGGTCGTTTTGAATATTGATTTGTTATAATCAATAAAATAACGAAACAATTTTCTCACGTATACGGCGCCAGTGAGAGGCAACTGAAAATCGTTTATGTATAAGCATTCTTAATTTAAGATGACAAGCGTAACAGCATACGTGAGAGTCAAACAGAGAAACTGTAAACAAAACGACCATCGGTTTTATTGCTTCGACTTCCGCTTATTGTATAAAACATTGAGTTTTATTTTAATTTTTGACCGTGGAATTCACAATTGGTTGATTATAAACATGTCTATTCCACATTCGCGGAACCTAGTCATCACACAAAACAAATGCACGTCTGTAATGTTAAAGTCGATGTAAATAAGCATGCTACCCTTATGTTTCAATCGAGTTTTTACTTTAAAAAATTTTGTGTCTACCAAATTGGGTTGGTCCAATGTAATACTAATAATAATTGCCTTTAATTTAATCAATAAAATAAATTGACTTCATTAATTTTTTTGAGCCACCTCTTAAGAAAATCTAAAAACTATGAATATGGAATGATAAATCACAAGTACAAACTCATCATATTTTTTGCATTTTAGATAGGATTTATTCAGCAAAATTTAAGGGTGACGTCATCAATTTTTTTTAGGAGGAATGAACAAATACATTTTGAGCAAAAGTTTGCCATGCTTATAATAACTTTAAAATATCTCCAAGATTTCAAAGCATTCGGTTTTGTAATTCCTGATTAAATCGATAAAATAAATTCACGCATTCATTAATTTTTTTGAGTCACCCTGCATATGCAAATCCAAAAATATGAATGGAATGATAAATCACAAGTACAGACTCATCATATTTTGTACATTTTAGATAGGATTTATTCAGCAAAATTTTGGGGTGACGTCATCAATTTTTTAGGGGGGATGAGCAAATACATTTTGATAAAAAATTTACCATGCTTATGGTAACTTTAAAACATCTCCAAGATTTCAAAGCATTCGATACTGTAATTCCTGATTAAATCAATAAAACAAATTGACGCATTCATTAATTTTTTTCAGTCACCCTGTATATGCAAATCGAAAAAATTTGAATGGAATGATAAATCACAAGAAGAGACTCACCATATTTTGTACATTTTAGATAGGATTTATTCAGCAAAATTTTATGGTGACGTCATAAATTTTTTAGGAGGGACGACCAAATACCTTTTGATCAAAAATTTACCATGCTTATGATAATTTTAAAACATCTTAAAGATTTGAAAGCATTCGGTTTTGTAGTTCCTGAGTAAATCAGTAAAATAAATTTTGCGCATTCATTAATTTTTTTTGTGTCACCCTGTATATGCAAATCCAAAAAATATGAATGGAGTGATATATCACAAGTACAGACGCATCATATTTTGTATATTTTAGATAGGATTTATTCGGCAAACTTTTGAGCTGACGTCACCAAGTTTTTGGAGGGGATAACCAAATATATTTTGACTAAAGATTTATGATGCTCTTTAGAGCCTTAAAACATTTGCAACATTTCAAAACATTCGGGTTAGCAGATTCAAAATTAAATTGCAAAATGTTGTTTTATAATTTTGATTTTTTTTTCAAAAATCTGGACGTTTCGGGTAAAAATTCAATTCGGGGTCGTAAACTACATGTGTGGGACTATGTTATTTTATACAATTTAAAACCCATTTACTATGTACAATTTTGAAGTGACGTCATCGCATTAGTGGTGGGGATGATTAGACAAATTTTGGTTAGCGTTTTACCATCTACATGATATTCTTAATATAAGTACAAAATTTCACAACAATCGGTCGAGTACTTTCGGAGATTATCTGTCATAAAAAATCCGGGACGGCAGACAGACGGACAGACGGACAGACGGACAGAGACAAATGGGAGACCTATTTCTTCGTCTTCTAGTGGTCACGAAAGATCGAGAAAACGTAAAAGTAGAGAGTCGGCCCACGGACTCGATTACAATACTTCCTTTGGTGATGCTCGGGAAGTAAAAATGGTGGAAATTTCAGAGGAAAGCACAAAATAGCTTCCGGGGCTCAGAATCTTCAAAAAATCCCTTTAATTTATTTTTAAACGTGGTCGAAAATTACATAAAGAAAATACATATTCGAAAAATGACCTTTTGGAAAGTTTGTCTAAAAATGTTGAAAGTTTTGAAACAAATCAAGACCTACAATTAAAATTCCATAGCAATTGTTGAATTTTTTACGACATATAAATCACGTTTGCGCAGGAGCGATACTTCTGAAAGTCAAATTTTTAATTAAAACATCTCAATATTCGAAAATGTAAATAAAAATACATCATACCGCTTAAAAAAGGTACGTTTTGCGTGTTATCTCAAAACTTCACACCTCAAACAAATAAATTCCGCCAAACCTTTCTATTCGAGCTCTTTTTTTCAAAAATGATTAACTTTTAAACTATTGCCTTTATTTCGTAACTATCTTAATTTACAAAAATATTTAGGTTTTGCTACTCCCTGCGTTGCTTCGGTTGTCCACAGCACAGCATTTGTCGTTCGTCAGGCGCCAGTTTCCGCGAATTCGTGATGTTTCGATTAATGAGAAGTTCTGTTCTGTTAATGAAAGCAGCGTGTAAAGGGCCGCGAGCATCAGCCAGGTAGGCACGTCGCGGGGTGGATTCTATGGGGAGTGTCGGGGTGGCAACGGCGGCATGCAAAACCACCGTCGCACTGTCGTGTTTTCGCCCCGGATTAGCGCGGAGAGCGAGCGCAGCCTACATTTGCAGATGTAGCTTAGTTAAACGGCGAAACGGAACAATTAACGCCAGTTTGTATTTACGTTTGTGGTGCATGTGTGTGCGATGTATATGTTTAAGTTGCAACGTGGGGGTCTCACGACGCCGGTGCGACGTCGCCGACGCCGAAAGGTTGGCGTTCGTGTGTTCACACTAGGTTTTATGATTATTAGTCGTCTGCTGTACGCTGTACTCTTCCCAACGCCTCTATTCAAACCCCACGTCGGGCTCTAGCAATTTATTATGCGCATACGGACCGTTCGCTAATCCCCTAGAATGCATCAAATCAAACCGGCTGCACATTTTTGCTTGCGAGGGAAGTATTGTAATACCTCTGTCAGCTAGAAACTACGTGCCGAATCGTTTGCTTAAATTTTTCAAAAAATCCCATCATTACTTTGAAAAAATTGAGTACATTCATTCAGTTTCTGGCTTCGGAAGGAAAAACGACAATTTCTTATTAACTAAACGTCACTAATAAAGCATCACAACGATGATTCAGCAATGCCTTTCCGGTCCATTATGTTCGCAACTGCATTAAATCTGCTTAGATTCCTACCGAAATCAGAGAAATTTAAACGCAAATATTTTCAACGTTTCACTCACAATAGGCTTGGACTTGCTGCTACAAAGCCGGAATTCCACCCAGTTGTGTTGCCGAAATATTTTATGAAATTAATTTCCTACTTCAATTCAATCACTCCATTCATTCTATAAGCTTTTACGTATTTAGAACTCCCCAGGAAAGCAAAATTAATAGCTACTTACGGCATTTTCAAGAAAAAACAGATTTCTAATTTAATGGAACATGACGATGATGGAATTGGTTCTATGGTTGTGCTTATTTGTATTCACTTCAAAAACTTATATAGCCCATTATTGAGATACATTCAGAAAAAATTCGCCCACCCACCCACCTCATAAATACAGTCGAATTGTGAAAACTGTATATACTTACAATGATTGCGTAAAGGCACTTAATATTTTGAAATGAATTAATGAATTTTTACACAGGATGAATAAAAAATGGTGACTGCTTTGGCCTCTATTAACCCTCACTTAAAATTTGAAAGTAGTTTCGAAAATTATCTGCCAAATGAAATCTTCATGCGTATAAAGTGGATGTGAAATGTTGGTTGCATAACATGCGGTAAGATAAATTGCCGCCTAGTTTTAGTTTAAAGTTGCAATAATATATATGATTATAGACGAAAAAAATAATTACTGTGTTCTTTTTAATTTTTGTGAAACGCTTCTAAATCAAGTTACCGTCGCCTGTTCACCATGTTCAGATTTATAGCAATCGATAGGAATTTTCGAGCAATTTCGGGTCATAATTACTAAAATATCATCCGAGAACTCGAATGACAAAAATTCAGAGACTTTAATATTTTTAGTAGTAGTATTTAAAGTCTCTGCAAAAATTAAAATAAGATAATTAATTAATTAAGCAAGCACCGATGATTTAGTTATTTTACTATTAATTTAATACAATTAAATCAAGTTGCCCCAAGTCATAGAGCTACCAATATAAAATAAAAGAATCCATCTTAGTAATAACAATACCAACATTAATGCAATTAATACCCAGTAATTTGACCCAGTGTTCCTTCACAAATTACTTTTTTAGAAAATTTAAGTCAATTAAATGGCACATTTATGCGCACCATTTTAACGTTTTGCGATCTACCAATACCCGCGTTTAACAATAACCACCAAATTTCACAAGCTCTCCCAAAATTAATCACGAAATTGTATTAATTTGTTCGCAAAGGCGGAGTTTTGTACTCCTAAATACGTAACATTGTAAGACTGAATCCTATAAAATGAACCCCAACTTTGTCGAGATCTTGCCTAACAAGACCTTAATTACCTAATGAATGATACTGTTTATTAAAAACTTACCTAAAAAAGGCCATTTCCTGTCGGAGTCCAACACGGGAATCTGAAACGACAGAAACCCTTTGAAAAGTCCACAATCACACCCACAAAAATAACATCACCGACAATGTTATCAACACTTTGAACGTTTATAAAACCAGATTGTAATTACTGCAACAAGCAATTAAACACTCGACGTTTCTTAAAGTAATCATTTAACACGGGTAAAAGGAACAAGAATTTTAATAATCATATGAATATTAAAAGAAAATCAAGTAGGTATGATTGTCTATTTGACGTTAGTGTAAAGCAGTGGCGTACCATAAAAAGTGACGCTGGGGAATTTATTTACCATAATTGTTACAAATAATATAAAAAAGTATGTGTCATTTGCGACAAAACGGTGTCAGATATCATCTAAAAGAAAAAGATTGAGAATCAAGGAACAGCACATGTCATTTATTTGTTATTTACATTAATTGCATCGCTAAAACAGTATCAACTGATGGTATACACATTATGCAGGAATATAAAATCTGGCAATACTACTGGAAAGATTCTCCATTTGCGATAAGTGTTAATAAAATTGTCACGATTTTCTAACGAATGTTCAGAGCGCGTTTTCCTCATTTCCTTTCTAAACTACGGAATTTTCAAAATAATAACTAGCGGCTGCATATTCCTAAGGACTTGTAGCACAAACACACTAGTAATTCACAATGATACTCCAATTATTTAAAAACGCGGCCGGTTTTAACCCCTATAATTCTTTATCTCCTATTATAATGAATTTACCCTAATAACTTTTATCGCGTATAGCCTAGTGGTATCTAGAAAATTAATAGCTCAGATATAGGGTATTAAAACATAACCAAGTTAATTAAGTACAAAGCTGCGCCATCTGTGGAGTTTCACGACAATCCTAAGTTCAACAACCACATGCATCACTATAACTACTGGATGAATTCGCGCACTAAATTCTTCAAACGTTTCATAAATAAAAAAGAGTGTCAAGAAAGAAGCATGGGCCTTAGACGCTCATTAAAGCGAATCACTATTTGAGATAATTTCAGACATTACGTGATCAGAATTTTACGGTCGTATTCTTCGTTAATTTTTGAACGATAAGAGTTATATTTACTGCTGTTTTAACTTTTAAGCGCGCAGAATTACTTCCACAATAGATTTTAAAAATAATATACGTTACTTGTCGAATTAATTGAACGGTAGAACAAACGCCTGTTAATGCTAATTGATTTTCGGCATGATTGAACCGCACAATGAATTTAAAAGCAAGGATAATTTCAACATTACAGTGTTCAGCTCGGCTTTATTCAATTTATAAATCTTTCTACGTCACATTACCGTACACTGGAAGAATTAAATTGACACCGCGCTACAAAAATGAATAAAAAAGAAACGTCAAAAGGCTAAACGTATACCGAACAGAGGTGAAATTAAAGGCTGCAATAAATGCAATTGACGCCGAACGAAAAATCGGTCGATGGGGACTCAAAACCCTTTTACAACACTTAACTAGTGAAACTCGGCGTTCAATTAAACATTTTTACTTCCAAAATCATTTTAGTTGATCGGGGATCGCGACAGGCGTCGTTTTAAAATCACATCTTTTACATTGTTGCAAGCAATTAACACGGAGATTAATAATTTAAACTTCGCGGTTTTCCTAGCGACAAACGTGGTTCTGATTGGGTGGAGGGAAAAACCGTGACGTCGACACCACTTTCACGGTACTTGGAAACACCTAAATAAAAGAGCATTACTTTAAAAACCGGATTCCTGTTGTCGAGTGTGTGTCGCTGGAAATCCAAACTTACGCTGCTTTGTGTATTTAAATGAGGAATGTATATGCTGCATATATTTTTAATGAAGTAGAAGTGCACTTTCGCATTTTGGTCGTTGGATGAATTATGAAGCAGACAATTTATGTCTTTTCAGTTGATGTTGCATAAATATGTTATATCACTTGACTACAAATATAAGAGCTTTAGAAATGAGAAAAAACGTTTACTCTACAAATCTGCACTTAGGGAGATAGAGTGCTGATGTTTGTTCGAAATGCGTATCGAATATTTTCTTTTTCGGCAGCGAGTGCTGATGCAACATTATGTTTGAATTGTTTGAAAGTTGAAAATGGATGGGTTGAGTCTTTACGGAAACACCTTAAGTTGTCAATATTTTATTTGTGTTGGATATGCGCCATTATGCTTAAGTTGTAGCAGTTGTCTGAGATGTGGCAAGTTTCGTAAAGTATGTTTGTTGCAGCTCCCGCGGGGAAGCCGACTATCACAACTGCGCATAATACGTCGTCTACAGCGTTGCACATCAGCTGGCGACCACCTCATCATGAGACCATCCACGGAGAGTTCCTGGGCTATCGCATCGCGTATCGTCCCAGGGACAGAGGAGACGAAGCTTTCAAAGAGATATACATCCGGGACCCCACCGTCGAGGTACGCATTGTTTGAAATAAATAAACGAAAGAAATTGGGCAAATACTTCGGAGAACTTTCAGCAGAGTGCTCGATTTCGAACCCATGGGAAATCACAGAAACTCCGCTAAACCTCTTAATCCAATGACCTGTCCATTAATAGGCCGTCGCAGCACCGCCTGAGCACACCGGCCGTATTAGCAACCATATTCCATTTCGTCCCCAATTGCATTCGTCGTTTTTAATTAACCCCTCATTCCACACGACTCCAAACAGATTCGGTCAAAACGAATAGCACCCAACGCAAATGTCGGCTCTCCAGATTGAAACACTCGTGCTCCGCACACCACGTTCCCTCCACAACGCGCTTGTCATTAATTGCCACTCTCACAAACATACTACATAACTTACAATGGCCAAAAACAATAGTAAACCTATAAAACTACAACCGGGTTAACCAGTTTCGCAGCAGTGTTGCCGTTCACAGCCACAAAAGCTTGTCACCTATCTGCCTTTACAATACCAAACAGACTATTCACAACTATACGTAAGTCACTTGAAATCACTACATACGCGAGTAACCAAAAAACTGCGTCTTCCAACTCTTCATAGTCGGGTTTTCCGAGTACCAGCGCCCCCTATATTATTTTTATTTTTTGCCTCTAATCTTATGTTTGTAAAACAACACAAACGGAGGCGTGTTTATCGAAATTTGTTTAACTTGCAGATCTTCTAAAAGTTTATTTTCTTTGCATTTCCATATTTATACCCAAACACTCTTTACCGTAAGCGAAACACGAAAAAACCCTAGTCAAACTATAAAAATGGCATTAAGTTTAGTGGTGCCTCCACCGCATTATCGTTTTTAATTAAACTCCACACTTTAAACCAATCGTTCGAAAACGCCAACTCCCACACTAACGATTCAAACAAAATTGATTTTTATTTTAACTGCCGTACGCCACTGTGCGTTACGCCCATCCATTTTAAGCACAACATAAAATTCACCACCCTCACACAACAAAAGCGGAAGAAGAGCATTGATAAAAGTAAACAGAAACAAATCCGTAATTAACATTTGGGATTGTTCAAGCCCCCTCTTAAAAGCTCCGATCGAGTCGCCCGTGCTTGTGTCAATAAGAAAAGACGCAAGACGCAAATTTTGATTTTCTCATTTAACACGGTCGATACGAACGAACAAAAAATATCAAAAACAAAACACCGGCGTTAATTCTGATTCAACCAATAAAACCAAGTGGACCACAATAATTTAAATTTTTTTAGCGAGTTGATTGAACTGGAACGAATAGCGATGCTCTTTGTCGGGAGCATGAGGCGCGTAATGTGCGTATTTTGGGTTGCATAACTCGCCACCGTTATACAAAATTATGAAATTTATGTAAACAAACTCATTTCTTGGCGTTGTTTAAATTAGAAGCACACGTTTTTATCACGCCTTTGCATAATTTTGGAATTTATGACCGTCTGACAAGTTTAATATAGCAACGTCGTAATAATAAATTGGGAGAAATTCAGATCAAGCTAGAAAATAATAAGATAAAGGTTCATCAAGGCAGTACTTCCATCAGAAATAAATGTTTACTTTTTCACAAACGCTTTAACAATAATAAATGCCGCAATAATAACGAATTTCGATCGAATTTATTGCATTTTAATACATTTTAAACTCAGTCACCGAACTATGTATTAAAATTTACAGAAACATTTGATTTTAATAATTATTATACAGCCTCATTAAAATTAATGAATTTAGTAGAGTTTAAAACCTACGCATTGACACATAAATTGGAATTTTTATATAGTTTCAGTTTATTTGTAAAACGGATTAAGAAATGTAATCTAAGTAACCGTTGAACCAGAAGCGTTTGTCGTGTTCTTACTTCAGGTGTTCACTTCGCTTGTCAAAAATGACATAATAAGCCTAACTCACATTGGATTCTCATGGTCACAATCAATTATTCATAAACTGAAACAAAATTTCTCGATTTAGGTTTGGCATAAAACATTCAGATCCATGAAAGTCGAACGTTTCAAATATTTCACTTATTTACTTTCATAAAGGTATTTGAAATGTATGGAACATGTCTAAGTCCAGACATTTTCGATTTCTGGAATCTATATATATATACACTTCCGTTAAATAAAATGTCACTTTAGTATTATTTTATGTCAAAAAGAGGCTGAATTGACAAGATAAATATAGCAATATATCATTTATATTTGCCGGATAATGTAAAACATGAATATAAAGATTAATCGGGAATAATGTATTTTCCAGCAAAACATAATGACATATAATAATTGGATACACACCATGATAATAAAATAAAAGTTATGACAGAAAAGTTTGTGGTGGTCATAAAACCGTCTTTTGCCAGGCAATCATAACGTGTTACTCATTTTCGTTGCGACGCAAAAGTTACTCTTTTACATATCTTTTATATGGCTTATAAATTCCATCAAGCTTATTTTAGCATACAATTTGTTTGGGCTGGAGAGCTTAACATATAAATTTACCAACATAGGAGTAAAACTGCAATAAAAGTAAATACAAACACTACTTCATCACCAAGTGACCCGTAGCATACGAAAAAGGTTTTCCCTTCAGTTAATGCCTCTGACGCATAAAAAAGACTTACGTTCCTTGTGGCAATCTCTATTGTTCCCCCACTTAATAATAACGCAATTCGGAGACATACTCGTAAAAATTTTCTGCGACCATCAACAAGTGCTAGTACAGAGCCAAGTATATGTTGAAGATGTTTCAAGAACAAATGTGTCAGAAGCGACTACCTCGCCTGTTACAGAAGAGAATAAAAGAAACGATGATTTAATTCTTGTTTATTATTGCCTATATTGATTCGTCGTGTCGGTGAAGTTTCCATTTGTGGAACAGTAGCTGAGAACGTGACATTTTTACGTTTTTGTTTTTTTTTACGAACTTTATATATTAGGAAAAGAAAGCGTCAAGTTGTATAGTGGGGGAATTATTAGTTTCTGCGGTGGTGTGTTATTGACTGGGTCTATTTGTTATATATTAAATGGAACGTTCTTCCAAGTGACAAGTGAGTAGGGGCCGGTGGAGTAGATAGAAACAGACCTAACCGAAATAATTTCTGGAGAAAACCATAGACGTCACACATGCGAGATGCGAGGAGGCAATTGGAACGGTGGCAGAAAAGCCGCCTAGCAAGCTCTATATTAAGCAATTAAAGTAAATTAAAAATAAGTAATAACGGACTAGACGGAGCGAGCAAAGCTCGCGACAATGAAACGCCGCCTGTAACCAGAGCTAATTATTTAACTGGATGTATCTGTTCTCGCAAGCGAGTAGGGGTGGGTGATGCGGGATCTACCCGGCGTAAATTTCTGGAGTCAGCCTACACGAAAACCATAGACGTCACACATGCTAGATCTGTGATATCGCAATTGTAGCGGTGACACGGCAACGCGACGTGCTGATTTAATGTGCGGCCATAGGGTTGCGGCACGCGGCTTTAACGAACTTAATGGAGTAGTGGAGAGTTCGGGCAGAGAGCCGTAAAGTAGCAATAAAGACGGTCACATTCATTACGATTTCCTAACATGAATTAGCGGCGGGTGTGCAGCACTCCTTCGACGCTTCGCCGATTCTGCCGATACCGACAGTTCCTTGTGGACCGCTTAAGCACGCCGTAATCGCACACGTGTTTATTTGGGTCGGGTCGCCAACTTGGGACTCATTCCTCTACATTATCTCTTATTGTTCTAGAGCCACACCATACAGAATTTGGAGACCTACACCCAGTACTTGGTTTCGCTGCAGGTGTTCAACCCGGAAGGCCCCGGGCCGAACACCACGGTCCTGGTCATGACGGACGAGGGAGGTGAGTACGGGTACCACGAGTCAGGAAATTAGCGACGCTTCGACTGTGCCACCGCGAATCCTTACGTCGCCCAGCCGTGACGTCAAATTTAATGGCACACGATCGTTGATTCAACGGCAATCCGTTTGCTAGTTTGCAGTAACTTACGATATTATTTATAGTGCGCTTCGTATTAAAACTGTGCCCGAGTATCTCGGTCGCCACATTTCATAAACCGGCGACAGTCACTCGGGTCCCTTACGCTTTCGACAATCTCCAGAACGAGTTTAGGTGACAGCGTAGCTGTTGGGGATAATAAGTGTTTTTTCTTAGCGATGGGCTTCGTAAGCAAAATTTTTCCGTATGTTTTAGGGGCTGATAGAGTGGAGTTGGTGTTAAATGCGATTATCTTGGAAATTAATCGGGCGCCACGTCTTCTAAGCTATTAATGAGATCTTCTTGAGGGAGAAGTGGTTGAAATACTTCATCTGATACTTTTAGGTATCATTCGGATGCGCTTATTCAGCTGGAGCAGCGTAATCCCCGGTCGGTTGAGTAAAACTAAGCTTTCAGGATATCATTTGCAGAATTGCCAGGCTCATATGGAGACCTGGCTCGGACGTCTCATCTTGTTTGGCCCCGGGTCTGAGACTATCATTCGATCGGGGCGATTGATTAGGGAAGGATACTCGGACGGTCTAACACGTCCATTATTTATACGGAGTTCGCGTCTGTTGGTACTTTTAACCCCGAATTTATATATATCAATGAGCGTCGGCCTCAGGGTAAACACGCGAGAAAATCCTTAATTTGCCGTCGCCGGTAGACGTGCGTTACTCACGCTATTCCATCTTCGAAATTAGAGTCGCCACATAAAAAGCTCATTTTTCCGTAAATGCCGAAGCCATAATAAATTCCCACAATCAAGATGACTTAAGAGACAGCAGTCTACTAACTCAACTCTTAAACTTTTGCACCATGTGCTCAATCCGCTCCCGAATGAATCAATACCCTAGTCCCTAAGTATGCTTTCGGGACAAAGCTAGAAGCGCTTGCGCTCCCTATCATTGCACTACGAGCCCTCAGCACTCATTATTCCCCACATGATACTTTCATTATCGCCGTTTCCCGCGTCGGAATTCGAACCATGCGCCTCGGCCGAGCAGGTCCGCCTCGGCTCACGCCTCGGAAGCAATTAAAATAACAGCGGCAGTAGCAAAACGAGGCGAGCCGCGTCCGTGGCTTTTGTTTCGAGAACAAAGGCTTCGCGGAGCAGGTGGAACGGGGCAGCGAGCGGAACAAAGTAGCGGGTAATGACAGCAGATGCAACCTGCAAAGCATGCGACTGCGAGATGCTGCAGCGAAGCGGCGTGCGAAGAGCTGAAGACGGAGCAGGAGTGCGTTTGCCGCCGCAGGATCTCGGTCGCGCAGAACGTGAATTTCCCTCTCCCGCTCGGACCTGCGCCTCGCACTCTGCGACTGTCGCTTAACACTCCGGTCTCCCGGTCATGTCGGTCTCTCGCCCTTAGCTCCTCTCATCCCCGCTTGTTGTTTGCCGTGCTGTCACAGTTCTGGGTGGTGCTGGTCGGTTCTTCGCGATTTTCGGCTGTTAACACCAGAGATGCATCTTCGCCGGAGGATTTCGATGACGCCGTCGTCCGTCTCGTAAACATGTCGTGTTACAATGGAAACTTTCTCACAACAACCAATTAGTACTTCTGAGTGAAGGATTCATTGTGTTAGGATGGGTCATGTTGTTTATTTACTGGTCGCGATTTCCGGAATCGTCGCCGCAGAACCCACTACGACAGAATATGACACCACGTTAGACAATAGAGGTACTGATCTTCATGTTTATGTACCCCATCTAACCTGTCCAACTCTGACAAGCCTAACCTGAACCAGTCTTGACACACCTACTGTTTCTTCTAGTGCCCAGTAAGCCTCAAGACCTCACGGTCTTGGACATCACGTCTGACACCATCACGCTCAAATGGACCCAACCTGAAAAACTCAATGGGGCCATCGAGGGCTATCGGGTCTACTACCTGTACAACAACCTCACTGACATGAACCGCGACAAGATCAAACCCAGTTCGCCACACATCTCGTACAATTTAACCAACTTAAGTAAGTTAAATTATTGCCACAGCCTACTTGATCTCACATTCGCTTCCAGCACCCTTTACCGACTACAAAATCTGGGTAAAGGCTTTCACAAGAAATCACGAGGGTGAACCGTCAGATCCCATTTTTAACACGACAGACATCAGCGGCCCAAGTCCTCCAAGAATATTGAATTTGACATGCCAAACCCAAGACACGATATTTTTCCAGTGGGCTAGACCACAACGCTTTTATTATTCAATTGATTTTTATTATATTTACATCAGCTTAAATAACCGCCTTTGGAAAAATATCACGTTAGAAGCGTCAAAGGACCATTTGGAGACTTCGGTAAGTCATTTGTTTCCTAACCTATACACACTCGATTGTCACAGAATTGTGGGAATTAGTATCAGTGGTCAAATGCAAATGCGGTTTTTTTTTATCAAGCATCAAATCAGTTTGACGTGACGTAATAGTGACGTCGTGTCAAAATAAAGGTAAATGACATGAATATAATGACGTCACCTAAAGCATCAAAAACTGAATATTTCATCAAGTCACTGAAAATTGAATGCGTAAAATGTGAAAATACGAGTGACCATATTTTATTGATCTTGCATTCACGCCAGTGTCAAGGTCATATAATAAACGTGATTAGTACACAGAATTAGTTAATATTTATGTAATAACTATAATCTGAATATTTAAAATAATCGCTTTTCATGCTGTGGTAATTCCTGGAGAAAATACACCTGCCTAGATAAATTCACGCAGTTTATAGATTTTCGCTTGAATGCCCACATTTTATGAACAAGAAAATTTAAGAAAAATCTAGGGTATCAAGGTCGAAGACAGAGACGGAGCGAGAAAGAGAGATTGCAAGAGGAACGTTAAGAACAAAACTTATAAATATTTATAAAATACAAATTTGTAAGTCATATAAGGTGCTAGTATGATAGATGTTTCTAAATTTTTTGTGACCTTGATATGATGACGCCATTTAAAAAAAACTTTCGTTGAACTACTATAGCAGTGAAATTAGAGGCATTTACATTTTTTTAACTTACAAATCGACATTTATGTACATAAAGATCACTATCTGCTTCCTTTGGTGATCTTTGAAGTTTGAAGTCGCAATAAGTGTGACTGCCCTGTTTTAGTATGAAACGGCGAAACATATTCCGATCAAATATAATAGTTCGATAGGATCTGCAATAAAGATCAAGTTTGAAACTATGTAAAAATGTATAATATGGTATAGAAATGCGCATTGTTCACCCATTTTGACTCATCTCTGCGGTTACCAGCCGGGAAAATACTTTGTTTGTGTAATATTGTTGACTATTTGTACTTCTGTTAATGTCGTTATTAAATATTCATTTACATATTTGGAACATTAAGCGGGACACTATCTGATAAATAAAATCTGAGGCTTACAACTTTGATTTAATTAATAATCTGACTTTTGCTCATCGGATGTGTGGATTTGATACGCAGTGCTAATCAGGTTTAGAACATCCGTTATTATTGTGTGGCTTGTAATATTTTCCTCTATAACTGCGATAATTTTAATCAGTAATCACACATGGGAAAATTCGCAGCCGCGTTGACTACAATATATAATAAATGCGTATTTGATACGGCGGTAAAGATGTGTGTAAAAACACATTTGAAATAATATAAATTTCAATATTAACCCGTTATCTACGTGAGAAATGTGATCTCGTTAAACCTTACACACCATTGTTTGTTATCAGTAAATCAGCAGTTCCATATTCCAAACTTCGTTTATTTATTGACAGCACAAAACCGCGCTGTTTGTTTTCACTGCTATCTTTCATTCAGTAGTATTGAGTCTAGAGGTATTTGTTGATACCAACTGATTTCAAGCCAATTCCAAAGAAAACATTCGTTGTTCCTTATTGTACAGCTACATCTACATATAACAGCGTCATTCTCGAAGATCAACCGCTTAAATGTCAGGTGTTACAAACAAATCAAACGACCCGACCAATAAAAGTTAATGGAATCTAATGATCCAACTTGACCTTCCCTGGAGGTTTTCGTTATGAATAAATTACACCAGTTAGAAGCTGTCACAATCAGCACAATGTGGTCTTCCTCCACTTGCAATATCCGCTATTTTCCAGTACTCCATCGAAAACGTGACCACCAACATCGAGTACCAGGTCCGGGTGCAGGCTTCCAGCCGCAGTAACCGGACCCGGCGAATCATCAAGGGCCCCTTATCCGAACCGAAACCAGTATTCATGCGCTTAGATTGCGACAAAATGCAAGAGTACATGCGGCACACTACGCACGAGCTAAGTGCCGGCGTGTTGGCCGGTGTCATTTGCGCCAGCTTTGCATTTTTGTTGGCGGTATCAGCTTTTATTCTCTGGAGGTGTGTATAAATAGCTTAATTAATCAGTTCCCCCTTGTAATAAATGCGGCATCCTGTTTACTTATACAAATGGCGGTGCTTTGTTTCAGAAAATGTTTTCGCGTCTCGTATTATTACTTAGACGACCCGCCGTGTTCGGTACCGACGGCTTCGCTGGACTGGAATGCGCCCCCTGAAGGCAACAGCGAGCACAAGGGCGCCATACTGGTGCACATGTTCCCGAAGCATGTGGCGGAGCTGCACGCTGACGGGGATATCGGGTTCAGCAAGGAGTACGAGGCGATACAGGCGGAGGCCACCACAGATGAACACACCTCGGAACACTCGCAGCATCCCGATAATCGCGTCAAGAACAGATATCTTAACATCATTGCTTGTAAGTGGAACGAATCCTACCGACTGCGCCGATTCTGACACCTGGGTTGTAGATGATCACAGTAGAGTGCAGTTGCTGCAGATGCCGGGCCAGAAGAAGAATATTGATTATATTAACGCGAATTATATTGATGGGTTTCAATGGTCCAAGGCTTACATTGGCACTCAGGGCCCTCTTCCGTCTACGTTCGATTGTTTCTGGAGAATGGTGTGGGAGCAGAGGGTTAATATCATCGTCATGATTACGAATCTAGTGGAGCGAGGCAGAGTAAGTGGCGTTTTTATACATTTTGCCATATTAATGACTAGGTAGGGTAGTGATATATTTCATTATTTTGCTAGGATTCTCTAAAATATCCATTCGCCAAGTTTGGTTCAGACCGGTTTGAGGTATTTGTGTGACCCTTGAGTTTACTAATGTCACTACTTACTAGACTAGAGATTGGTTTTAATCTGTTTGCGGACACTTACTAAAATCCGTTTGCGTTATTGTTAATATCACTTTAGATTAGTTTATTACTTTGCAGAGGAAATGTGATATGTATTGGCCCAAAGAAGGCACAGAAACGTATGGTGTTATCCAAGTTAAACTAGTCAAAGAAGACATTATGGCAACATACACAGTGAGAACTTTGCAGATACGGCATCTTAGGGTAGGTCACTTCTTACTTAAGTTACACAGTTAAGCTCGTTCGTCGTAGATTAAGAAAAAGAAAGCAGCAATGGCGGAAAAATTGGTTTACCAGTATCATTATACTAATTGGCCTGACCACGGAACACCCGATCATCCACTCCCAGTATTACACTTTGTCAAAAAGTCGGCAGCAGCTAATCCTCCTGATGCAGGACCAATCATAGTTCATTGCAGGTGCGTAAATTGCGCATGTTCATTGACCCTACTTAAGTAACTCGTGTTTCAGTGCTGGTGTCGGTAGGACCGGTACATACATAGTTTTAGATGCTATGCTCAGACAAATCCGCAGCCGTGGTGAAGTCAATATTTTCGGTTTCTTACGTCACATTCGCTCCCAAAGAAATTTCTTGGTACAGACTGAAGAACAATACATATTCATTCATGATGCATTACTTGAAGCTATAGAGTCAGGAGAAACTAACATTAGTCGCGAACAATTCCCTCGTTACGTTCAGATGCTGCAGAACCTAGACACCGAAGAAAAGAGCGAGCTTTGGAAGTCTGTTGAAATTCAATTCAAAGTAAGTACCGTCGTAATCCCAATATGATCACTAACTCTTTTGTTGCACAGCTGGTCACGAGTTTCCAATGTAAAGACTTCAATCTCGTTTCGGCAAATAAAGTGATAAATCAGCCAAAGAATAGAACAGCTAATATATTGCCGGTGGAAAGTTCCCGTGTACATTTAACTCCCAAGCCGGGAGAGGATGGATCCGATTATATCAACGCCACCTGGATACAAGGTTTCCACAGCTTACGCGAGTACATCATCACACAACACCCTCTGAAAACTACCATTAAAGACTTCTGGCAGATGGTCTGGGACCATAACGCACAAACCATTGTGATGCTTAGCATTATCGATAATCAAGAATTTGAGGTCTTCTGGCCAATGGATCAAGAAACTGTCGATGCCGAATCTTACAAAGTCAAATTAGTTAACGAACAAGCTCAGTCAACCTACGTCACTAGAGACTTCACCATGCAGTCACTCCAAGACGACTACGAAATTCCAGTCAAGATGATCCATTGCACCAACTGGCCGCAGCATTGTTGCAGTATTGCCGAAATCTACCATCTACCAAACACCGTTCTGGATATGGGCATCCAAAATGGACCTATCGTTGTCGTCGACAAGTAAGTTTTCGTTTTTAGGCGGTGTGGATTTTTGTTTTTTTTAGTGACGCATGTATAAATGGCGCAGCTGAGTGGAATTGAGGGTGGCGTGTGAGGTGGTTGTTTTTGTTTCAGATTCGGAGGCACAGAGGCCGCTTCCTTCTGTGTGTTGACGACATTGAAGAAGCATCTGATGTACGACAACCACGTGGATGTGTACATGTACGCAAAACTCTACCATAACAAAAGACCGGGAATTTGGAGTTCCTGCGATGACTACCTGAGGTTGCATTTGGCCGTTCAGACGCTTTGCAGTCCGCCAGAGGGCACTCCCGACCTGTATGCAATGACAAACGGGGCGGTGAATGGATCGTTGTCGAATGACTGTGTTCGAGTACCTCCTGAAGGTATGGAAGCAGTGGGGCCGCGGCTCACCGTTGCTTAAGTTGCAGTTATAGTGTAAATATATGTGATTATCGTAATTGTTATAATGTCCATATTTGTGCCACTGGTGGCAGGTGTAACTGAAACTCATGATTAAAACGTACTTCTCTTCTCTAGCTCAATCATTTTTTTATATTAAGATAGGTTTCAAGTATCAGAGAGAAGTATGGGTGATCGAAATGTTACTGCTGACTCACTGTCATTCACCTATCATCCTCAGTGTAAGTCAATAGCATCACATAGTTATGTTGTTAGACTGATCAATGTAGGTATAGAGTGTATTATGCCGTTAAGATCAACTCTAATTCATGTTTGGACATCATAGGTAGTCTTATCAATCTGTAGTGCCACGCTTAGCTTGCTATTGTCTCACTGTGCAGTTTCTTTGTCTTTTTTTTTTTAACATTTACATGAATCTTTGTTTACTTACAGAAGCCCCTTTAATATCCCAGGATGTTACGAAGTGTAAATGATTTCATTTGAGTTACATTGTTGCATATTTCATTATTAAGTGGACAATAGTGCTTCAAATGGAAAAGGTACTAATTGATGTTGATAGAGGCCAAGTGAAATGTGATGCACTATACAGAATTTCGTTTGTTACAATAATTTGTCTCCTCCCATAGACTCAAGATGTATAAAAATGTAGTTATGTGTAAAAAAGATCTGCGTGAATATGAATCAGATATTTATATAATATGTGCAGTGTAGAATAATTCAGTATTTATGTAAGTGTATAGACTTAGTTTTTGTATGATATTGATTTATAACAAGAGTACATCGATCATAAACATTTTGACTTGTTCTGGACCAATTTAGTGGATAAATATAAACTTCTGGTCCTTCAAGACATGACTGCTCACAAGGTCCTGCAGGGTGTCTACTGACCTTGGCATGGCACTTCTCGTTTTATACTGTAGCCAATCAGCTTATCAAATAGAATAGTATCCGTCCACCAGGCGATCTTAACACTCAACCCAAATCAATAGACACCTTTCAAGACAATATATCATGTCCAAAGCATATACTGGATGGCTGATGAGCTCTTTCATTTGTGATTTTACTGAATGTCGTTGATTAAACATCAACTTGTTAAATATCTCCACTTCTATTTTTGATTGTTCGTCGTCGTAGCACAAGTTGATGTTCAATTCTACTCTTAACTATCAAAACGGAGTGTCAGTGTTTACATCATTTTTAAACAAACATAAATTTTATTTTTAACTGTGTAAGTCTGTATAGTCCTAATGATCAAAGTGTAGTACTCTTTAAAAGTTTTTCATCACCTTGTGTATGTTGCATTATATTTGTGTTAAATAAAAGAATTTTTAATAACGACGCGTTCTTAATTTCACCTTCACATTTTCCACTTTTATTACATCTAACTCAGCTGATTCAACCATAAGTGCAGATGATGGTTTGCGACTAAGAGCTATTAACAATCTCTGAGACACTGAATAATGGAAAAAGGACACTTGAAATCCGGAATGTCTGTTTTGAGCTAAACAGTTGATGGATTTTCTCCTATTCTCCAATACCACACTATTTCAGTCCCAGTGTCAGCTTTTTTGAGTACTATAATTGGACAACAAGTTTAAATCAGGACAAAGGGCGACAGAAAGAAATGGAGTCAAATATTTACAGGTCTGTATCAACACCAACAGAGTTGAACAACGAAGAAAACAAATCCAGAATACAAAGATAAAACGATAAAAAAAACAAGTTCAAATGAGAAAATCGTTTAAAAAAGAAAATATGTGTAATACTTTGAAGAAACCTCCAACAAAAAGTAAAATAGAGCTATGTAGTTGCTGAAAACCTAAAAAATAACAAAAGTGTAGTAGAATGGTCACTCAGCAGCTTGAAAAACAAGGCTGTGTAAAAGAAACTAGACCTAGTTTTATATTCACTATAATAAAGTATAGACTTCTACCGGAACACATACTTGTACAAAGTTATGAGTACTTTAAACTCAAGATCATGTTTAGAGAAAATGAGGTCATGGCAGAACAGTAGTGCTAATAAAAAGACCTGTAAGAAGTACTGGAACTAGAACATACAAAAGGAAGCTAAATAACGACAAATGGTTTCTACTGCATGCAATTTACTCTACTTTATGATGAATAAAACTACATTTAAAAAAGATTTTCAAAAACCAGAGGCAGAAATTAAAACAAAATTAGCACCATTGTAATGGCTAAAAAGATATGGTGTATTGTTGGTTGCCTAGCTAATCAATGATTCTAGATATGGATTTATGGGTTTTTATGGCGTGTTGATATTCATTTATCTCACTGAGAGCCACATACTTTACTTTTTTTCCGAATCTGAAAGGTTTAAGGAGACCTAACACCAAAGAGACGTTTGATTGACTAATACTGACGCCTTAAAGGATTATTTTTTTGCCCGAAAACCCTTATCTTCAAGACATTTCTGTTAATACAATGAGATGTAATGTACATTTACCTGCATTTTGAACCGATAAATAGGTGACGTGGACTTTAGGGGTTGGAGCTACCCTGTATATAAAATTACCCACTGGAAGAGTAGGAAATAAATGACCCAGTCGCGCCCATTTTCGAATGTTTATGGGGCTTTTGCGTGCTTTCATCGATAAAGTAGCACCCAAAACAACCAACTTTCAAAGACGAAGAGGTTTTTAACCTCAAACATTATTATTAAGAAGAATTTTCCCGTATTTAATTAATTAAAAAAAAATTAAATTCATTTTACATCATTTATGCCGTTGTTAAACATAGTTGCCAGGAAAAAGCAAATGAACATCGGTTGCCAAGGGTTTGTTTAGTTGACAAGTCAATTTTACAAAGTGCTTTACTTTTACCTTTTCACGGCTTTTTTTGTAAGTAAATCATGCCAAACCCCCATGAAACCTATTAAAAAACGTTTTCCAGGCCTTATTTTACCCTTTCAGATAATTTGATTCAATTTTCCCGAGATTTTTTTGTTCAAAATCTATCCCGAAATGGAAAAGATCAACATGCAGAAGAAAACTCTTATTTTCAACGTTCTCCACTTCTTAGGTCATGAAATCGGGGCTTCTGACCTCACTGAGGAGAAAAAGGAGTCCATAGAGGTAGCTATTCAATGCCTGGAAACTGCATATGAGATAACCTCTGAGGATCGTCAAAATTTGCACAAAGTGGATTTATTGAACCAAATCCGGGTTCTGGCTCAGGTAAGAGGCGTCTAGGGGGTTTTGGTCGGTTTCTGAGGCGATTTGTGGTCACAGGGCATCACTGAAGAGCAGCAGACGGCTGCCGAACACCATAAAAACCTGGGGAATAACGCTATGAAAAATGGCGAGTACGAAGAGGCTGTGAGAGAGTACACAAAGTAAGTAGGCGGTTTGAGCAGTGCAGGGGTGATAGAGAGCGCTTTCAGAGCAATAGAGTCCAATCCAAAAAACGCTGTGTATTTTTGCAATCGAGCTGCTGCGTACAGCCGCTTAGACAACAACGAGGAGGCCATCAAAGACTGCAAACAGGCGATAGTGTTGGACCCCACGTACGGGAAGGCCTACGGGAGACTGGGGATCGCGTATTCCAACCTGAATAACTGGGCGGAGGCTGTGAAGGCGTACGAGAAGTCACTCAAGTACGATCCACAGAATTCCGGATATCAAGCGAACCTGCGGCTGGCCCGCGAGAAACTCATCGATTCCATGGGTAAGTTGGTGACTTGTGAGGCCCCAAAGTGACCATTTTTTTGCAGAGAGTGCAGCGCCGCCCCAGCATCGCCCCATAGATATCACCCAGTTCATCAATAACGAGTCATTTCTACACATGGCTCGAGAAATGATGGCGAATCCGGACTTCCAAAATATGTAAGTATTTCGGTATAAAAAGCTCTATATTTGCAATAAAGTTACCTGTGCTGTGTCTTATTTTTTTAAACGAATTTATAGAATGTCGGGCATTATGGCAATGAGTCAGTCAGGGGACACAAATTTCGAGGCCCTTTTCCAAGCGTAAGTTTTTATATAAATAGGTGGTTCCTGTGCATCCTTCCAGTTCCCGAGCTCCTAGACCCTCACAAATTGTATGATCGTTCCACTGATTTTTTTTTCTCGTCTAGGGGCCAAAATCTAGCCACCCAGATGCAAAACCAGGACCCGAGGTTTGTGGAAAACTTACGAAGACAATTTGATCCTCAGAACCCGAACAACCCGAGTCCCCGGCGTGATGATGGTTCATGCAGTGACTCCTAAGTAGAGTTTCCTTTTGCTTGTTTTTACCGTTTTTTTTTTATCAAAATTTGTAATGATTTTATTAACTTCCTCCGTCATAGACGAAGTGTCTAAATTTCAGTGACTTGTCAAATTTAAATTATTTTTCGGCTACTTTTTCTAAATTTATCAACTTTTTGGCTAATAAATACAAAAACACTATTTTCTTGTTATTAATTTTAGCTATATGTTTGTTGAGTGGTATGAAGTGAACAATAAAGTAGCAAATGTTTCTGTGTACTGGATGCCGGTCGTGCAACGGATCACTCTACGAAAAACAAGCCAGTAAACAGAAAATTATATTTTCACATTGTTACTAGTGTCTTGAAAGAATTTAATAATAAAATGTTAAGCTTGTAGGTAATTGTTGGCTAAAACGAAGACTGTCTTCTTTGTTTTCTGGGGTATTTTTCTTTTTACTTCACTAGATTGATTTCGAGTTTTGTTCTTTTTATTTTTATTTTAATTTTTTTCCAATCTTTTCTGGGGGATAGCACTTTTTGTTAGTCTTATTGTGGTTGATATTTTGTTCTCGCATTTTATTTATTATTGTCTTTTTAAAATATATTATATATTTTCGGTAAAATGTTGGAGTCTGTTCTATTATTCAATAAGTGATTTTAATCAAGAACTTGCTGGTTTTATTTTACCTTCATTGATTTTTCCATTCCTTACATTCTTTTTAAAACATTCTCCTTTGAATCATAACCAATACCCAATTATTTTAAAGTAGACCGTTTTTAGCCAAGGAAAATTAAAACACGTCTCAACTCTTTGGTAAGCACAAAGAAATAACTTCTGATTTGCGATTTACCACGTTTACAACTTCTAGAATTTTGTAGTACCATTTTGATTTTTTTCCATAATTTAGATAGCATTGATTCAACAAAATCCTGAGATGACGTCATCACTTTTTGGTGGAGATGAATGAACAGATTTTGGTAAGCATTTACATATTCATGATATTCATAAAATACGACTAAAGTTTCTCAACAGTTTATCCAGTAATTATTTATTATTAGTAAATCGCCAATGAAAAGGACCTACCTTTTCATTTTCTAGAAGCCATGAAATGTTGTTTAGGCGTCCGACATAAAAATTAAATTGCATATATCGTTAAAATAAAATTATTTTCCAAGTCATTTCTCTCTAAATAAAAAATGTAAAGTAAATACTCTCCAATTCCTCTATAACTGTACACACAGATATTGATGTAAGTGTCAACAGCGATAAGATAAATAATTCTAACATACGTATATTTTTTAGGAAAGTATATTACGTTTTGTTCACACGTTTCAATTCTGACTGAACATTTTTTCGTCTGATACTTTGTACTTTTAACCCCACTAAGTAGTGATCATAAATAATAACGCTAAAATTGACTCAATTTTCAAAATAACCTTTGTTTCTCGTATGGTTATGAGTAGGTGGCTTGGACAGTTTGCCAGAATCACATACAAAAGCTAATTGTAATCAAAATCTAAAATGCAGCCAACTTCGCTCTTCTTATATTTCTATTTTCGCAAATTTCAAACAAACGTGATGATTTATTTTGTAAATATCACGCAGTTGATGGCCTTGATATACAATTACCTCCACGCGACACACTAAATGAGGAAAATTCTCACTGACATCCTTTTTTAAGTATTGTAATTTGATCTATTTACCGAATGAGTAATTCCATGTTTCGTCGACATTTCATAGCTTGTAGAGTATAAAAAAGTAGGTCTTCCGTTTCCGTCTGATTGTCGTTTGTTGTCTATTGGCGATTTTATTAGATAGAAAACTTTCGAACCTGCTTAACCCTCGGATGCCCAAGCCTGGGTCAAATTTGACCCACGAACCACTTTTTTGTGATTCTTTTCTTCAATCTCTTAAATTTTTTCTCCTGTATTTTATTTTTTGCCTGTTTTGGCGTGTTCAACAATATGTGAATACTTGCCGCCACTTGATTTTAGTTACATGGTTGTTATCACATATTTATAGCAGTGGGTCAATTTTGACCGACTTTTGGTCTTCAACTTATAAATGTTTTAACAAGATGTTAAATGAGTAGGCATGTAATAGATAAACAAAAAGATGGCCTTTTGTTCAGTTTATGAATTGCCTAAACCTTGCGGCCATAAATGCATACATTATATATATATAAAATGTAAAACCCACTTTAAATACCAAGTGTTTCTTGAAGAAGACGATTATTTCTCAAAGAGCTCGGTCTTCAGCTATTGAAGCCTCCCATTCAAAGACGGGTGGATAATGGATTTAATTGTGTTCCTCGATGTGTATAAATGGTAATTGGTACTGTAGTTGATACAAAAATAGTTACAAGGAAAGGGAATCCAGAAACGAAAAAAGAGAAAAATGTGTGTTTTCTGTCAGTGATGCTAAAAAATATTCTGACAAATGCGGACAATGCGGCATTTTTTGTTGCAAGGCACAAGTAACAATAGATGTGTTAAAAATCTACCAAAACTGTACACAATAAAACTATCGAATTTTAAGTATTTTATTGGTACGTTGTCTTAAAGCTTAACTGTTGTTTTTTATAAACACATATTTTTTTTACTGATGTTAATGAAAAACATTTTTGTTTGTGGCCTTTTTTTCATTAATACATAATAAATAGGCAATTGGAACTTGAAATAATAAAACCTAAAGCAAAGTTAGGCTGGGTCAAATTTGACCCAGCTTGGGTGTCTATGTAAAAAAAAATAGCTTGGGCATCCGAGGGTTAATATTAATTTGATAATCCCCACCAAAAGTTTGGTGATGTCACCTCAAAATTTTGCTAAGTAACTATTAATAAACGATTAAAATGTGATATTTACTTGGCTATACTTGTAGATCTTGTACAGCTTCACCCCAAAGAGTCGATTTCTTGCACTAAAGATTTTTCTTATCACCCGGCGCCTCCACCAGAATGGGGGTAAATATCCTGAGTTAAGAAAAACTGACATTAATTAACAAAAAAGGTTATACAAATAATATATATCGTTACAAAAAATATCCGCAATTGGTGTATATAACAAATAATTGTACGTATCGTGCTTACGGTTTAAGATACTGAATTAATGAAGTCGCACATAACGGACAACAAAACTACTGCCTGGTTTACTCAGTACTTTTTATATTGTTTATATCAAAAGTCAGTAGAAATGTATTTATAAAATATTATATTCATGACACTGTTTGTGACATCCAGTCATCGCTAATTCTTTTGTAAACACGGCGTTTCATGTAAAATCTGAACCGTTTGGCGTTCGTTTAATGTAAATAAATTTTTTTAATGTTCTGGTGTTATGTGAAGACCGGAAATTACATACTGAAGCAATTTTATTAAAACACGCTCCCAATTCCACTAGATATACAAGCCTGCGTTTCATTTTTACAGAAGTAAAGCTTGCATCGTCGTTTCAAAAAATAAGTGCGGGTAGTAAAATCGCAAAAAAGTAGATTTTTAAAATAATCACAAGCAGCTTCCAACATTTTCTCTTGTTTTATTAGACTATTTAATTCAGGATTTTCATTTATAAAATCTCAGTCAGGTCAGCTAAATGCTTGCCAACATGTGAAATGGTAGAGTGAGTGCGCTAACTAATAACAATAACAGTTCAGGACGTTACGAAACACTGAGAAATGATACTCTTGATAAGAATAAATGTAGGTTTTGACGTGCACATTTCCTAGAACGAATCAAAAAATTTCCCGGGAATATGTCCAACATATTTTCATTAGGGTTGCAAGGAAAGTAATTTCGTCATACCCGACAGGTGCTGTCGATGTTCCAATATATCTCCGCGACACACGAAAGCAAAACAGCTTAAAGTATTTTCCGTGATTGTTTAAGATTAATACACACCCATTTGCTATAGCCGTGTTTATACAAAACCGCGCGAAAATATCCCGCTGCGCTTGAAAGGAATATGGAATGTGAAAAACACTGCGAAAAATAAATTTCCTTCAAGTGAGTGTTGCTGAAATATTGCAAAACAACGAAGAAATCGAGCGATGCTTTAAACTGGTCACCGTTTTCATTTCAACACGTTTTATTAATAACCCGCCAAATAAAAATAACAAACATCTGATCTACTTTCGGCTAATGTGAAATCGCGGATTTTGTTACCAACAATTGAACTGGAAAACCGGCTATAATTACTCCTGCACTTGTGACCTATATTTATTTTGAGAAAACAAATTGGTCACTGAAGCCTGTGTTGCAACCCACGGACGATCTCTGAGGGGGCGGCCAGATGTCGCGGCGCCCCTCGCACGATTTTACACAAACCTCTCACCTCGGACCTTTGCTATCCACAACACAAACAAATCTACCACCTCCAACGGGAAAATAACCGTTTTTGAACCAAAATTGCTTGATTGTGCTTCAAGGAGGAGGAAAGTTCCTTCTAGATAGCTAGCCCCAGTAAAAACCATGAGTTAACGATCAACAGCTGCTCCAAATCATTGAAATTGCTTTTTTTACGTCAAACTTAAACGTTTTATAAAAGTAGAATCTAGTTTTCCCCTGGTTTTAGTATCAATTTTGCAGTGATATTATTTACCCAACCACGAAACGTTATCGTCATCCACATTGACGCCGCAGTCGCTAGTGTTGTGGAAATTATGTATGTAATTTAATATCCCTGCGTTGTACGTATATATACATATAAGTGCCAATATATAAATTTAGACTTATACTTTGTATGTTTCAACATACTCGTATGTGGTTAAATAGAGTGACACATTTGTGGGGAATTGATGACATATACAAGTCTGTTTACACACTCAATTGGTGTGTGTTAAAAACAAATTTGGGGGTGAATTTCTTCATATGAACAAAAAATAATGAAACAGCCTGTATACAGATTTGTTGAAGGGAAAATAGTGTTGAGGTATATCTATAATAGATAATGATTTTTTTGTCCTCCCCCGTATATTCGGCTTTAAATAAGTGTTGCGTCTGTTTTGCCGAGGTTATGTCCGCTTCAGATTTATCGTTCGAAATCTGCAGTGATGGCATGCCGCTCTACTTTGGTAGTTTGGCGTCCGGAATGAAAAATGTTGCCGGGAAGCGTTTTTTAAGCGCGAGGGCGTCTTACGGCGTCGATTATGGCATCGAAAGATAATAAAATATTTAATAAAGTACTATTTTAATCTTAATGGAAGCGTCGAAAAAAATTCGATATGATTAAGTCGGAAAAATATTATTTACGAAAGCAATGTTGCCAAAGTCTTTTGCAAACTGCTAACATAGTGGCCAGGTTAAATATAGCCCGTGTGCTAATTTGAGGAACACATCGTCCTACTGAAATATCTAACACACGCCCTCTTAAACCGACGCTCTCCTCCTCAAATCGAGGATACCAACATTTCTCGTCGGCTCGGTTTAAAAGTTTCTACCAAAATATGAGTGCCAGTGTCAGCTGCGCAAGGCACTGCATCTCGTCACCCACGTCCACGTCAATGCAAATTCGCCATTTATTATTCGTGGATTTTTTGCAGCGCGATCTGCGTCATGCACGCGAGGGGGCACATACATAAAAGGCATTTATAGGTAGACGGAAATAGAAAATAGTTGGAATGCACGAAGTGGATATAAAAAATTAAAAATAAGAGCGATTTTTGGCAAGCGAATAGTTTTAAAGTTAGAAAGCGATAAAAAAATAGCCCGAGTAATGATGATTTGTAATAGGACAAAACCGTGGTGTTCGAGTATTTTTAAACGCGTAATGACAGTGGTAATGATACTAAAGAAAAACATTTGGCTCATTAAATTTGCTACTCTATACCGATATAAATAGTTTTATAAATAAATAAACAGAACACCTACAGGAACTGGTTCATTTGGGCAGGTTAGAAAAATATTTGAGCTCTCTCTGATGAACGGTTTTAACAAACAGAATGTATGTTTTTACTCAAAACTTAATATAAATTTAGAATAAGAAAATAAATATTCATAAAAGTGTTTTTTAGTCTTTTACTAACAAACTTTTTTCCTGATAGCAATCATTTACGAAAGCCTTCCAACAATAATATGCGTCTTGACGGATACAAATATTTTTACGCTCCTCCAAAATTTCGTAACCGATTGTCTCAGTGACTAATCGATCTGCGCGAAAACAACCACTTCATGTTCACTTTTTATTAGTGTAAAGCGCGAGACGTTCGCAACACGTGTGCCCAAAATTTATAGTTTTGCTCAACGCCCAGCATCAATCTCTACTTTTTCCTCAAAACTCAAGACTAAACAATCTAACGACGTATACGATCCAACAGCCCACAAATCACCGCTCGTTCCTTAACCCAACACCGTTTAATCGCTGCTTTATTTAAATCTCGACCCTTTCGAGACTTCACTTGCTAAGCCATCCAAAAATATGACACCAATAATAACCGACAAAAATTGGCATTTGGGTTTTTATATCTCAAGCTCCAATCGTCGACAGGTGAAGACAATTAATTTAGTTACCTAAGAACCGCATTAACTCGCCTGCAAGCGATCGCCATTTTATTTTCACACCATATCGTTACTTAATTCGATTAATACTTTTCTACGGACTTGCCAACTCTGCAGATTACGTGCTCTGCTGGTTCTTCAACAAACAACGATCACTAATTTGTTAAAAATAAATATGAAAAATTCTCTTGACAAATGTCTCTTGACTATTAACTGCGAAACCTTGAGGCCATTTTGCAACCTGCAAGCCAAGTAAAATAAAGATTTTTATATATAATTAAACTTTAAATTTAGAACTATTAATGAAACGCTGAAAGAAACTCAAATAAAAGCGCACCTTTCGAACATTATAAAGAAATAAAAAATCCGTAAATTATTTACACTAAAGTTTCTCTGCTACACAAAAATACCGACGACGTACCGGATTTTTCACCAACGATCTGGTTAATAATTGCTGAGATGACGTCACCATTAATGAAGAGGGGCAAATGTAGTGAAATATAAGACAATGAACAAAATACATATGTCTGTTGGTACTAACGTTGTACACATTCTGTATGAACATTTAAAAAAAATAAAGACATTCCCAAAACACCACCAATATTGTTTTTCTTTAGGTTTATTCGTTTATTCGCTCCTAAAAATACACTCATCAGATACCATCAAAGAGAAATATAAACAGCAAATCCTGACACCTTACTGCTTTCGCTCACCAACATGTTTGTTACGTTTTCGAACTGTAGAAAACAGACGGAGTGCTACATTTAGTGCTTCAGTATATTTGGAAATGTACCGTTGGTAAAGATGCACATCATGATGTACATTCCTGAGTTCGCAAAATAAAATTTTCCCGTGACGTCATCATTTGGTTGAAGGGTATGACTGTACCAATTTTGATTAGGTTATGTAGATATGTAGAAGACGAAGAACAACAAATGCGGAACTTAATAAAGAAAAACCCAAGTAACAAACAGGGCGAAAAAAAAATAAAAGCTGACTAATAAGTGCAAAAATAGACACAAATTCAAGATATAATCAAAAATTTACGAAAATAATATCATCATAAATCCATACGTGCCAGAACATTTCTTGGCAACAAAAAATGGTAAAAAAGAAGAGATACATATGTATCTCAAGTAAAAATAAAACAAAATGGATATTAAAAAACTGACATAGTGTGTGATAACAAACAATTTTGAGTACCGGAAGAGAACAATTCAGTTCTAAATCTATGTATGTCAACTGTTACAATGACTCACTTATTTAACAATTTTATGAAGGTCAGTACTAAATATATCAATACATAACTCAGCAGTTAACCCATGCGGATTTTGATACCACAGCCATAACTCTCTAAATCGTCCATAATGTTATGGTATTTGAACAGTTTGCGCTTTTAATGCCCGTGTAAATTTTTATCGCATAATCGTAACATTTTGTGGAAGCTAAATACTAGCTTGGCAAAAATATTTTATTATGCGCCACAAAATAAAGACTTTTTTGTTAGTTTTATATACACTATCGATGTTCCTTAGATTTCTTTCAACTCAAAAGATTTAATTGTTGTGGTCGGAGTTTTATTTTGGGAGGTGTACCTCTTTGAAGCAAACTCTTTGATGTTTACAAAAGTTGAGCACACTAAGAGGTCCAATAACTCGCAGCTGACGCCACAGATGAAAAAAATTGTCGTAATAGTATCAGTATATATCTATATACATTTCTAAAAATATCCCTTTCAATGTGCTAAAATAGTCGGCACGTTTACAAAGGTAAAAAAAGAATGAAAGCTTGGGTGAATTTTAGAAGGTATTTACAAACAGTCTGTTGAATTTGGCGAATTCGTGTTTGCTTGTGAAACTGGAAGAGATGTTGATGTTTCTGGAAAAAGAAAAAAGGAGCCGCTAACATATACGTTGAAGTCTTAAAGGCAATTCAAAAGTAATACTGGTGAAAGGTGTATTTTTGCAAGCGCATTAGTTCTGGGTAAATGTAGGTTTCTAAGCCGTTAACATACTATTAATGTAAACAGTGTTGATTGTGGTCAATTAGTCGGAGGGAGTGTGGGGCGCCACCGTCGTCAAGAGATGCAAGCGTCGGTGTATCAGTAGAAGCGACGCAGCGTCGTTGGGCGGTTCTCGGAGTCGACGACGAGCAGCTTGAGCTTAGCTCGTTGCTTCGACGGCTACTGTCGTTCATACTCGAGCCGTGCCGCCCTATATGGCTTGGCATGACTCTCGCCTATGTATAAGATTACATCTCTTTTTCTTTGCTCTCTTCTAAAAATACTTGAGCCCACGGTTATTTCGAGAGAATTGTATACATGTTTTCTTATAATGAGATTCCCATATCACTAGGACTATTTTTTAATAACGCGCCCACGGAACCTCACCACGAGCACCCCCAACGAAATTGTCGCGGCTCGTTTGACATTTCTTAGTCAACCCGCACTCGCATGCCCTTATTCAACGATTGCCAAAGATGAAGCAACCTTTGGCTGACTGACTTAAGCCTTTAATTGTGGCTTGCGCCCTGCGTGAATCAACAATGACTAGGAACGAAAGAATGCTTAAAGCCGATTAGTTGTTTGGTGATTTGCGGACTTCGTCACGCCTTTATTTGCCTCATTAAAATTAGAATCTCGATCAACACCTTTTTAGTCATAATTATTTTTACACCTGGTGGTTGGCGCCCAACGCGGGTCCGGTTGTCGGTGGTGCGGCGCAGGAATTCCTGGTCAGGTGATTGATGGAATGGTGGCTTCGATTAGTCATTACAGGATGGTGGAGGTGGGCGAAAATCTGAGACCAAAGCGATCTGGAGGCTGCCGAGGTTGAAGGAAAGCGTCTCGACGCTCGGTTTCGGAGTGGGGGCCGATGCGGCGCTTGGCGGGGGCATCGTCATGCTCTGGTTTAGATTCGGGGTACACATTACGCTCCTTTAGTCAGTGCTTTGGAGGCCACGAAGCAACCTCTAAGAAAGACGAACGAATCGACGACGCGTTTGTGCGACGGGACGACCCAAGTGTACACGCGATAACGCGAAGTGTGTGTGGTGAAGTGAAGTGCTGAGCTGTTGATCGGCTTCTGCACCCTTTTGAAGAAGTAAGTTTGAGTGATTCCAGCAGGCGAGTGCAGTGATGAGTGCTCGAGGATTTGCATCAAAGGATACGCGTTGCATAGTAGTAGAACGAAGGGGCTTTGATCTTCAAATCTGGGTTACGAGCAGGGCACCTAAGCGGAGTTTGCCTAGATCTCTGTTACATTGTAGCATTTAGTTCAACGCCATTGGCAGACGTCGCAGCATGTGATACATTAATCTTATAATATAGAACGAGTCTAGCTTATCTAAAAGTAACTTATTGCATTGCTTCGGATTTTAGGGCCGGGTTAATGTCCTCGTTTTCGGGATAATCAAAACACAGAAAGCATGGGAGTGGCGGAAGATTTCGCTCCCAGCTTCACCCAAAAACCACAACTAAGACAAGAAGATGATGGCAATAAACTTATTTTCGAATGTCAGTTATTGTCAAATCCAAAACCAGATATCCAATGGTTCCGAAGCGACACGCTATTATCCGAAGACAGTAGAACTAATTTCAAAATACAGAATGTAGGAGCTAACAAGTTTCTTGTGGTTCTTGAGCTTGACGATGTTATCGAAACAGATGCCGGCCTTTACAAGGTCAAAGCGAAGAACAAAATGGGAGAAGTTGCAGCTTCCATCAACCTCAACTTCAGCCGTAAGTGATTTGAAATTATTCCGACCAAATAACGGCCTCGCGAGGCCCTTACTTGGTGAAAATTTTCTCGCTCAGGTCAACAGGAATGATAATTGCTTTCCTCTTTTCAGCTATGGACGAACCAAAAGAAAAGTAAGTACGATGAAAGGGGTCGGATAAATGTTGGTCAAGCAGAAAGATGATTCTGCCTACGCACGAAATAACAAACTTTTGCCAAAATTTGGCCTCCACAATTACTCACCTCTCTTGGACACGTAACGTTTACGTCACGGGTCATGTTTCGATTTTAACTTACCACAACATTTTGAATAGTTAAATTTAACTTTGTGCTAGCGAGAGATCTCATTAAAAATTTTAATAAATTTGCGCAGACAAATCGACGGTCTTGCACCAACGTTCGCGAAGAAACCGAGTATTCGGCAGGAGGAAGATGGCAAAAGACTTCTTTTCGAATGTCGAATTCAGGCAGATCCACGCCCAACCGTCAGTTGGTTCCACAATGCCAACCCCGTACATGAAACGCCACGTCACAAGGTACATACTTACCCTACTCTGCAAACCCTGACACGGTTCTCGTACGGCATTTTTTCCTGTGAAATAACTATTTTCATAGACAATTTATACGCTTACATCTTGGCAACATGTGCGCTCTATTTTTGCATGCACTACATCTACATGTGACACCTGCTGTTTTTCTCTTTGCACGCTCTTCCACGTACGCCGCAATTTTCACAAACAATCCGATTATTGTTTCTACCACTAGAAATGTTCTTGGGCAGTGGTTCTGATACAATATCGCAGCTGCTTTCTCCATTGAGGAATAAAATTACTTTTTGGCAAAACAATCCGTTTGCGGATGTTTCTTATTCCTTTATGCAACAAGACGGATAACTGCAGCTTGCTCTTTCATTAACCGCTTGCTTTCGATTGTTTGTTTGTTTTTTTTTTTTGGAAAATAGTACCTCCTTAGAAGTTGTTTGTCTGATTTGAACGAACAAACCGCATTCGACGGTAACGTGAAATTGGTTGCGTTTCAGTTGAGGATAGACAAAGATGGACACTCGTACTTTGCAACCCTTGAGATTAAAAATGTCACGGTTGAGGATGCTGGCAAATACAAGGTGACTGCAAAGAATGAGTTGGGCGAAAGCAACGCAACGATCAGCCTCAACTTCGACAGTAAGTTCTGTTGATATTTGTTGCTTTGTCTCGTTGTTATTGCAAAAAAGCTTTTGTGATATGGGCGTTACTAGTATTAGAAATTATAACTGTTGGTTGATTGATTTAACAAAAGCGAAGGCTTAGGACTTGAGCTTCCTAATCGTGCAGGCGTCCTATTTACGGCTTATTTGCAGTTTTCTAATTAAACTTAGCTCCCCCAACCCCACCACCCCCACCCCCAACCCTCTCAAAGAAGAACACAAGATACACACCCAGTCTTCATAGCGACTCTCTTTCACACATATAATAAGCAAAATCACGTGCCACATACTCCCCCACAAAACACTGCCACTTTTTATTAATATACTCAGTGTAAATACTCCGGTTCTTAGCAGCCACTGTTGGGGCCAAGTAAGTCAGCACTCGTGCACAGTACAATGGACTAACCGAAGCTTAATCTCAGCTCAGCTTTTAATTTGCAGTTTTTTAACATCTCCAATTCTAATCAGTGTACATTGCAATTGACGAGGAATTTTTGTGTGATTTATTACCTAAAAAGCTTAGAATAGAAATCAGGCTAGCTCTTTTCCCCCAAGCCACTTGTCTGCTATAGCTGGATAGTACGCCGGTGGCAGGATTATTTTATTTTAGATTTTTAGCCCCCCTGTGAGGTTCTTCTTGGACACTTGATAATTTTAACCATTTTTTGATAATATCAAAGGCCATGTTCTTGCAAATGTGACACTTGTATTTCAGAGTCGTACCACACAGTATATCATTTTAACACTGTTAGACGTAACTATTAAAAGCTGAGCTTTTTCGGTGATCATTGTAAGTTGCGCGAGTGTTGCTGGCTGTCCTTGTGTCATGATAGCCAGTTTAGAAGAGTTTATGCACTAGGCGATGAGGCTCCCGTGCCAGACAATGGCATCAAACCGACGTTCACAGAGCGACCTGTTATCCGACAGACTGATGACGGTAGCAAGATCATCTTCGAATGCAGGTGCGTCGGGGACCCCAAACCTGTACTCCAATGGTACGTATTTATCAACGAACGCTAAAAAAGGTTATATGTCAAAAAATGAATCATAGGTTCCACGGCAAAGAAGAGATTCAAGAGAACAGTCGATACCTAATTTCCATGGTTGAAGATCAAAAACTCTATTTTATAGCGCGACTCGAAATCAACAACGTTAAAAACACGGATAGAGGAGAATATCGGGCGGTAGCGAAAAACGTTTACGGACAAGGAGTTGCCACCATCAACCTCAATTTTGAGGGGGCCACCAAGCCCAAGTAAGGAGGCCCTCTAGTCGTCTTGGTGCCATAAAACAGCTTCATTTCACAGAATTCCGGACGGAAAGCCGCCTCGCTTCCCTAAGAAACCGACCATAAGGCAGGAAGGCGATGTCCTAGTGATGGAATGTCTTCTAGAAGCCAACCCAGATCCAGATATTACATGGTATCAAGGCGAACAAAGTATTGCAGATAGTTCGAGAGTACGCATGCTTCGGAAAACTACTGCCAAAGATACATATCTGCTTACATTAGAAATATCAAACCCTACACGCCAAGACGGGGGACACTATAGATGTAACGCTTTCAATGTTTACGGTGAAAGCAATGCAAACATAGCGCTAAACTTCCAAGGTATGCCGCGTAGGCAAGCAGAGTCTTCCCTCTGTGTCTGTGAATTGTCGACGTTTCGATGTTATTATTCATCCTCCTCAAATCTGTTTCAGCCAATACCAGATCAATACGACCAATACAATAACTTTTGCATGAGCATGGCCTTAAACCTAAAGCCTGTCTCTGGCACCTCGTAACTTGTTATATTTCCAGGTGGAGACAATGCTGCTGGTTTTGCACCTTCCTTCATCGAAAAACCCAAAATTATTCCAAACGAAAGCGGAACACTTATTACCATGAAATGTAAATGTAAAGCGAAACCTAAACCTGAAGTTACTTGGTTCCGTGGAACCACCGTTGTCAAAGAGTCTTCTAAAATCACAATCAAAACTCTAGATGTAGAAGAAGACATTTACGAACTTTCCCTCGAAATCAAGGTACCATCACTCTCAAACAACAACCCTTTCTACTATAATACACTGATTTTTTTGAAGGACCCCTCCGGACCCGACGGGGGTACTTACAGGTGCCACGTCAAGAACGAGTTCGGTGAGAGTAACGCCAATCTTAATCTCAATATAGAAGCCGAACCGGAACCGGAAGGCGACGGACCCACGTTCGTGGAAAAACCAAGAATAACTTCGCACCAAGGAGGAAAGTTAGTAATCATGGAATGTAAAGTTCGCGCTAACCCAAAACCGACGATCGTGTGGTATCGTGAAGGTAAACAAGTCACAGAATCGTCCAAAATTAAAATAAGCTTCGAAAAAGTAGAAGAAGATATCTATTACATTAAACTCGAACTTAAAGACCCCGGAACCGAAGATTCCGGTTTATATAAATGCAACATTAAAAACAATTTAGGTGAACTCAACGCCAACCTCACACTCAACATCGAGATTATACCCGTCATTAAAGAAAAACCGAAGGTTATTAAAATTATCAAAAAGAGAACTGTCGTCGTTGAATGTAAAGTTCTCAGTAAATTCGCACCGGATTGCACTTGGTTTAAAGAAACTGCCGCCGTTAGAGAAGATTCTCGGCACAAAGTTCTCGTTGAACAAGTCAAAGATGTAAGTTGTGTAAGTTTGGGGTTAATATTTTGCCAATCGTGCGGTTTTAGGGAGAATTCGCGATCAAACTTGAAATTTCAGAAGTCAGCAAAACTGATAAAGGTTTGTATAAATTAGTAGCAAAGAACGAAAAAGGTGAAGCGACATCACAAACGGTTGAGGTAACGGAATTACCTCCCGAGGAGAAACCGAAAGGCGAAAAACCAAAACTCACAAGACTTACTAATGTCGTAAGTTGTCTTGGTTGATTGATATAGGTGTCGTTCTCAGTGGTTGCGTTTTCTTCTAGAATATCGAAGAAGGCAAGTCGGCCGATTTTGTTTCTTCGCTCAAAGTTACCGACAAGACCGTCACGATCACTTGGTACAAGAATACGACGGTTATTAGAGAGTCTTCAGACATTAGAATTTCGTTTGACGGTTCCACGGCACATCTCAGTATTTCTAAATGTAAAGTTTCACATTCAGCCACATACAAAATCGTAGCCAAGAACGAATTCGGAGAGGACGAAACCTCCGCTGTTCTAACTGTCACAGAGAAGAAAGAGGAAAAGGTAAGAATTACACACTCACAATTTTCTACTCATTACACCAACACTTATTTACATAATCACAAAGAAACGCGAAGAAGAAGAAGAAGAAGAAGAAGAAGAAGAAATAGTAGAAAGCAGTAGTGGCGAAGAAATTGAAGAAGAAATTGAGGTACACTTTGACAACATGATACAATTTTTTGACATTTTTTACTATTTTTGTTTTTAACAGGAAACTGACACTAAACAAATAACACGAAAAGACGAAATAAAACCAAAGGTGAACATCTACACATACACTTTAAGCCTTTTGATGTAAAATAAGACTCTAAAATTATTCCGTTTGCAGAAACAAGAAGAAGAAAAAGTCGAAAAGAAAGTGGAGAAGAAGGTAGAAAAGAAAGAGGAAAAGAAGGAAGAAGTTAAGAAAGTTGAAAAGAAAGAGGAAGTCAAAAAAGTTGAAAAGAAGGTAATGACGAGTTTTCTCAATGTATATAGTTTTATGTTCACCTTTCTATGTTTTAACATTCTTTGTGATTGTAAATAGGAGGACGCTAAGAAAGTTAACGATGTTGCTAAAAATGCCGTTGAGAAAATTGAGGTAAGTTACTTATCCCACGTTTACGTCAGTAGTTTTTATGTGAATGTCCTAGGAAACGAAACTCATGGCCAAAAAGGGTGAAAGGAAAGCCTCAGTGCAAAAGGTACCCCTTCGTCACCTATGTTGTATTCGTTTAATTTATGTCTGTGTTTGTCTAGATTGAAGAAATCAAAAGCGAGTCTCGTAGAAGCTCGATCGTGGAAACCAGAGAACAGGTATTTATAATTTGAAGAATTTTGAGGTCTTGTTGTTTACGGCAAAGTTTGTAGATTATTCAGGATGGTGAAAAGATTTCTAGTCGTAAATCTTCCGTATCCCAGGTAGATGCTAAAATCTTCACAATGTTAATATATTTATTTCCTTTTTTCCCAGATTGAACAAGAATCTAAAACTGAAAGGAAATCTTCTGTAGCAGAAGAGAAAAAGAAAAAGGTACACACACGATGTTTCCTTTTCTTGCTTTCTTTTTCGAGTTTATTTTTTACTGGTTTTGTTGCTTTCTGCAGTCTCGACTTTCGCTTTTTCGCTTTCTTTATGAAACATCAATGTTGATACGTTATATTTTGATAGGTACAAACTAAGAAAATGGAGTCGACAGCTGAAACGGTAAGTAGTTAAATGTTGTAAAACAATCTTCAATCCTCTGTTGTGTTAACCATGTTGTAATTAATGTTTCATACGTACAGACACCAACAAACAATATAGAAGAAAAACCACTTGACACTAAAAAACCAGAGACCAAACTGGCTCCTACCAAGGAGCCCGTGAAACCCGTTGACACAAAAACAAAACCAGAACCATCCAAAACAGAGCCCGACAAGAAACCAGACCTCAAACAAACAGAACCCGTTAAGAGACCGAGTCTCAAAAAACCAGAACCAAAACCAGAACCAGAACCCGAACCGAAACCCCAACTCAAAAAAGTTGATCTTGGGAAAAAGGTAACGGACACTAAAAAACCAGAGCCAAAACTCTTAGAACCAAAACCCACTGACAAAAAACCCGAGCTTAAAACACCCGAAATTATTGTCCCCGAGGAAGCTAGACGCCAACCTACTGTGAAGGTAGTCAATGACTTTACCTTTAATATCTCTGCAAACACTAAAACTAACCAATTGTGTCTAACTTTAGCCTAAATACGATCCTTTGAAATTTGTCGAAGAGGAGGAAGTGCCGATACCCGCCGTCACCGCCCCACCAAAACCGCCCGTGGTAAATTATCTGATTGGCACTGAAAAAATTTTAATTGGCACCTAAATGGTCAAAATATTTTACGCAACGCGTCATCCATTCATTCCATTGTACTTTGGAACGAAATTATTTTGACCATACGTTTTTACACTACATTGCACCGCATTTTTCGCCAATGCACACGTACACACTAACACACGAAAATCTGCTTAAAACATGCCAAATTTCTGACGGTTATAAATTGAGCGCTTCTTGTTCTTTGTGATCTATTTTGAACACAATAGTGCACTGCAACTTTGTCATACTTTAGTCGGGCAACACTTCAACACTGACTAATTTTATGTAGTCTGGCGAACGACTGTTCTGATTATCAATTACGTTATAGAAAGTACCTAAGTATGACCCCATGAGATTTGTTGAGGAGAAAGAGGTGCAGGAAACTCCTCCTGTCAGCGCTGCACCAAAGCGTATGGTAATACTCGTAAACTGACAATTCTATTGTCTGTCACAGTCAAGCACCGCAAAGTGCATGCACTTCTTGCACTTGATGTTGTTCTATGTTGTACGGGAATTCGAACAACTAAGTTAAAGTTCGAGTCCCTAATTATGTTAAAATTTTTGGAACCGAACTAAAAAAGGAGCACTAGGGAATTTCCTAGTTGGTACTTGAACACTTGCTTGCACTAGATGTCGCACGTTCACACACTGTATATATGCACTCAAACATGTCGATGTTGTACTCAAAATTCAAACCGTTATTAAAGGTACCTAGATATGATCCCATGCGATTTGTGGAAGAGGAAGAGGAAGAAGAAGAAGACGAACCACCAACTGCCGCGACACCAGTGGTAATTGGCTAAATTAGTCAAAATTAAGACCACAAACCACACTGCCAAAATCGCGTATCACTTGCACTTAGTCATCAAACTAACATATATCTGTATGAAATCAAAACAAGTATACGCTGATAGTCTATACTTACACACACGCAAAAAGTAAACGTAGATCTGCACTGCAAAATGACGAATTTGCAGAACTACACCACTTAGCAGTTTTTCATTTTATAAGAAAATAAAATGAAAAATTTTAGTGGTGTTTCACTCTATGCTGCAGACTGCACTGTGCACTCAATTAATTCAATCAAAAACTAATTCGACGTTTATTGAAGGTGGCAAAATACGATCCTATGCGATTTGTCGAAGAAACTCCTCCTCCACCTAAGGAGACTCCTCCGAAACCCGTGGTAATAAAAATTGGCACTGATATTGGCAAAAGTGGTCAAAATTTTTTCGTCTTTCTGAAATGATTTTGATCACCTGTAAACACCGCACTATCAAATTCTTGCACTAGCTTATAGTAGTTGAACGTGTTCTCATTGAAACCTTTATTCAAGGTACGCAAGTACGATCCGATGAAATTCGTAGCAGACGACGACGAACTTGAGGTTCCCAAAACACAAGCGGTAATGATTGGCAGATAAATTAGCTAATTTTTGCGAAATTATTGACAGTACTGTTAGTCGCACAGCGAAACGATCAGCACTAGTGCACGTTTACACTAAATTTAGAACACTAGGGTTTTTTTGATCTGAAACGGCATTTTGTGTAGTTTAGTTTAGATATTTCACAACACTGCAAGCTGTGAGCACTCCGCACTTCGGCTATACTTGCACACACTCATACCATGTTCCATCTTTACATCTCTTCTTATCATGTCAATTATTGAAGGTGCCTAGATACGACCCTATGAAATTTGTCGAAGACAAAGAGGTGCGAATTATCCCAACAATCAACATTCCCGACGAGAACGACGCGGTAAAATGTTAACTGGCAATTCCAAGCAAAATGTTGACTGGCAATGTCAATGATCAAAATATTTCGTTCACTAAAAAATTCATGAAATGATTTTGATCATATCATAAACCCACAGCCTGCACGCAAAGTATTTGCACTACACCTGCACACTTGAAGAGTAACCGAACCTGATCCTTATCGCCATGTACCGAATCGTTGTCCAAACTTTAATTTTCTCTGTTCTAATACAAACTTTATGTTTCATGTTGTGTCCGTGTCCCCCACAGAATGAGGAAAAGACAAACGAAAAGGTTCAGCTAAAGGTGAGTTTGTATCTTTATTAATAGTATAAGTAAACCGCGACAGTCACAACGGGACGGAGTTAAAATATATATTTATGTAGCCAAGTGATGAGACAGTTAAGCGACGAATTCCTCCTAGAGCAGAGGTCAAAAAAGATAGTTTCTTGTCCATTCAATTGAAACCTGTTTCAAAAGAAGCCAAAGAAGCAGAGAAGGCAAAACTAGAAGTTGATTTGAAGGTAAAACGCGACCAACAAGCAACTTCGGTTGGTCTATGTAAACTGTTCTCTCTCTCTTCTTCCTTCTCATGTGTCTAAAATCGTGCTTCGAACTAAATGTTTTTCGCAAATGTAAAAACATAAGCTTACTCCACTACAATCTTTCTCTTGGTACTCATAACTTTCAACATGTCTATCTATCTATCGTATATAAACCGTGTTTCCACTATCGTCAACAACAGGTGTTTTGATAATTTTTATTCGTTAGAAAACTGGCGAAAAAGAAAAAAAGACCGTCACCAAGAAAGGTGCGAAAGCAGAGAAGAGTGACGATCTCGACGCTTGGATGAACATCCCCGACTATGAGAGACCAGTTTTGGAAAAATATGAACCTAACGCACCTCCAGAATTCGCTGGTCGCGAAAAAACCAAACTCTCCAAGGTGAGATCGCAGCTTTCGCAGATATGATTTGCCTTGAGTTTATAAATGACCAAGCAAGCTAATTATGAGTTGGTAGTGCTAAATATGAGCGCAGGAATGTAGGGAAACTAATTAACAACCCCAGATATCTTGGCAATCATTTGATTCATCTGTTGATTCAAAATAAAAGCATTTATAACCGCATCCAATAAAAGAGGCTTTAGTTTGATGCTGGCTCGCTTTCATATTTATTTTTTATTATACTACGCTTCGGCAATGGACTATAAATCGTCAGTCGCTTGAGTGTTATCGTCTGTGCAGGATAAACCGAGTGTTCCTCAAATCAAAACACCAGAAGCACCTAAGATAGCTGTCGTGAAAGAAAGAACACCTGAACCGAAGAAAGAGAGAACTCCTGAACCCAGGAAACAGTCTTTGGAACCCAGCGGACCTTCGAGCCGCCGGGGATCGTTGATTCCTCCTGAGGCTATGGGCCGTAGGGCCAGTCTCATCATCTCAGACGAGGTATACTTGCACAAATTGAATCCTTCTTTACTATTTTTAGCCACCGGGAACGACAGAAGGGGTACTAGTGTTTATTTCCCTGTAAATGTCTTGATTTTTTTCTCATAGGAACATAGGAAACTCCGACCTGGAGAGGTCGTGGAGGAAAAAAAGGTAACCGTTCTTTCAATGAATGCACCGTACGCCTGCCTCATCTAATCTACAGTCAAATGGATGCAGTGCCGATTTGATTGTACGCTTTCGTTCTATCTATCAATTTTATTTCATATTTTCACCCAGCACCAATTTCTTGCTTCCCACTTAGCGACACAATGGCGGATTTATTATCACCCGAGCTAGTACTTCAATGACCGCCATCTTTCTAATTAATAAGTCCGCCATTGGAGAAAATGTGAAATAACTTTGATCAGCACCTAGCAACAACACCGCACTCGCTAATTAGGTTTTGTTGCTATCAAATGTTATTCTCTATCGATGAAAACTTTTGTTGGTTATGTCCAAGCGCATGATGACTACCACACGAGCAAAGCAGTGTACAGCTCACGAGCAGGCCATGACCATAAGCAGACCATCGAGTATGTGCCCAAATATTATATGTAAAATTGTCGTCAATAGATAGCTAAACAATTATTATGCCTACAGGGAGGAAAATTGCGTCCCGGTGAAGTACTCGATTCTAAGGTGAGATTTGTGTTAAAAAACACAAAACTGACCTTGGGTTTGGCACGAGGAAACGGTGTCAAACAATTTAACACTGCCATTTTTAGTCTTAATAGTTGATTTTGCTTGTTTTTGACATTTTATTTAGTTTTGTATTTTTTTATTTAAAGCCTAAAAGCAAACGACCGGGAGAATTGCAAACTCCGAGCGAGAAACAGGTTAGCCCGGAGAGAGTAGTTTAGATCAGTTTAGACAAATTTATGTTTGTGTCTAACGACTTTTAGAGTCAACGAATAGATTAGAAGTCCTTACGTGTCGACAATTTCCAAAACCGAACTGTAAATAATTTTATGTATAGAATAGCAGAGCATCTAATCTCCCAAAGAAATCAATCAGATTTTTAATTTTGTTTTTTTTTTACAAGATTTTTCTTTTGTTTTTTGTTTTTCTTATATGTTTTTAGAGACTAGCTAAAGCAAAGCTGCTCTAGTTACAACAATACTTAGTCTCTAACTTAAACAAATGTGGCTAACGAAGTGGGTTTTCTTGTGGTAATTAAACAAAATGTGCCTCGTAGTTCAAGATATAGAGCGTTTTTAATGTATATATAATAATTTAGTGTACATACTCGCTATTTAATCAACGCTACGCTAAAATTAACGCTGAAATATGAGCTTTACTTGTAAAAATCACACACACACGATACACAATGACTCTTTCCCAAATGGCATGAAGATAATTTGTTACACACTTTAGCGCCGCCGTCCAAGTGGAGACGTCCGAAGACCCAGTATTCAAGACATGGAAGGTCTCATTGACAAGCCTTCAACTCCACTTAGAGGTGTAGGCCCAGCAGGACCGCCCAGTATCGTAGACATACAAGAAAGCTATTCTGCCGTTGAAGGTGCTCATTTCGGCACCTTTTACAAGCCACCACTCAAAAACCGTATTTTCAGATCAAGTCGCATATCTCAATGTTGGCATTGAAGGTGAACCTCCACCAACGTTCAAATTTTATAAAGGCATGACCGAAATTATCGAAGGGGGTAGATTTAAGTTCCTTACAGAAGGTGACACTAATACGATCACTTTGTGCATCCGTAAAGTCAAGCCTAACGATGAAGGCCAGTACAGAATCGTTATTTCTAACATTCATGGTGAAGATTCTGCCGACATGCAGCTTTATGTGTCCGGTAGGTACTTTGATAAGAGTGATTTTCAGTTGAGTTAATCGCCTTGGGTAGATTCTAGTGGTATGGACTTCCGTGCCATGTTGAAAAAGAGGAAATATGCTAAATGGGGCCAAGATAAGGAGGATCCCGACTGGGGAGAGCTCAAAGAAACTGAGAAACCTCTGCCGCCCCTTAAGAAAGTCGAAAAGGTCAGGTTGAAATTCTATCTGTTTGAATCTTTGAGTTTCAATAAAGCGTTTTTGTATACTCCTCATTTTTATGGTTTTGGCATATCGATATTTTTTTCGAATTTTGCGTCCTGAATTTTTAACATTTATAGCCCCAAGGTGAAAAAATTACCGGATGGTTTCAACAAGGTGGAATTGTTACTGTGTATCTCGACGGGAGATTAATTGCAGAAGTTCCGGCTGATAAAATTGGAAGTGACAATTGGAGTTGGTTAAAGGTTGGGCTAGTTTCCCCTCACATACATCCAACAAGCCTCGACCACAACCTGAAACCTACTTTCAACTTGTCCATGATACACACAGAACCGGATTTATGAGGAAATTTTGAAATAAATCCGGTTGTGTTGTCTAGATTTAAAATAACAATCCTGGCGTCGCCCCACACTGATCCCGGAAAAGAAAACAAACCTTTAGCCAAAACTGATTTACAGATACAGAAGTGTTATAAAGATGTGTCTCCATATGAATCGTTTTTAGGGCTATATTTTTTTTCAGTTTTGGCCAGCCAGAGGAGTAGTTTATCTGATTGTGTATCGTCCTGTTATTGTCCTTGTGGTTGTTTGTGTTTAGTCGAGTGAGTAAATGAGCTTTTTCATTATTTTGCATCTGCTTCATCTGTTTACTAAGCTTTAACTCTTATCTGTCATTTTCACAGAGTGCAATCTCAAACTGCAACACACTACGATTTTCTTTGGCAGGATATATACCAGATTGGCCTCGGCTCAAGAAAAGAGAGGTTCTGTTAGCATGTACAAAATTTTTTATATAGATGTGAATATCGTACCTTTTATTACCTTATTATGTTATTTGGCAGGCTTCGCTTCCTTGGAGACGCATCTCTATAGCTTGCAAAACTCTAGTAGTATAGACTTTCTATCCTCTCTTCTTTCTCTATTCTGTCATCCTTGACTAACCATTAATTTTATTGTAGTGATTAATATTAAATTCGAAAGTAGACTACTAAATTTTATATCTTCAATATCTATTCTTACATTTTCTATTTTCATTTCAAATAACTAGTAGGATACTCAATGTGCTGTAGATATGCTTGATGGCTCAGGTGTTACTGCTTTTTAGGAACTTTTTCTAATTCAGCGGCGACCGTCGCTAGTAGAAATCTTAGACGATTGGCCGACTCTAGTGGTTCGTGAAAAACTTAAGGTTGGCATCAAAATTAGTTTGAAGTTTAGTTTTTGCCAAACAAATAATTCACACGCTTTGAAAAACAAAACCAAAAAAGAAATTTGAGCTATATACACCGTTATCTACACTCTCGCTTACCTTACTAAAATCTGTGCTCCGCTTTGTTTAATTTTTTTGCCAACTTCAATAACCACTTCTTCAACTGCATGTTTTTTTTTTCTTTTTCTTGTGTGAATGAAAGGGTGAATGACTGTCTCCAAAACTAGGTGTAGGCGTCAAACTGAAAGTTTTTCTTTATAGAACCCTGTATCCTCAAGAAGGCCTTCATTGGCTGAATTAATACCAGACTGGCCCATTTTACATCACTTTGAGAAAAAGGAGGTTGGATGACAGAAAACGTCTCTCTCTCTTTGATGTTTTTTTCTTATATGTGTTGCACGTTGTGTTCCACACCATCACCGTCCCATAGTCTCCCGTAGCATTAACCCCTCGCCTGAACCTAATATTCCAAAATGGATGTTGTGTTGCATCGTGGGATCTTTCTAATTCTCTGTACATATATCAATTTTGAGAATTTTTCTCAGCGTTTTTCCTTTTTAATTTTTGTTTTTGTGTTTTTACAGCGCACTTTTTGAGAAGCGACTTCCATTTTTACCACCATGTAAAATATTTTTCTCGATGTGTTTTTATCCCAATTCCCTAGCAAAAGCTCATGTTTTCTTTCTTTCTTTTCTAGAAAGTGGAATCTTTCTTGAAGCCACTCGTCGACAAATATGCCAAAGAAGGAAAAGATAAAAAAGTTGTGTTTGAGGCTGGTTTCTCAAAACCAAATTGCAAACCAAAATGGCTATTCAGAAAAGACGTAAGTTGACTGAACTTGTATCGTAGAACCTTCACTAACCCAACCCACGCAGGAATTGTTCCAAGGCGCCAAATACAAATTCAAGAACGAAAACGAAATCTATCAACTCATAATCATGAACCCTAAAGTAGAAGATACAGGAAAGTACTCCATCGAAATCGGTGGCGTTGCCTGTACCGCTTTCCTCAACGTCGACGAGCCTGATCCGTCATACACTTTCACGAAACCGCTGAAGAAGAAGTACGACGGTTTCACCAAGCACGAAATCCAACTGGAATGTACGGTCAGTAGCAGCTTAGCTATAGTAGGTTGGTACAAAAGTACCACTAAACTCGAGGATGGAGACAAGTACGGCATTTCAAAAGACATCAATGGTGTATGCCGTCTCACTATCAAGTACGGTGATTTCGACGACGCCGGAGAATACTCCTGCAAACTCGAAAAACAAACAGAAAAGACCACCACGAGCTTAAATGTCGTAGAATATCCCTACAAGTTCGTCAAGGTACTCAAACACCAACAACATGTGGAAAAAGAGAACATCACCTTCATTTGCGAGCTTGACGACGCCGGAGGTGAGGTAAAATGGTTCAAGGGCGAACAAGAAATCAAACCGGACAAGAGAGTCAACATCACCAAAGATGGACGAAAATGTAAGATGGTGATTAAAGATGCGAAGGTCACCGACGCTGGAATGTATTCCTGCGTGACCAACGCTGACAAAACTGAAGCCGAGCTCGTTGTCAACTATTTGAACAGATTCAATAAGAAACTGAAGGACACTGAAGCGGTAGAAAGAGAGAAGCTCGTCTTAGATATAGAACTGCAAGATCAGACGGCTCCAGCCGTTTGGACTTTCAACGGAAAACCAATCGAACCCTCTGATAGAATCGAAATCAAAAATCTAGGTGGAGGCAAACATCAGCTCATCTTCCACCACCTCTCAATGGAAGATGATGGTGAAATCATGTGCGAGTCCGGAAAACTGACGTCATCTATGAAACTCAGCGTAAAGAAAGGAGAAAGTAGACCTATTATTGACTTCCCAGATAAATTTGAAGCACCTGCAAGTAGACCTATCACACTTCAAGTACCATACAAAGGTAAAGTTGCGATTAGGTCGTGCCACAATTACTGACTTTGTTTACAGTTTCTGGAACCAAACAAACTCAAGTCGAAGCTAAGCTTGTTAAAGACGGTAAAGTACTTCCATTGAAGGAAGTTGAAGTAGTGGTACGCGACGAAGAAGTCACGTTCAAAATTAAAAAACCATCAAGGGAATTGTCTGGGTTGTACCAAATTAAGTTGTCTAATGGTCAAGGTGAAGACGTTAAAGATGTAAAGATCGTTATGCAAGATGTACCTTCTGCTCCTCTTGACGTTAATGTTACCGATGTGTTCCAAACATCTTGTCAAGTGTCATGGAAACCGTCCAAAGATGACGGTGGTTCTCCTCTTCTACATTACGTGGTTGAAAGACAAGATATTAGTTTGAAGGCTGGTTGGGAAAATGTTGGACAAGTGTCACCAAATGAAAAAACTACATACAAAGTTGAAGGGTTAACACCAAAAAAAGAATACAAATTCCGTATACGTGCCGTGAACAAGCTTGGTACCAGCGAACCTGCACTATTCGGCAAACCAATACTTGCAAAAGATCCTTGGGGTAACACAAAATTAACTTTTCTAATAAATTTTTTTGCTTCTCTAGGTTTTTTATGTGTGATTTTCTATTATTAATGAATTAATTCACAGTGTTGATTCAGTGCTGAAACAGATTTTTACACAATGATTGATTTTTGTTTTTACACAAAAATAGGCTTAAGAGGAATTTAAAAAAATCGAAACGTCAGCACATGTTTTTTGAAACGTCCAAACGTCGACAATTATTTTTCAGGATCTCGTCTAAAAAAAGTGACTTTAGCTAATATTCGCCTATCCCGTTACAGATGAACCAAGTAAACCTAAAGATGTTCAAGTTGTTGATTGGGACAAAGATCACGCTGATCTTAAATGGAGTAAGCCCGACAACGACGGTGGTGCACCTATCACTAGCTACATCATCGAAGTCAAGGAAAAATTCGGAAAGGAGTGGTCTAAAGGTATCGAAGTACCCGGAGATCAACTTTCCGGAACCGTACCAGGATTGAAGGAAAATAGCCAGTACGAGTTTAGAGTAAGAGCTGTTAACAAAGCCGGCCCTGGTGAACCTAGCGATACCACGAAACCGATCATCGCTAAATGCAGATTCGTTAAACCGTTCATCATTGGAAACGATCTCATTCCTATTATCGTGAAAAAGGGCCAAACTGTCAAATACGATATCAAATATGGCGGTGAACCCGAACCAGAAGTTAAATGGATGTTAGACCAAACAGAAATCAAGCAAGACGCAGAAGAAAGAATAACCATCGACAAATACGAACGCAATACCGTAATAACAGTCCGAAGATGTACTAGAATAGACAGCGGCAAATACCGCTTAGTCCTTACCAACAGTTCAGGAACCTGCGAAGGTACGGCCGAAGTCGTAGTCCTAGACAAACCAACACCTCCGAAAGGTCCTCTCAAGATTGATGAAGTCCGCGCCACACACGTCAAAGTTGGATGGCAAAAACCAGAAGACACTGGTGGTACCGAACTCACCGGTTACGTCCTTGAAAAAATGGACATGGAGACTGGCAGATGGATACCTGCCGGTGAAGTGGGTCCCAACGAAAACTCATTCACCTTCAAGGGACTTACTCCAAAGAAGAAGTATAAGTTTAGAGTTAGAGCTAAAAACAAGGAAGGCGAATCTGAACCTCTGGAAACATTTGACGCTATTATGGCTAAGAATCCATACGATGAGCCTGGAGCGCCTGGTAAACCCGAAATTATTGATTACGATAATAAGAGTGTCACACTTAAGTGGGCCAAGCCTGATAATGACGGTGGACGTCCTATCAGCCACTACACAATTGAAATGAAAGACAAATTCTCACCAGACTGGACGGAAGTCACTAAGACCGAAGACAGCAATCCTGAATGCATTGTAGAAAACTTGAAAGAAAACATGGTGTATCAGTTTAGGGTGCGTGCGCATAACAAAGCCGGGCCTTCCAAACCTTCGGAAGCAACCGACAACCATCTCTGCAAACACAGAAATCGTAAGTACTCATCAAAATCGGTAAATTTTCAAACAATATTTTCTTCTTTTAGTGAAACCTCGTATCGACAGAGAAACATTCAAGTCGATTGTTATTAAGGCCGGTCGTACCCACAAATGGTCTGTTGATATTACCGGTGAACCTCCGCCGGAAGTTAAATGGGTTTGGAGAGACAATATTCCTTTAACGAACACCGAAAGAATCAAAATCGAGAACATAGATTATCACACAGACTTCACAATTGTTAATGCGGCCCGTAGAGATACCGGAAAATACACTCTTATAGCTGAAAACGTAAACGGCAAGGATACCGAAACCGTAGAACTTACAGTTTTAGGCAAACCTGGCTCGCCTGAGGGTCCTCTCGAGGTGTCCGATGTCACCGCCGAGAAGGCTAAGATCGCATGGAAGAAACCAGAAGATGATGGTGGCAGTCCAATCAAGGAATACGAAATCGAAAAAATGGACATGGCTACCGGTAAATGGGTCCGTGTTGGACGTTTACCGGCTGACAGAGTCGGTCCTGACGGTAAACTCGAGTACGACGTCACTGGACTCAATCCAGGATCAGAATACAAATTCCGCGTCACAGCGGTTAACGCTGAGGGAGATTCTGAACCTCTAGTTTCAGATCGTAGCACTCTTGCTAAAAATCCATTTGGTAAGTTTATGAAAGGTGTAGGTAACTCATTTAATCGACGCGTTCGGTAGATGAACCTGGCAAACCGGGTACTCCAGAAATCGTGGACTATGATAATACAGGGGTCAACCTTAAATGGGACAAACCACAAAGCGATGGTGGTGCGCCCATCGAAAAGTACATCATTCAAAAGAAAGATAAGTATAAACCTGATTGGGAAAAGGCTGGTGAAGTACCCGGAGACGCAACTGAAGCTAGAGTGGAAGACCTGAAAGAACGCGGAGAGTACCAGTTCAGAATTATCGCTGTTAACAAAGCTGGACCTGGTGAACCGTCTGATGCTTCTAAAATGCAGATCATTAAACACAGAGCTCGTGAGTGAACCACTTTGTTGAAATTTCTAAGGTAACGCGCTTATTTCAGTCAAACCAAGAATCGACAGAACGAATCTCAAAGCAATCTGTGTTCGTGCTGGTAAAATCATTAAATACGATGTGGATGTCAAAGGTGAACCGCCACCGACAATCACATGGTTCCAGAACGACAAGGAAGTCAAATCCGAAGGAAACATTGAAATTATTAACATAGACTATAATACCAAGATTACTATTAATAATTCTATTCGTAAAAATACTGGTATTTATAAAATCAAAGCGGTCAACGAGCACGGCTCCGATGAAGCCGAGGTCGAAGTCACCGTACTTTGTGAGTATTTAGTTCGCTTGGTAGATTTTAGGTGTACTAACTCCCCTCCATAGCATCTCCATCCAAACCTAAAGGGCCTCTTCAAACCACTGACGTCGTTAAGAACGGTTGCAAACTTAAGTGGGGTAAACCAGAAGATGATGGTGGCCGACCAATAACTGGATACGTCGTCGAAAAATTAGATAAACAAACAGGTCGCTGGGCTCCCGTCGGACGAACAAACGATACAGAAATGGACGTCAAAGGCTTACTAGAAGGTCACGAATACGATTTCAGAGTCAGAGCTGTAAACGATGAAGGGGAATCAGAACCTCTCGAAACCGATAAATCAATCATTGCGAAGAATCCATTCGACGTTCCTGGTAAACCAGGCACGCCCGAAATCACTGACTGGGACGCGGACCGTGTCGACCTTAAATGGACCGCACCCAAGAGCACCGGAGGTGCTCCCATCACCGGTTACGTCATCGAAAAGAAGGAAAAATTCTCCACTTCTTGGGATGAAATTCTTACTACAGATTCTCCAGCTACTGATGCACAAGTACCTGGGCTGAGAGAAGGCAACACTTACCAGTTCCGCGTCCGCGCTATCAATAAAGCCGGTCCCGGAGAACCTTCCGAACCGACAGGTCAACATGTTGCCAAAGCCAGACACTGTAAGACCCTTCATATTTTATAAACCGTAACCATAAGTTATGTTTTTAGTGCGTCCGCTTATCAATCGCGAGAAACTGCAAGCTATCAGGGTACGCGCAGGCCAGGTTGTCAAGTTTGACGTTGACGTCAAAGGTGAACCTCCACCGAAGATCACCTGGAGCTTCGCCAACAAACCCTTGGAATCTGCCGGCAATATCAAGATTGAGAACGAAGATTACAACACTAAATTCACTCTCACTGAAACTGAGAGAAAATGGACCGGTACTTACACCATCAGAGCTGAAAATGAATCGGGCTTCGATGAAGCCCCTGTGCAAGTAACTATCTTAGACAAACCCGGTAAACCTGAAGGGCCTCTTGATATCACCGGGGTCCACAAAGAAGGTTGCAAGCTCAAATGGGAGAAACCCAAAGATGATGGTGGCTTACCGATTACCGGATACGTTGTTGAAAAACAAGACGCGTCTACTGGTCGTTGGGTACCTGCGGGTTTCATAGACCCCGACAAAACCGAACATGAAGTTACCGGACTTGAACCAAACAAGAAATACAGCTTCCGTGTAAAAGCTGTTAATGAAGAGGGAGAGTCTGAACCGCTAGAAGGCGACAATCCTATCATTGCCAAGAACCCGTACGATATTCCAGCTCCTCCAGGACTACCAGAGATTATCGACTGGGACGAACATTCGGTTAAACTTAAATGGGAAAAACCCGTCAGAGATGGCGGTGCACCCATCAGCGGTTACATTATTGAAGCGATGGATAAATTTAGTGGTACTTTTGTTAAAGTAGCAGAAGTAGGACCAACCTGCACTGGAAGTGTCAGCAGACTAGAAGAAGGAAATCAGTACAAATTCCGTATTCGCGCTGTAAACAAGGCCGGAACTTCGGATCCTTCCGAACAAACGAACTGGCACACCGCTAAACCAAGATTCTGTAAGACACATTCACTTCGTTCTAGCAACCTTAATAATATTTTTCTTTTACAGTGAAACCTTTGATTGACCGCACCAACTTGAAAGATTTGAGCATCAAATCTGGTCTCTCTATTAGCTTAGACATTAATATCGCCGGTGAACCTCCACCGAAGGTCACTTGGTTCTTCGAAGGCAAAGAAATCGCTTCCAGCGATGAAATTAAGATCGACAATGTTGACTACAACACGAAATTCTTTGTACTCCGTGCCAAGCGTACGCAAACCGGAAAATACACCGTCGTTGCTAAGAACGAAGTCGGCGAAGACAGTGCTGACATAGAAATTCAAGTTCTGAGCAAACCTTCTTCACCCAAAGGTCCTCTCGATGTCACAGACGTTACCAAACACGGATGCAAACTCAAGTGGAAGAAACCAGATGACGATGGTGGTACTCCCATCGATCACTACGAAATTGAAAAACTCGATCCTCTCACTGGACAGTGGCTTCCGTGCGGCAGAAGCACTGAGCCCGAAGCGAATATCGCCGGGCTCCAAGAAGGCAAACCTTACAAATTTAGAGTCAAAGCGGTCAACAAAGAAGGAGAATCGGAACCATTAGAAACCGAAAAATCTATCATCGCTAAGAATCCCTTCGATGAACCCAGCAAACCCGGACGTCCTGATCCCAAAAACTGGGATAAGGACTTCGTCGAACTGGCCTGGTCTCCTCCAAAGAGTGACGGCGGTGCTCCAATTGAAAAATACATCATTCAAATGCACGATAAAGCCGGACGTGGGTGGGTTGACGCAAACACAGTTCCTGGAGACAGAAATACCGGAAGAGTCACTAATGTCGAAGAGGGACACGAGTATGAGTTCAGAATTGTGGCAGTTAATAAGGCTGGACCAAGTGAACCAAGTGATCCGTCTAAACCAGTCACTGCTAAACCTAGATTCTGTAAGTGTTCATACATTTTTGTTTCAACATATATATATATGTAACTATTTTTTTACAGTGGCACCACATATCGATCGTAAAAACTTACAAAAGAAGATTCTACGAACCGGACAGTTACTTCGTATCGAAGCTGATATTAAAGGTGAACCACCACCGGTAGTAACCTGGACCCTGAAAGAGAAAACTATCAAAAATACTGACAGGCTTAAGATCGAAAATGAAGAGTATCACACTTCTTTCACTTTACAAAAAGCTAAACGTACTGATACAGGTGTCTATACAGTCACAGCTAAAAACGATTCGGGTGTGGACACCGTCGATGTAGAAATCCAAGTTCTGAGCAAACCTTCGAAACCGAAAGGTCCTCTCACAGTATCCGACGTTAAAGCCGACGGTTGCAAACTCAAATGGGAACCACCGGAAGATGACGGCGGTGAACCCGTTAGTGGTTACGTAGTCGAACGTATGGACACAGACACAGGCAGATGGATACCTGTTACCACAACAAAAACACCCGAAGCCGACGTTACTGGTTTAAACGAAGGCAAAGATTACTTATTTAGAGTGAAAGCTGTCAACTCTGAGGGTGAATCAGAGCCATTAGAAACCGAAGTACCGGTTACAGCTAAGAATCCCTACACGGAACCAGATACTCCTGGAAAACCCGAAGTCAAAGACTGGTCCAAAAATCATGCCGATCTCAAATGGACCCCACCGAAAGAAGATGGCGGTGCGCCTATTGAAAAATACATTATTGAAAAGAAAGACCCTGTTACTGGTAAATGGCAGAAAGCTGTTGAAGTTCCAGGAAACAAGACAGAGGCCAAAGTGCCCGACTTACAAGAAGGACAAAAATATCAGTTCCGTGTCAAAGCTGTTAACAAAGGAGGCGAAAGTAAACCTTCCCCACCATCAGAAACCATCACAGCCAAAGACAGATTCGTGCCACCTAAAATTGACCGCACCTCACTCAGAGATCTCACCATCAAAGCGGGACAACATATTCGTCTGGACGTCAAAGTATCCGGAGAACCTCCACCATCGAAGACCTGGTTCTTAAACAAAGCCCGTATCGAAAAACGTTCAGACATCACCGTGGACTCTGAGAACTACAAAACGAAGTTAGTGATCGCTGTAGCCGAAAGAGGTCACACCGGAACGTTAACTCTCAAAGCCGAGAATAGTTCAGGAAAAGACGAAGCTAGCATCGAAATTAAAGTTGTTGACAAACCTGGTACACCCGAAGGTCCACTCAAAATCAGTGACGTACACAAAGAGGGATGCAGCCTCAAATGGAACCCACCACAAGACGATGGTGGTGTACCAATCGAATACTACGCTGTTGAAAAACTCGATACTGCTACTGGCCGTTGGGTACCGGCAGGTCGCGCAAAAGAACCCAAGATCGACCTCAATAACCTTGAACCTGGTCAGGAATACAAATTTAGAGTGTCCGCCGTGAATGCTGAAGGTGAATCGGAACCTCTTGTAGCCGAACAGACAATCGTGGCCAAGAATCCATTCGGTAAGTTATGATTAAAATAAAGAAATTTTTTTTATCGAGTTACTTTATAGACGAGCCTGGTGCACCGGGAACACCCGAAGTTACTGACTGGGACAAGGATCACGTCGACTTACGATGGACTCCACCAACTAATGATGGTGGATCTCCAATCACCGGATATATTATCGAAAAACGGGAGAAAGGCTCACCAAAATGGACAAAAGCTGGAGAAGTTGGTCCTCAAGATACTAAAGGCACCGCTGACCATTTAGATGAAGGTGTCGAATACGAATTCAGAGTGAGGGCAGTTAATGCAGCAGGTCCTGGTGAACCTAGCCAAGCATCGAAATCTGTCGTCACCAAGCCTAGAAAATGTAAGTCGACGCTTATTACTCAGCATACATATAACTAACAAACACTTTCCAGTGGCTCCCAAAATTGATCGCCGCACTCTGCATAACTTAACTGTGAAGGAGGGCGAACCTATCTACATTGACGTTAAAGTCAGTGGTGAACCTGCTCCCGAAGTTGTATGGTACCAAGACAACAAAACAGTCACACAGACAGCACATCGTCGTGTCGAAAATATTCCGTATAATTCCAAGTTCTTTAACGACAAACCCGAACGAAAGGACACTGGAATTTACAAAATTGTTGCGTCGAATAGATACGGCCAGGACACGGCAGAAATTGAGATTACTGTTGTCTGTAAGTTACACAAACCCCCAAGGTATTCAATAAGTTAACACGTCAATTTACAGCTAAACCCGGACAACCAGAAGGACCTTTGGAAGTTACAGACATCCACAAAGATGGTTGCAATCTCAAATGGAAGAGACCTAAAGACGACGGTGGCGAACCCATTGAAGCCTACGTTGTCGAAAAATTGGACCCAGAAACTGGAATCTGGTTACCGGTGGGAAAAACAACCGGCGATGTACCAGAAATGAAAGTAGATGGTCTTATTCCTGGACACGAATACAAATTTAGAGTGAAAGCTGTTAACAAAGAGGGCGAATCTGAACCATTAGAAACCGCTGGAACCATCACAGCTAAAGATCCATTCAGTAAGTATTATAGCTATTTCTATTGTATGAATGACGACTAACTTTCAATTTAGCTACGCCAAGTAAACCCGGAGCTCCAGAACCTGTTGACTGGACCGCACAACACGTTGAACTCAAATGGACTGAGCCTCCATTCGATGGTGGTTCTCCGATAACCGGATACATTGTCGAAATGAAGGACAAATACAGTCCCTTGTGGGAAAAGGCTTTGGAAACCACATCAGCAACTCCAACTGCCGTAGTACATGGTTTGATTGAAGGAAATGAATATCAGTTCCGTGTAATTGCTGTCAACAAAGCCGGTCAAAGTCCTGCTTCAGATTCAAGCAAGAGCTTTATTGCGAAACCGAGATTCTGTAAGTATTGACGCACCAAAACTAACTTTAACTAAAAAATGTCATCACAGTGGCGCCAAGAATCGACAGGAGACACCTTCACGATGTCACAATTTCGGCTGGATCACCGCTTAAGTTTGATGCTAACATCATTGGTGAGCCTCCACCGACTGTAGAATGGCGCTTCAATGGCATGACCCTCAAAAACAATAACCGCGTCTTAATTGAAAACGTAGATTACAATACTAAGATTGCTATAAGACCAGTCAATAGAGATGACACCGGCGAATACACTGTGACCGCTACAAACTCTTCAGGAAGAGATACTCACACTATTAATGTAACTGTTACCGCTAAACCGTCTCCACCTGAAGGACCCTTACAAGTATCAGACGTCAATAAGAACGGCTGCAAACTTAAATGGAAGCGACCTAAAGATGATGGTGGCACCCCCATCGAATACTACCAAGTCGAAAAAATGGATCCCGAAACTGGAACCTGGGTACCTTGCGGAAGGGCTAACGAACCCAGTACGTCTTTCACTTAACTTTAAAACCAGTTCTAACATTTTTCTTTTACAGACTTTGAGGTAACCGGTTTGACACCTGGAAAAGAGTACAAATTCAGAGTTGCTGCTGTAAATGCAGAAGGAGAATCTAAACCACTTGAAACCGAACAAGCAATTCTTGCCAAGAATCCATTTGATGAACCTGGACCACCAGGCCATCTCAAGGCTACAGACTGGGATAGAGATCACGTTGACTTACAATGGACTCCACCCAAGGACGACGGTGGTTCTCCAATCACGGGCTACATTGTCGAAAAGAAAGATAAATTCGGGGACTGGGAAAGGGCCTTTGAAGTACCAGCAGATCAAACTAAGGCCACTGTTGGTGATTTAATTGAAGGACAACCTTACGAATTCCGCGTAAGAGCTGTCAATGCTGCCGGTCCTGGTGACCCAAGCAACGAAACACCGACCATTATCGCCAAACCCAGAAACCAAGCACCTAAAATCGACCGTACCAATCTCATTGAAGTACGCATTAAGGCAGGTCAACCGTTTAACTTCGACGTCAAGGTATCAGGCGAACCCATGCCTACCACTAAATGGTTGATCAAAGGGAAAGAAATTAAATCTGGCGATAGAACCAAGGTTCAACACGGCGACTACAACACGAAGATTTCCGTCCGTAATGCCACACGCTCCGAATCTGGCACTTACACGGTGACAGCCGAAAACGTTAACGGAAAAGATATCGCTGAAGTAGAAGTGATAGTTTTGGATGTACCTAGTCCGCCAGGAGGACCACTCAAAGTATCCGACGTTCACGCTAACGGTTGCAAACTTAACTGGCGTCCACCTGCCGACGATGGTGGCCAACCCGTCGAAAGATACGTGGTTGAAAAGATGGACGAAGCCACCGGTCGCTGGGTACCGGCTGGAGAAACTGATGGTCCTGAGACCTCCCTCAATGTAGACGGCTTAGTTCCAGGCAAAAAATACAAGTTCAGAGTACGTGCCGTCAACAAGCAAGGCAAATCTGAGCCGCTCACCACCGCCCAAGCAATCGAAGCCAAAAATCCGTTCGACGAACCTGGAAAAACCGGGACACCGGAAATTACCGACTACGACACCGATTTCGTCGAGCTCAAATGGGACCGACCAGAATCAGATGGTGGATCACCGATCACAGGGTACATCATCGAAAAACGCGACAAATTTAATCCCAATTGGGAGAAGTGTGCCGAAGTCGAAGGCGACGTCAATACCGGAAAGGTTAATGATCTCATTGAAGGAACACCATACGAGTTCCGCATTCGCGCTGTAAATAAAGCTGGTCCTGGAGAACCAAGCGATGCTTCCAAGACTCACGTGGCGAGACCCAAAAATCGTAAGTTCGGAAATTATGACAAAAACAATATAACGACGGTTTTTTTTCAGTTGCTCCCAAAATCGACAGGAACGCCTTACTTGACATTAAAATACGCGTTGGTCAATCCTTCGAATTCAACGTACCTGTCATCGGCGAACCGCCACCGAGCAAAACATGGGCTCTTAAAGATAATGACTTATTTGAAACTGACAGAATTAAAATAGTTAACGAAGACTATAGAACCATTTTGAAGATTTCTGACGCGAAACGTGCTGATAGTGGACCGTATCAACTAACGGCAAAGAATATCAATGGGAAAGATGTTGCTACTGTCAACGTCACAGTATTGGATGTACCTACTCCGCCTGAGGGACCACTTAAGGCCGACAATGTCACGAAGAACTCTCTTACGCTTCGCTGGAAGCCACCCAAGGATGACGGTGGCTCCGAAATTAGTCACTACACAGTCGAAAAACAAGATACTGAAACTATGCGCTGGGTTCCAGTTGGTGAAGCCATGGGGACATCCATGCGAGTACCTAATCTTACTGAAGGCCATGACTACAAGTTCCGAGTTTGTGCGGTCAATAAACAAGGAGAATCGGCTCCACTAACTACCGCTGAAAGCATTACCGCTAAAGATCCCTTCACTAAACCAGACAGGCCTGGCGCACCCACTCCAACAGACTGGGATAAAGATCACGTGGATCTTGAATGGTCCCCACCACGAAAGGATGGAGGATCACCAATCACTTCATACATCATCGAGAAGAGACCAAAACATGGGTAAGTCTAATCATAATGAAAAATATACGATATTTCTAAAAATATATCTAGCACATGGGAAAAAGCGGCTGAAGTTCCTGGTAATCAAACTAAAGGCACCGCTCCCAACTTAACCGAAGGCGAAGAATACGAATTTAGAATAATCGCCGTCAACAAAGGCGGACAAAGTGAACCTAGTGAAGCGTCCATCCCTGTTATTGCCAAACCTAGATTCCAGGCACCCACATTCGACAAGACGCTACTTGAAGACATTACCGTCAAAGCTGGTCAACGCTTCGGGTGGACCATTCCCATCGAGGCATCGCCAAAACCCACCGTTAAGTGGACCGTTAACGGCAAAGAGATTAAAGCGAACGAGAGAATTGATATTGGTGTTTACAACAATAAGATGTCTTACGATGTGTCGTCTTCTATTCGGGCAGACGCTGGAAGATACACCGTAACATTGACTAATGACTTAGGAAGCATTTCTGCGTCCGCAAATGTCACAGTCCTCGATAAACCAGGACCACCACAACCTCCACTTAATGTCAGCAATGTTACTAAAGAAAGCGCAAGAATCAATTGGAAACCACCACTCGACGACGGTGGTTCACCAATTCTCCACTACATTGTGGAAAAAATGGATGTATCTAGAGGAACTTGGGCCGATGCGGGAATGGCCACGATTACATCTCATGATATAACGAGACTGATTCACCGCAAAGAGTACTACTTTAGAGTTAAGGCGGTGAATGCCGTTGGGGAATCTGAACCCCTTGAGACGCCCAAGAGCATTATTGCTAAGAACGAATTCGGTAATTTTTTGATCTGTGTTCTGATACGTTGGTTAATCCTTTGATTTCAGATGAACCTAGCGCTCCTGGTAAACCAGCTGTTACCGACTGGGATAAGGACCATGTTGATCTTGAATGGACACCACCGAAGAATGACGGTGGTTCTCCACTTACTGGATATATCATTCAAAAGAAAGAAAAAGGAAGTCCTTACTGGACAAATGCTGCTCACGTACCTGCTAACAAAAATACTGCTACAGTACCTGACTTGACCGAGGGACAAGAATACGAATTCAGAGTAATAGCGACCAATACAGCTGGTCAAAGCGAACCTTCAGAACCTTCTGATGTTGTAACCGCTAAAGCTAGATTCTGTAAGTCTGAGGTTTTTGTTATAACCAAGTAACATTTCCTTTTTAGTGGCTCCCAAAATCAAGACCCCGCTTAACGATATTCGTATCAAAGCCGGACTTATTCTTCACGTTGATATTGACTTTATTGGTGAACCGTGCCCAGAGGCTACCTGGACTGTTGGAAGCAAAGGGCTTACTGCAGATGACCGTACCACCGTAACCTCTATTGGTTACCATACTGTTATTCACACGGTTAACGCTAAGCGTTCGGACAGTGGCTTGTATCATCTCTTACTCAAGAACAACTCTGGAATTGATGAAGGGTCGTTCCAAGTTATCGTCTTGGGTACGTTATCGTATGCGGAATTTAAGGTAAGATTGTTTAATAACCTATTTCAGATCGTCCTGGACCTCCACAAGGTCCTCTCGAATATGAAGAAGTTACCGCACAAAGCGTTACGCTTTCATGGAAACCACCTAAAGATAACGGTGGCAGTGAACTAACGTAAGACTATACCATAACTAACTTTAATTACTGCACGATTGTTATTTCAGTGGCTATGTAATCGAAAAGAGAGATTTGACTCACGGCGGGGGCTGGGTTCCCGCTGTCAGTTACGTTAACCCGAAATACAACCACGCGGTTGTACCAAGGCTGCTCGAAGGAACCAAATATGAGTTTAGGGTATTTGCTGAGAATCTTCAAGGACGCTCCGATCCATTAGATACGGACAAACCAATCGTAGCTAAGAATCAATACGGTGGACTTTGGGCATATTTAGATATGTATTTAAAACTAACTGTGTTTTCTGTGTTGTAGATGTTCCTGGTAAACCCGGAAGGCCGGAACTTGTGGACAGTGATAAAGACCACATCAAGATTAAATGGTCTGCTCCTATTAGCAATGGCGGCTCTCCCATTATTGGATACGACGTCGAAAGGCGGGATCGTGCAACAGGACGTTGGGTTAAACTCAACAAAGAGCCTACACGCCATTTGGAATTCTACGACGACAGGGTACAGGAAGGACATCAGTATGAATACAGGGTATCAGCTGTTAATGCCGCTGGAGCTGGTAAACCAAGCGACACATCTCATGTATTCACCGCTAAACCAATGAAAGGTTGTTTATTTCTTACTAATTTTACGACACAAATATATTTTAAATTACAGAGAAACCAAAATTGTGGCTCGATGGAATTATCGGGCGTAAGATCAAGGTGCGCGCTGGAGAACCAATTAACATTGATATTCCACTGACCGGCGCACCTACTCCTAAGATCGAATGGTCGAAGAATGGAGTAGTTATACCTGAAACCAACAGAGTCTACGTAAGTTTCCGCAACATTCACAAATAATGAACTTATTATTAATCAACTACAGACCGAAACAACAAGCGAGCATACCGCACTCAGAGTCGAAGTTTCGAATCGTGACGATGCTGCCAAATACACCGTCAGAGCCAAGAACGAATACGGTTCCGACGAAGCCGACATCGAAGTCATCGTTGTCGACAAACCTGGAATTCCCAGAGGACCCCTTATGTATACCGAAACCACGCAAGACAGTGTCTCCTTGTCTTGGAACCCACCGCATGACGATGGCGGCGGCGAAATTAGCGGCTATATTGTTGAAGTTAGCGAGTTTGGAACCGATAGTTGGCGTCCATGCCCTGGCTTCTGCCCACGTCCGTCATTCACCGTACGCGGACTAACGGAAGGAAAGAAATACGTCTTCCGCGTCCGTGCCGAAAACATCTATGGCGTTTCTGAACCACTTGAAGGTAAACCAGTTGTAGCGAAGAGTCCATTCGACCCACCAGATGCGCCAAGTCAACCAGAGGTTACCGGCTACACTCCATCTTCATGCTCTCTGAAATGGAATCCTCCTACATCCACCGGTGGTAAACCCATCACTGGATATTACGTTGAAAAGAGAGAACGCGGAGGTGAATGGATTAAAGTTAATAACTATCCAACCCCGAATACTCAATATACGGTGCAAGACCTGAGAGAAGGTAACAAATATGAGTTCCGCGTTATAGCCGTGAACGAAGCTGGACCTGGCAAACCAAGCAAACCAACCGAACCAATCACAGCACAACACCAAAGATGTAAGAATCCGTGTCGATATTTTACCACTGTTGTTTCATTGTTGTTTTACAGTTAAACCCGACGCTCCTGAACCACCAAAACCAGATCGCATCACCAAAGACAGCGTTACGTTGTCTTGGAGACCACCACGTAGCGACGGAGGCTCCAAACTCAAGGGTTATTTGTTGCAAAAGAAAGCCAAGGGTGACGATGACTGGAGCGACGTTAATTCTGTTCCTATATCCGAGACTGTGTACACGGTGCCGAAATTGAAAGAAGGAGAAGAATATCAATTCAGGGTAATCGCTGTTAACGAAGTCGGCAAGTCTGAACCGAGCCGACCGAGCACCAGTATTCTTATTGAAGAACAACCCAATAAACCATGTATGGACCTCGGAGGAGTTCGTGATATCACCGTACGAGCTGGTGAAGATTTCAGTATCCACGTTCCATATGTCGGTTTCCCCAAACCCACAGCGTCGTGGTTCTGTAACGACAAAATTCTTGACGAATCTGATACACGCGTATTCCCGAAATTGGGCGATGATGCTGCTAGCATTATTGTTAAGAACTCAAAACGCGGTGACAGTGGACAGTACAGACTGCAACTCAAGAATCCATCTGGCTTTGATACTGCTACCATTAATGTTAAAGTACTCGACAGACCGGGCAAACCCGAGAACCTTCGCGCTGACGAATTTGCAGGAGACGCTCTCACCTTGTACTGGCAACCACCTAAAGACAACGGAGGTTCTGACATTACAAATTACATTGTTGAAAAGAAAGAAGCTAGGTCGCCCACTTGGTCTAAAGTTAGCAGCTACGTCACTGTTCCGTTTATCCGTATTCGTAACTTGACGCTTGGAAGAGAGTACGAATTTAGAGTTATGGCTGAAAATCAATATGGTCAATCAGAACCGGCAGTAACCGCTGAACCTATCCGCGCTAGACATCCATTTGATCCTCCTGGTGCTCCTGGAGCTCCTCGAGGCATTGAGACCAGTGAAGACTCTATTACTATTCAATGGACCAAACCCAGACACGATGGAGGATCTCCAATTACTGGTTACGTTATTGAGAAGAGACTGATTTCGGAAGACAAATGGACCAAAGCTTCTCATGCTCTCATACCAGATCTTTCCCACAAAGTCATTAATTTGATCGAAAATCACGAGTACGAATTCAGAGTGGCGGCTATTAACGCTGCTGGACAGGGACCATGGAGTTCTTCATCCGATGCTATTGCTGCAAGAGCACCACCATCGGCACCAAGAATAACATCCGATTTAAGCATCCGAGACATGGTTGTGATTGCCGGTGAAGAATTCAAGATCACAGTACCTTACGTAGCCACTCCTAAACCAAGAGCCTCATGGACTATCAACGGAGACGAAGTCTTATCAGACAGCAGGATCAAATTTGAAACTACCGATATTGCTTCTATCTTCACAAACAAATCAGCGAAGAGAAACGATAGTGGAAGCTACACTATCAAACTGACAAATTCTGAAGGATCCGACTCTGCCACATGTAGAGTTTTGGTTGTAGATAAACCACAACCACCTCAAGGACCTCTCGATATTTCTGACATCACTCCTGACAACTGTTCATTGGCTTGGCGACCACCAACCGACGATGGCGGTTCACCCATCACCAACTACATTGTCGAAAAACTGGACACCAACGGAATTTGGGTCAAAGTTAGTAGTTTCGTCCGCAGCACCCACTACGACGTGATGGGCTTAGAACCAAACAAGAAATACAGCTTCCGAGTCCGTGCCGAAAACCAGTACGGTATCAGCGAACCTCTTGAAAGCAGCGACCCGATCACAGCCAAGTATCCATTCACAGTACCTGACGCACCTGGTGCGCCACGTGTCACTGACTGGACCACAAACACCATCTCCCTGACTTGGGACAGGCCTGCCAACGACGGTGGCTCACGCGTCCAAGGCTACAAACTTGAATACCGTGATGTATCTGACACTCACTGGCAGAGCGCTAGCGATTACCTCATCAAGGAAACTCACTTCGATCTCTACAACATGATCAGCGGCCACGAATACGAGTTCCGCGTGCGCGCCAAGAACGCCGCTGGTTTCAGTAAACCATCACAATCGTCGTCTAAATTCAAACTTAAAGGCAAATTCAACGTGCCATCCGCACCTCAAAACCCGAAGGTCGTCAAAGTTGGAAAGAGCTACGTCGACCTTACTTGGGAACCTCCTACGAGCGATGGTGGCTCTAGAATTACGGGATATATCATCGAGAAGCGCGAAATTGGTAGCCCGATTTGGCACAAATGTAACGATTATAATGTTACTGACACTAGCTACACGGTTTTGAATTTGACCGAAAGGTCAGACTATGAATTCAGAATTTATGCTGTTAACACTGCTGGCAGAAGTGAACCAAGCGCGTGCACTACTCCTGTTAAAATTTGTGAAGTTCTTGGAGGTGAGAAACCTGAATGGATTCGTACACTTGGCAACCAGACCGCACCTCTTGGCAAATCGGTGTCCTTGTCGTGTGAAGCGTCCGGTAAACCACAACCTACCTTCCGCTGGTTAAGAAACGGACGCGAAATTAAAATCAGTGGAAGATTCAGAACGGAAAGCAAGGGAGGAGTTGCATGGTTGCACATTACTGACCTTCTGGATATCGATGATGGTGACTACACCTGTGAGGCTAGCAATTCGTTGGGTTCAGTTACAACAACCGCTCGCTTGAGGATTGGAAGTAAGAGATAACCTCATCTTCAAGTTGGCATGTTATTAATTGTAATTTTTGCAGCACCTCCACGCATCGAGCGTCTACCTGGAGACCTGTACCTGGCGGAGAACGACAACACTAAGATCAAGATTTACTACTCCGGCGACCAACCCCTGGACGTCACTCTTACCAAGAATGGACAAAAGATTGACGAATCCGCTCACATCAAATACACCATCTTTGACGACTACATTATCATTTTCATCAAAGGTATCACTAAAGATGACGCCGGCACTTACAACCTTACTGTCAAGAACGACAGCGGAAGTGCTTCTGGAAGCTTTACCGTCTACATTACCGGTCTTCCCGGTCCACCAACCGGACCTCTGGAAGCCAGCGACGTCACTAAACACACGTGCACGCTCAACTGGAAGCCGCCATCTTACGATGGTGGTCTACGCATCACTCACTACGTCGTTGAGAGGAAGGACGTTACCCTCAGCCACTGGATCACAATTAACAGCTCCTGCAAAGATACTACTTTCACTGTCCAAGGGTTAACTGAAGGCCAAGAGTACATTTTCCGTGTTATGGCTGTCAACGACAACGGAATGGGTCCTCCACTCGACGGGGTTAACCCGATCCGTGCTAAAGCTCCATTCGACCCACCATCACCTCCTGGTGTTCCTAAAGTTACGCAAGTCGGTGGCGATTTCGTCAACCTCGAATGGGCTAAACCGGAGAGCGACGGAGGTGCTCGCATACAGGGTTACTGGATCGACAAACGCGAAGCTGGCAGCAGCACATGGCAAAGAGTCAACATTTCAATTTGTCTACCAACTCAAATTAATATTTCCAATTTAATTGAAGGACGCAAATACGAATTCAGAGTATTCGCTCAAAATATCGCTGGAATTTCTGAACCTTCATCCGCTTCCACTTCCGTGGTCATCAAGGATCCACTTGCGGCGACACCACCAGAAATTGTCAAGCCTCTCAAAAACGCCAACTGCATACAAAACCACAACGCCCAATTCCAGTGTACTATTACTGGCTCGCCGAAACCTACGATCACTTGGTACAAAGGAGCCCGTGAAATCGTTAGCGGGTCTAGATATACAATCTATAGCGAAGATGATGTTCACTACTTGACCATCAATGACGTGTTTGGTGAAGATGCTGATGAGTATGTCTGCAGAGCCGTTAACAAAGCTGGAGTGAAGTCCACCCGTGCCGAACTTATTATTATGAGTAAGTCGATTCGTTTGTTGGTTTGTTCATACTAATGTATCTATTGCAGCTGCACCAAAACTCAACATTCCACCTCGCTTCCGTGATACCGCATACTTCGACAAGGGTGAAAACGTTGTTATCAAGATTCCGTTCACTGGTCATCCGAAGCCAAAGATCACGTGGGTGAGAGAAGGCGAAGTTATCGAGTCCGGCGGTCACTATCATGTAGAAGTCAAGGACAGACACGCCATTCTCACCATTCGCGACGGCAGTAAACTGGACAGTGGACCATACAGAATCACTGCTGAGAATAACCTGGGACAAGATTCCGCTATTATCAAGATTCAAATTTCTGATCGTCCAGATCCTCCACGATTCCCGGTCGTTGACAATATTGGAACGGATTCATTGGCTCTGTCCTGGAAGGCACCCGTATGGGATGGCGGTAGCAACATTACTAACTACCTGGTTGAAAGGCGAGAACATCCTCTATCGACTTGGATTAGAGTTGGCAACACGCGGTTAACTACAATGGCTGTCAGCGGATTAACACCCGGCCACCAATACGAATTTAGAATTTATGCCGAAAACATCTACGGTCGGTCTGACGCTTCTGAAGTAAGCACACTAGTAACGACCAGAGACACCGGAAAGAAAGCTATACAAAAGAGAAAGTACGAAGTTGACGAAACCGGCAAGAAAAAGAGAGAATCCCACAAAGAAAACGTCAAAGACTACGATCAATACGTTTTCGATATTTACTCCAAATATGTGCCCCAACCTGTCGAAATCAAGACCCGAAGTGTTTACGATGATTATGACATTTTGGAAGAAATTGGTACCGGAGCATTCGGCGTTGTACACCGCTGCCGCGAACGCCAGACTGGTAACATATTCGCAGCCAAGTTCATTCCTGTGTCTCACGCCATGGAGAAGGAACTGATCCGTAAGGAAATTGACATCATGAACCAGCTCCACCATCCTAAACTCATCAACTTACACGACGCCTTTGAAGATGACGACGAGATGGTCCTTATTTACGAATTCTTGTCAGGAGGAGAATTATTCGAACGTATCACGGCAGAAGGCTACCAAATGTCAGAAGCTGAGGTCATCAACTACATGAGGCAAATATGTGAAGCCATTAAGCACATGCATGAAAGAAACATCATCCATCTGGATATCAAACCAGAGAACATCATGTGCCAGACTCGCAGGAGCACCAACATCAAACTGATCGACTTTGGACTTGCCACAAAACTGGATCCTAATGAAGTCGTCAAGATTTCTACCGGAACTGCCGAATTCGCGGCTCCCGAAATCGTCGAACGTGAACCGGTTGGTTTCTACACTGATATGTGGGCCGTCGGTGTTTTGGCATACGTGCTGTAAGTACTTTGCAACTTTTGTGATATAATATAGTAAGTCTGTCTAGGTTGAGCGGTCTGTCACCGTTCGCCGGTGAAAACGACATCGAAACTTTGAAGAACGTCAAGGCCTGCGATTGGGACTTCGACGAAGAAGCATTCGGTCACGTTTCGGACGAAGGCAAAGATTTCATCAGACGACTACTACTGAAGAACAAAGAGTAAGTGGTTGGTTTTTAGAAACAGGTTTTCATTACTGATTACAGGAAACGTATGACCGCTGAAGAGTGTCTAATGCACGCTTGGTTGAGCGGAGACCACAGCAACAGAACACTAGAAATCGAACAATCCAAATACATCAAGATCCGCAACAGAATTCGCGCCAAGTACGACAACTGGGAGTCGTTCATTCTCCCTCTTGGCAGGTTATCAGAATACTCGTCACTGCGTAAACTACTCATCGACAAATACAAGATCCATGACGCCTTCTTCGGTACGTAACGAGAACGGGACAAAAACGTTGTTAATACGATTTGTTGTAGATCGTCGGCAAGCCGCACCTCGATTCGTCATCAAACCTCAAAGCGCTTTCTGTTATGAAGGACAAAGTGTCAAATTCTACTGTCGGGTTATTGGTTGCGCTGCAGCGACACTCAGCTGGTACCATAACAATGTAGAACTCCGACAGAGCGTCAAGTTCATGAAGCGCTACGTCGGAGACGACTACTACTTTATCATCAACAGGGCTAAGTTACAAGACCGTGGTGAATACATAATAAGAGCCGAAAACCACTACGGAGCTAGAGAAGAAGTGGTCTTCCTCAACGTACAACGTAAGATGATTCGAACCGCTTTGTTGTCTCGGAGCAACGTTTAACCGTATTTTTCTTCTCTTGCAGCTCTTCCAAGAGTTGTTCCGGATTACAAACCTTCCGAAGCTGAACCCGTACGCAGACGTGAACCACTACCATACACCTACTGGGCCGAAGAACACGAATGTGCACCTAGCTTCACCTTCCTTTTGCGTCCTCGCGTTATGCAAGAAAGGGATACTTGCAAACTGTTGTGTTGTCTGAGCGGTAAACCATTCCCTACCGTTAAATGGTACAAAGACAAACGCGAACTCAGCAAATATGAATATTCGATGTCCACTTCCGACGGTGTCATAACTATGGAAATAGTAGGGTGCAGACCATCAGATTCCGGGAAATATTCCTGCGTGGCTACGAACATCCACGGACAGGATGAAACATCTTGCGTTGTTATAGTTGAAGGCGACGCCAGTACTGAAGAACAGTCTAGACTAGCACAGAAGTTCCTGTATTCGGGCGATAGGAAATATATTGAACAACCGATCAAACCAGCACCTATGACTGTTACAATTAAGAAACCCATCCCGAGTGTGTCACCACTGAGGAGCAGTTTGAACCATTCTCCGTCTACCTTGAGTGTAGATGGCGCCGAGAAACGAGCGCAGAAGAAATATGGCAGATTGGATTCAACGGGAAGTCCAAATAGGTCAAGGAGTGCCACCAAAGAGCTCGCATGTACGTACTTATTTATTTTCTTACATACAGAAAAATAATATTGTCTTGTAGTACCACCTGACGATTCAACCATGTGCGCTCCTAAATTCACCAAGAACTTGTCGGACCTTACTGTCAACGACGGTGAGAGCTTAACACTGACTGCTCACGTGATTGGAGACCCAGACCCGCAAATCGTATGGTCCAAGAACAACAAAGTTTTGACTTCCTCTGAAGTCGTCGATTTGAAATACAAGAACGGAATTGCCAAGCTCCACATTAACGAAGTGTACCCTGAAGATGAAGGAGAATATGTTTGTAAAGCCACCAATTCAGTAGGAACCTCAGAAACTAGATGCCGTCTCAAGATCAAACGTAAGTAAAGATTGTTGGTGCGTTTTCCCGGTTGACCGTCTTGTTACAGCCATGTCAAACGCTACTAACGGGAAAAAGAAGGACGGAGAAGACAAAGCCCCGAGGATCGTGAGCCACCTTCAATCCGCTTTCGTCAAGGACGGTGAACCCGTTACCTTGTCTTGCCGCATCATAGGTGCCAACAAGTTCGACGTCATCTGGTTGCACAACAACAAGGAAATCAAGCCTAGCAAAGACTTCCAGTACACTAACGAAGCGAACATTTACAAGTTGATCATCGCCGAGATCTTCCCTGAGGATTCTGGTGCCTACACTTGCGAGGCTTTCAATGACGCAGGAGAGAGCTTCAGCAGTTGCACCCTGAACGTGATAGTACCCGGCGAGCAGCCCAAGAGCCCCGTGTTCAAAACATTCCCGGTTTCCGCCACGGTGTCCGAAGGAGAGTCCGCCACCTTCGAAGCAGAGACAGAAGACGACGTGCTACAAATCAACTGGCTGAAGGACAGCAAACCTATCAAGGAGAGCAGAACCAAATACAAGTTCACCGCTGACGGAAAGCGCTATACCTTGCAGATTGTGTCCTGCGACTCTAACGACGTCGGTCAATACCAGGCTAAGGCCATCGGAAAGAAAGGGGAAACCTTCGCGGCCTTCTCCCTCAACGTTGTTCCACCAGGAGAACTCTAAGAGCTCTGACTACGCTATTAACGCTAAATAAACGAACGACTTGCTCCGAGAGAAAATGTACTTATGTATCATAATGTTGTGTATAAATAATCTATTTATAAGTGTTTTATATCACGCGGCGATCGGAAAGGAGGTGGCCCGGCATAGCGCCCTCTCCTAAACGTCTCAGCATCCTCAATTTAACATCTACGTGACGACTTTTCGGATACAGCTCTATGCCGACTACTTCCTCGACGACTCTCGAAGCATTACCGCACCGTCATTATTAATTTTTTTTCATTTCATTTGCGAATAGGGAGCAGACTTGTCGAATTATTTAACGGTATGAAAAGAGAAAATTTTATTTAGTGTGGAAGTGCTTTTGCCATCTGTTCATTATGCCATCGTTGTTCATTATTTAAGTTTTCATAATGCATTATCGCTTTTGCAAAGCCGTACCAAAATTGTATCATACTATGTAAATTAAAAATATATAATTTTTAAACATCGTTTTTTTCAAACAACCTTCAAGATTCACATGTTTCGAAAGAGATAACAATGTACTCATTGTCTTCTGATAACCGAAAAAACACAACTTGTCGGTGTTTGTAATTATACTCGCATTGCGAAAAATTTTTCGCGCTAATGGAATTAAAACAACACCAAATCAGCTATAACGAATTCACATCTGCATATTAAAGCGACCGATCACGACTTGAAGAAAAACTTAAACAAATGAAGGTTACAAAATGTCGACTATTCAGTTACATAATCACTACCAGAAATGACTTAATAGCTCGAAATAAACAACCCGACGTTGCTATAGGGTCGCTCACCTCTACAATTTTTTCATAGAAGTGGTGACACAAAAACATAATCAAGGTACAAATATTTACGCCGGGTCTGGAATTTTAAGCCAAGAACCCTGGTTATGAAAAAAAAAATCGTAGTAACCTTCAAGATCTTATTCTGGTTACGGTTTTTCATTCATACAAAGGAAGTGATTACATTTGTCATCGACGGATAACCACAATTGTATTGTTCACCGGTACCTTGACTAAAAATTGTAGTAATTTCCACGAATGGAAAAAACTATCACGAAAGTGAAGACAGTCAAGGTTGAATAAGCAAATACTTGTTTGATGGAAGGAAGCCTCAGGGCTCCACATTAAGACACCTTACACTTTTCATTTTTGTCAATGAGTTGATCCGTTCTACACAAATCTAATCCTCTACGTAAAGAAAAAGACTCTTTTCAACTCCTTACTTTTATTTTCAACTTATAAACGTTACAAAATTTATAATAATAAACATTATTAACATGTCAGTAAAATCTAACAACAGTCAGGTTAGTATAAAATTCGAATAGGTATCACAGTAAAGGCAATTAATTAATTCCTTGATCCCAAAAACGGGGACCTCTGGTCGACTGGTCGGATGCTTCTGGTTTCTTCCCCAAATCTGGATTGTAACTGGTTTCCTTGAGAATTTCTCGAAGCTTCAATATGATCGGCGTTAAGAAGCCAGAAAGGTCTGTGTTCTCGTGGCCACTGGTTCAATCTATCTACCAATACGGCATCTCCACGGGCATCAACTGGAATTTTGGCTGTTGTCCCATCTTCACCCACTCTGTTAAAAACAGCAACAGTGGATTCCTCATTGGGGTCTCTAAAACGACTGGCTAAGTCTGGGCGGCCGATGGGACGACTTCCGGCATACATGGGACGCTGAGCCATGGTGGCAGCGAAAATGGCAACCAAAACAACTAGGAATTTCTGAAAAAGGAAACACCACATTGTGAAATTGTGATAACACCGATAAACTATGAACTATAGCCACGAGATAATTCAATGAACGAACACTAAACTACTTGTAAATGGTAAAAAATCAACACTTTAACAAAAATTAATTAAAAAAAACAAACAAGTTTCACTTTTTTAACGAAAACTAAGTAAACGACTACTTACCATTGTGTGTAAACTATGCGAAAACAAGCGAACTCTATCGACGAACTTCACCGTTCTGAGATCACAACAAGAGTGAAGTTGAAATCTCGAAGAACGTATTTATGTATAACTGATTCGCATTACGTTAGAAATCACCGCCTTGGGTGTTTCTCGGACATCGATAAGTCGGCGGCCAGGGAAATACCCAACATTTTAAATTTCACCACTGAAGAAGCATGAATTAAAAAAATTAATGCGCCTCTGCGGTTTTATTACCGACTGGAATATTAAGACAACCCAAAACAACAAAATAGACCTTGGGATTTTTTCACTCAAACCAGTTACGATTAAAAAAACTATAACAAGTTTTGAATTGTATTGGCGACAAATTCCATACCAGAGCACAAAAAGTTTGCCTAGTCATTCTGAAAAATTGAAAAATTGGGAACGTTTAGAACGATGCGGCCCGTAATGATAGAGTCGTTGTATGACTAACAATGTTTTGATTGCGAAAACTCGCTTATTAATTAAAGTAATAATAATGATAAATGCAAATTAATGGCATTTTTAGTACTGGAGTGTTCCAAGAACATCCCCTATTATTATCATTAGAATTATTGTCAAAACTGTGGAAAAAGCCTGTAGAAGCACGCTACGTCATTACCATTGACGTCACTGAATTCCCGCTACATGTAGGTAGGTACCAATCAAGGATGACGCAAATGCCCCGATTGTGGAATAAAGGCAAAGGGGAAAAATTTTGCGTCAGATAAAACTCTACCAATAAAACAAATGTAAAAATTCCGAGTATCATAATTCGATTGTATTTACCATCACACTGGAGTCGGGAAAAACTGACCTTTACATTATACGCTAGAATATCCATATTAATAAATTATGGTTTGTTGTTAAGTTTTACTTTTTACGCGCTACAGGCTATAGCTATTTCAGTTCATTACACATACATAAAATTCACAGCACATAAAAATTATCTTCATGACTGTCTATTGTTTACTTATCTTAAGTTACTTTTACAATGAGACAAGATTCATCCGACTTAGTTACTTTTCCAGAAATTTTTCCAACCGACGGAAATTTTGAAGTATTTAAAATATTCCCGGTACTACGTATTTACTATTTACTGTTTCTGTACGTAAACTTGTTGCAGTAATCAACAACCATGACATGATAAGTCACAAAACTGCTATCTTCATGAACCTTACGGATTACAAAGAACCGATAAACTAGTCTGAGCTCATCAAAAACCACTAATAAAACCAAAAAACAACAATTTGTGGTTATTTACGCGAAAACAAGGAAGACGCCTGTGGTTATTGTACATTCATTGTTGCTTCAATCAGCATAAATTCCTTCAAATGGTAAAAAACGAATTTTCTAGAAACGTATAACTATTTATGAAATATAATTAATAATTTAGAACAAAAAAAAACATTTTATTTTTAAAACTAATTTTGCATTTTCGTCATTTCGACGCTTCGTTTTGAAAAAATACACCTCGAAGAAAACAAAAATGAAACACACTGTAGATAAGCGGCGCAATGGATTATTTTGCGAGCTGCCAGTTTTTTTGAGTTTCACTATCGAATTTTCTTGTCGATTTTTTTTCTCTTTTGTGTTTTACTGTCGTGTAGTTAACATCGCTTGAAATCAAAAGACAAAATGTTGCCTGGAGAAGAACATTTGATTTACAAGTACTTTCCTAAAATTGTGGCGACCTGCAATTTAGTGCGAGTAATGAGATATCTTTCGATGAAAGATCCAAAAATCGACGACGTACTCGCAACTATAAAACTGGCAAGTAGGAAAATTGGGCGAAAGTGTTTTTCATTGAGTATATCGTAGGAGGAGGATAATCGTCACAATAACAGACTAATTCTGTTTAAACTACTGAAGCTGAAATCTGAAAATCTCTTCAATAATTTCGTGGCGTCCCTTAGAGAGTGCCAATATACCGAGGTAGCCGATAAGCTAGAGTATAGCCCTGTACACGCCACATCGGTAGATTGTGATACCAGTCGATGGTAGGTAAGATATTTACCATTAAATGATATTAAAATAATTTCTTTAGGAACCCCTGACCAATTAGCGCTCAAAGTCATAGTGAATGGACAGTTCACCTGTTTATGAAAATTGTTTCAGCTCTAATGTAAGGCAATCATAAATTTTAATGTTTTTATGTTTTATTTAGGGACGTCGGTTCGGTACGTTTCGAAAACCAAATAAAGACTTTCTATTGGTTCTCGAATGAACGTGGACCGGACTAGCGTTCTGGGTAATTTTTATGTAAGTAACTTCATTGTCAAAATGTAACCATTGTAATCGTCTTTATTATATGTGTACGGAGTACTATTTAAATAGACTAACAAAAATTTTTTAACTAAAATTAAATGTAGAGAATTTTGGGAAATCTGTCATGTTTTTAGATTTGTTGTTACGCCACTGGATGTTTTTTAGATTACAATAGGGGTGTCATCTATTTAATTAAGCTCAAGTGTGTACTTTGTAATTAATTAATTAGCTGTCTTGTTTGTAATTTTCTCTGCTGTAATGCATACATATACATGGCATGGCAAGGGAGTTAAGCCCCTTGGTGTGTCATCAATATGGGGGCTATTCAATGATCATATTAAAAAGATTCACTAATGACTACAGGAATTTTAAATCGTTTCTTTTGATGATACCTACCTTGTTAAGTTAAAGTGTTTTTAGGTTATGTCTAGTCACATCCATGTAATTAACACAATATCAGCTGCATTATTAAGACAAAACTTACCCAATAGTTTTAAAAAAGGGCTGGAAATAATCAGGAAAGCACTTTCACAAAAATAATCACCGTTTTAAGAGCGGCGCGAAATTGTCCCGCCACAAAGCACTACTTTACCGACATTGACAAATCTGCCGCAAGATGGCGCTGTCACGAAAACACAGAAGAGCGCCTAATTCAAATTTTTAAAAGTGTTGGAAATTATTTCCATGCAATGAACGATTAAAGTCGAAAGCAAACAAAAAAGGAATGAAAAGTGTACTTTAAAAATATTATTTATTATAAAAAATGTGACAACTGGAAACACAAAACATACTTCTGAAATTGATACTTCGTGATGGCTGTTTTTCTGCCTAAAATAGGGGTCCAAGTACTGATGACAAATCACAGGCGAAAACGTAGAATCGCGATTGTGTGAGCTAACTACAATAAAATAAAATAAAAAAGTTACAAATATAAATTTATTTAGTTACAAATGGAAAGGTCTATAATATAGAAAACCCTGAATAAGTCGTGTTTGATAATTGGTCAAATGTTTATTTACAAAATAAAAGGTTTGGCCAAAAACAAACAGTCATTATATAGGACATACACAATCACTAACAATTCACAACTAAGGTTAATCATAAATTACTTGCTATAAATAACCTGCTAAAAATTTAGTCTGGTTGATCCCTTAAATAACATAAGAGGTGTGTTTTTCAAAACGATATTAAAACAATAGTTTCGATAGATTAAAAGGATCTTTATATACAATCACTTTCACGTAGAACTATATACATTACTGTATTGACAATGGTTAAAACAATGGATTAAAATATTAAAATGAAAAACAACACCTTGAAAGAACTAGAATTTCGTGCACTAGAAGTATCTCAGTCTGATTTACCGTCGTAACTTAGTTGCAGACAGCGTTATGACTATTGGTTTTGTCACATATACAATCACTAATTACATTAAATTATTTAAAGCATCCAATCAATAAATTATAATTAATACTGTAGACATATTAGTGAATTCTAACGACCTAAATTTAAAACAGGCTACTTATGTAACAAAATGTAACTAGAACAAAAGAGGGCAAAAACCGAATCTGTTAATTAATGTCAAGTAACGAAAAAAACAAGTGAACAAATTTACACCTAACTGAATAGACCAGCTTGAAAAATTTTTTCTTTTAGGTACATAATTTAAAATTAATGGTACTTTGTATAAAAATAACACTTTAAAAATGATAATTATTCACAAATTGAAAGCGACAGCTTTCTTTTCGCATCTAAAATTAAATAAATAATGAGTGGCGTTTCTCAACTCTATCGCGATGAAATGAAAACGACAGACTAATTTACAAGTCTAAAGTACAAAAGCTGCTAGTTCTATCTCCTTTTATTCTAAATCAATGTTCAACAGACAAGGAGTGAGTCTATCTACTTGCCTGTGCAACGTGGAATATCCAGAAAATGAGCTTTCCTTGACATAACAATACAATGATGCACGAAATTATATCTACAGAATTTGTACCACTGAAGTTAAGATCAAAACCAGCATTGCACACAAAGAAGTCTTAACTTACTTCCAGCCACTCGCAGCGATCAAACGCTTAGGACGAATATTCGAATGAAAATAATAAATACAACTAATGAAACGCAAAACTAAGAACTTTTGATTGCTCGCTTGGCTAAATTTGACACAACCACTTATTAACTAGACGACGGTTAATACGTCATTGGGTGAAATTTAGAAAATAAAGTTGTAAAAACAACACTATGTGAAATAATGTCACTTTTACACACAGAGTGGAAGCTCACTTAACGGATCTTCTTGAATCCCCTGATTTCTGTCGATAGTAAATGTATAAACAAACTATACAAAATTTTTACAAAGATCTTCACATTCAATATACAGCTCTATCATATTTATAATAACAGATGTGACGAACTCTGCAAACCATCTGTAAGAACAAAAACACCACATCTGATGAAAAGAATCTAAATGTCCGACACACTATGTCAATGGAGTGCATACTACTAATAAAAAACTTTCTTCGTAATTGAAATGCTAATGTTTATAAAAACTTTAATAATTATTGAATTTAATTCGCTGCAGATAACACCACTGTACACTGCACTGTTTATATAGCATAGCTAGGCCAAAAAATCCGGGTCACTGTAGTCATTTTCACTTTCATCACCCGATGAACTAACGAACTTTCGCCGTTTCTTTTTGTGTCTGTGCTTTTTAAGTTTTTCGGACGTTCTTTGAGAACGTGGCGTACGTTTTGTATCACTGTCCAACCTGCGACTCGAAATCACCAGTTTGGGCACTTTTGGCGGGGATGTATCCTACGACAAAAACAATGCATTAAAAAACGACCAACCCTCGTACAAAAATCACCTTATAATTTTCCAGAGCCACTTGATCGGCCTCGGTCAAAATTGATGACGCACCACCCGACGACTGGTTCGTACCAGCCACGTTGCCAGAACCCAAAGCCGTCAACACCTTCGAACTCTCCTCGTCGTCCGGATCGTCCGGATCCAGCTTCAGCATCAGCTGCTTGAACTAAAAAACGAACAACATCGAAATAACTAAACAATTGTACATACTTTCCATTAAAAATAATACTAATTGAATTTATGACGTGACTACGAGGGGTTGGACGGCACAACAACGAATTATCATTTATCGGTGCGATTTAAAAAATATAGAAACAATCACTCACGTCCAGATACTGTCGAATGAGATCCCTTCGTCCCTCTTCATCCAAATACTCTGGAGGAGTGCCCTCCTTCAACTTCTGTAAAGTACCTTTAGGATTAAATAATGCGTTAATGCGTCGCGAAGCATTTTTCTCGTAAACTTTGGCAGCTTCTGATGGGGAATATTGTTGAATTTTGCTACAAACGAATCATGAATGTACGAAAAAACTTGCCGTTGCACACAAACCTGTCACTAAGGCCATAAATATCTTTCAAATGTTGCTTCAACATGAGCAAAAGCAGACAACCCTGTGCGGTGGTAAGATAAGCTTGCAGCTGTCTCGTATCTTCAGGTACTCTGCTAACCAAGACATCTTCGTCGTCGTCGTCTTCATCCAGCGCTGAGACCACGTTGGTTACATTATCGGTTCCCGATTCGAGGGCCATTCTCTGCGCATCAGTCATTATTAACCCCTGAAAATAGCGTTACAGAACTTTCGTAAAGTAACGCCTGAAAATTCATTTACCTCTCTAAATGATTGAAGCAGATTCGTTCCAGATACTGAGATCATAATATCAATGTGATGAACAATGAAAAGCGGCTCGTCTTGAACCATGTAAGGAAAATACGCCAAATTGTCAGCCAAGTATAACATATACGATAAACTAGTGCGCTGCAAAATTTTTCAAAATTGTACTACGTCCAAACCAACACGATTTTCAACTTACCACTTGTTCATCAAATTGTTTTAAAATATTTAAGATTAAGGCACGTCTTTGTTGTCTAGAATTGCGAAGTATCGAATATAAGTATCCATTTAGCGACGAAGGATATTCGCCAGCTTCTCGTACACGTGATCCTCTCACGATAACCTCCCCTTGTAGGATTTTTTGCAACTGATAAGATAACATGATTCCTAGAGAAGACTTCGTGTGGATAAAGCCTGGATATTTCTTTTCGATTTCTAGAAGCTGTTTATCGGCGCTGTGAGACACGAGTTTTTCGCAGTCAGTACTCATACAAATCAAGTACGGAACGATTTGTACTGGATGTACTAAACCTTGTTGCAGTACGAGTTGTATGACTCTCAAAGCCGCCTGACGAACTGTTAAATCGCTATGAAGATACGACTGCAAAATCTCTTTCAAATACAACTGAATAACCGTGCTCGCCATTCCAGAACTGACATCACCCATTTCTTTTAAATTCTCTTCTTTGGAGCGCTTGGACCCTATAATTCAAACCACGTAGAAAAATCAAACTCGTGCGGATGCCGTACTCACATTCTAAATCTTGCTGGATCATCCGGTTCTCCTCTTCAACCAAATAGTTCTCGATATTGATAAGAACCTCCGCCTTCATTTTAAGAGGAGCTTCATCAGACGTCAACAACTTGTGATAGAAAGTTTTCAGTTCCTTTTCCAACATAAATTCATAATGTCGGATGCAAATACAACCCACAGCTTTTAACGTGTTAGCTTGAATATCGAAATCGTCCCTTTGCAAAAAGTACATCATGGACTGATAAACCTGATCTTTGATATCCAACTACAAAAACACGATATATATTTTTCCGAAATGACTTAAGTCGACTTACCGGAAGATCACCAATGACGTCGGGATCTTTGAAATCGAAGTACCTCAACAGCAACCCAATACAAAACAGCGCCCTTCGAAAATATTGCCTATATTTCGTATTGCTGATAAATTTGACGTTTTCGGTTTCCAACCATCCTTTGAAACGTATCATGTAATCATTGTAGCGTTTAAAACAATCCCTAATTAGTTGAAAATTCCGTGTGACTTTATTGATAATGGAGCCTAAACACGACAAGCAACTGCTGACGATGGGTCTGTCCGCTTGTAGTACTAATTTCATCGCATCTTCTTCCAACTGCGCCAAAAACGAATCGCTTGGATGATCCATCAGTGGTACTACAAGTTCCAGCATTTTTGCGACGCTACTGATGATCTGTATGTCACCATTGGACTGACATTTCAGACCCAGATATGGCTGAAGTGTACTTGCATGCTTGACAAGTAACTGAGGCCTAATTTTGGCAAATAAATACAGAGTCGTCAAACAAGCAACTAAGCGCTGGGATGACCCAGAGCCATCGTTGGTTTCTTCCAATCGCAGTACGTTTTCTATCAAACAATCGACGATCTGCCTACACGCCAGAAGCAGTGCTTTTGGCGGCTCAGTTTGAACTTTGGTCGAATCGTCTTTGTCTTCTTTTGGCTTGAACAACTACACACGACTCATTAGTAGATCAAACACGTACACTCCCACAAAACTACCATTGTCAAAATTTTGCACTATCGCTTTGTTTTACCCAATAGTAGTTTCATGAAAAGTTTCCACCCGACTTTTGTTACTTACGCTAAGTAGAAGCTGCTCGAACCATTCCAATCCTATATCTTTCGATGACGCAACAACGTCGGTGATATTCATCACTTTTCGCAACAACGACGTGTCTTTGGTAGGTGTGAACCACATATTTTGAAAAACTTCCATCACTAGCTTGCGTATGCCCTCTTCGTCGTTCACTCTTCGTATCATTTTGACACAAATCTCGGGTATTTTCGAAAATTCGGGACATTCTATACATATATCTTTAAGTATTTTGATAACTCGTTTACGCACGCTAACTCCAGTATCTAATATTCGATTTGAAAGCATCTCGTAATACTTATCGATCAACTCAGGACGGCTCAAAACGAATTTTCCGACTAGATCAACCGCTGCCTCCCTTACTGACGTGGAATGATCCAGAAAGGAATGGTTGACACCCATTTGCATATCATGTCGACCCAAAACCGACGGATCAGCTTCCACTATCATAGTTAAGCACTTCATGGCTTTGGTTCTTATCGCTATTGAAGTCTCCTTCAGAACGATAAGAATCTGAAACCCATGGATTAAAAAAAAATCCAGAACTAGTCACCACTGATACATACCGCTTTCAAGTACAAGTCAAAACTTTGTGAGAAGTACCTCTTCGACGCTAAATATTGTGCGATTAATTCGGCGCTGTTGTAGTCGATGTACGTCTGAAAAATCTGCACTCGATTTCCAGACGAGATCGTCTCTTGAAACGGCCGAATCCTCTGAATGAGAAACTTCTTCTTATCTTCTATTGCGTTGAACTTGTCCGCGTGATCTTGTTCTTGATCCTTTTTCTCGTTTTCGTTATCTGACCCTTCGTCACTACCTCGTTCGTGCCGCTTCGACCTATGGTTATCTCTGGAGTATTTTTTGTTATCTTTAGCACCTGAGGCCAATTGTGATTTTTCAACAACGGCATCTTTGTACCACTGCGCGATATAAAAATGCCTTGCGTATTTGTACGCTTCGTCGTTCTGGGCATTCACAGCTAAGAAATCTAGAAGAACGCGCTGAAGAAACTGCGTTCGTTCTTCTTCTGTGTTCGTCGCGAGGTGTTTTTTCTTACTGTGGTCGTCACTGTCTTTCATTTCTTCGGATTTGATATCTTTAATCATTTGATCAATGGTGTCTAATTTACATCTTGACAGGACACTATCACGTCGGAGTCTCGCGGCCACGACACCTAGATAATCCAAACTGGCTACACGTAAAGACATATCAGTACCCTTGTTTGAGAAAGTGTGAACCAGCATTCTTCCCAAAAGACTTAAAAGAACTTCAGTCGCAGGCCATTCGGGTTTATTCACAGTTGATAGTAAATCTTGGACGAAATTTTCAAATAACGGTCGGTAGTCAATATCTTCTGATTTGCTACCGCACTTATTTAAAAACACCCCAAGAAAAGTAGTGGCTGTGTTCAACGCTTTATCGTATTTGCTACATATCAGGACGTCTTTATCAACCTAGAAACACACGCTGTTTATTCCGCGACTGAAATACCATCAAACTTACGACTTTCACATTTTCGCTCTGCGTTCCATCGTGAAAATTTTTATTCGAAAGGTTATCGGGTAAAGCTACGACACACTGAATTAATTGTAGAACCAAAGCGGTTAACATTTGGATGTGTTCTTCGCTATTTAACCTATATGTTCGTAAACTACGTTTCGTACTGGGAAGACGAGCGATAGAAGCCAAGATATCGTCTAACAATAGTCTTCGATGTGTTTCATAACGCGTGAAAATCTAAAATTTTTTGTCCATCGACCGGTTTAGTTGCGCAATAAGTACTTACCGTTGTGACGAGTTTGAGGCAAGCCAGTTGGAGTTCGCTGACGTTTTCTGCGAAAAATGGTGACACGCCCATTGACGACGCATGTAGAACTGATGTATCCGTCAGTACTTGTATGTTTAACAATTCAGCTAACAAATTAACTAATTCGGAGATTTTCGTATATAAAACTAGAATACTCTTTTCAGAAACTGGTGTTGATTTCTTCCTTCGTCCATCCTTCTTTTTGTTATCTAACCTATATGTAGAATCAAAAGATGGGAAAATCGTGTTGCGTAGATGGTATTTAATGAAAAGGACCACTCTGTCGATCACTTCTTCCAAGTAGACTCTTTTAGGCATGTTTGAGGACGTCATAATGTAGAGGCAGATAAGACACGCATCTGCAGCCCCCATTACCCGCTCCATTGTTGTTTCAAGCCACAACTGACGAATACTTTCGTTGTCCTCCTATAATAACGAAGTTATTTCAAGAACAATGAACAAGAAACCACGTACGTCAGTTATTGGTGACACCCTGTCTCCGCCTCTTATATTAAGTTCTAGAACATTTAACAACCTAACTAATTTATCCGTTGGAATCATTTCCATAGCGCCTAATATTTTTAATTTCGCAGCTTCAGTACACAGTTCTTGCATCACGATTCTACTTAGAAGATACTCTTCTTGTATGATCCCGTCATCCGCTAAAACAAAGAAATAATTTTTCATCCACAACCACCACCTTCCTGCCTACCAATCTCATTGACGTCAATCTCTTCGGCAGATTTGAGCACGTGCTCAATCGACCTATTAAACCTCAAATATGTATTGGTCTCCATCAGCTCTTCCTGCGACAATTTCTCCAAAACCGGGACGAACTTCTTCTCAACTCTCCTCAATTTCGGTTTAATCACAATAGGTTCAGCTTTCTCCTCCTTCTGTACGACTTTCCTCTTCCTATTACTACCAACTAGCGCTGAAAACGTATCAGGAACAAAATCGTCGTCACTTTCGTTGCTCTTCTTCTTTTCCTTCTTTCGTTTCGGCCTTTCAGACTCGTCTTCTTCGTTCGATTCAGACCCAGATTCTCCATCTTTCTCGCTCTTTGTGAGAACGATACCCAATTCTTTCGCCAGTTTGGGTCTCGTCTCAACGAATTTAGCTAAACTTCTTTGCATTAGTAACTGATCTTCGACCGATAGTCGGTCCAGTTTCACGATTGGTTGTTTTATTAAAGTCTGTTGAGAATTCTCAGGTTCTGAACTTGTTTCTGACACAGCCACTCTTATTTCGGGTTTCTCTTCTGGTGTTGCTTCAATTTGTGACGGAGATATCTCGGAACTTTTTTGACAAGTTTGAGAGTTAGAACTGTCGGGCTCTTGGGGTTTAGGGGGCGGAGGAGGCGGAGGGGGCGCGGGAGGCGCCGCCTCGTTTGCCCGGTTTGGCGACGGCCCTGCAACCACAACTGCTTTCGTTCGTAAAATGTCTAAATACTAGTTTTTTGTCAATAAAATTCATTTCAAAAATACAATTTGATACTTCGCTTAGATTAACTTAACCAAAAGTGATGATCAAGTTTCAAAAAGACCGAAATTTCAAATTATCGAAAAACAAACTAATAAAACTGAAACATTTCTTCGATTTACCATCAATCGCTATAATTTTAATACTTTAGCAGCAACACATCGTTCAATAATGTGAAATTACAGTAATTTTCAACTTTTTACCTGTGACGAATACGGCAAAAATATGTGTGAAGCACGCACAACAAAATCACATTGTTTGCATAAACAGCAGTTTTGTACAACTACAAGTCAAATTAATAATATATTTGTAGTAACATCACAAAATTTTGACTTTTTAACCAAAAAACGCCTTCCGAAATTACGGCTGCCATTTTGAATGAAATGTCAAATTGTAAAAGCAAGCCCACTACGTTTTCTATGATTTTCAAAATAGGCGTGACGGACCTAAAAATTGCAAAAAAGTTCAAAAAATCACAAACATGTCTTTAGTTTGCCACCATTGGCCACGATTTTAAAAGTTTATTAATGATATGCTGTTTCGCAACACAAAATTAATCCGATATTTCATTTTTACCTGAGATGGGTTTACAAAAAAGTCAATCGAAGAACACGCACCACAAAATCACCTTCATACGCAGAAAGAACCACTATAAGCACAACTATTGCTAATTTTGGTTAAAATAACTCAGTTTAAACTTTTTTCAAACGACCGTAATGCCTTAATTTGCAAAATGTCATTTTGACCAGCCTACTTGAGTCTTCTTTGATTTGAAACTGGAAGCGTGACGTCACGTCCGTCGAAAATCTCGACAACTTAAAAAAAATGAAAAACCCAAAATTGGCAATAATTCAGCTCATTGGGATGAATATTCAAATGATCAATGCAGAAAAAACACGAGTGAATCACTTACACGTGACAACTACGCAGACGTCAATTTAAGCCACATTTGCGTGATTTGGCGCCAAAATAACATTAATTCGTTTCTTTAATCAACAAAAACGCTCGTAATTAGCGAAATGTCATTGTCGCCAGCCTACTCTGTTATTAGTTTGATTTGAAATTAGACGCGTGACGTCACAAATGTCAAAAATTGACAGTAAATAAATAAGTGCACAAAAATTTCAGTTTAGTACCTTTAGGGGGCTTCCTCATTTGCCTGAGTTGTTCAGCAGTTCCTGGTTCTTTGGGATGGGGCTCCTCCGGCTGTTCATTCAGAACCGCATTGTTAGATATGTGGGTATTATTGCAATTAACAACAGCGGGGGTTGATTTTTGTTCGGTGATAACGGAAGGCCTGTTCGGTTGTCGTGGTGGTGCCGGCGAAATGGGGCTCTCCTGTGGCGGGGGATGATGATGGCTAGCCGCCGCTTCCTTTACTTGCATCGTTGGTTGACCTATATGATTCCAAAGGTGCGCAGACGGCGTAGGTACAGCTTAAACAGCAGATTAAAACGAGGCCCCTTCTCGGTTTTAGGACTTACTCGCGGTGCCGCTGAACATGTTAGGGTTGCGTTCTAGCATGGCCCGCAGCAAGACGGGCATGCTTTCTTGTTGGTCAACCTTCGTTTCAGTACCGGCATAGTTATCTTTGACTTCTCTGTGGGGGTGAAGAGTGAGTGATTGCGATTGGTTTTAGCTAGTGGGACTTACATGTGTTCCGCTGAAGTTTGTACTAGCGATTGTACTAACTGTGGAACTAGAACTTCGTCCCGGACTCCAAGCAAATTTTGTGCTTCTTCTGCCACTCGGGGGTGGAATAGCAGAGATTTGTTGCTCAGAGTTTGAGGGGAAGGGGTGGGTAGTGGCATCTCGGGCAGCACTGAATTTGATTAAGTGATATTAGAAACGCGTATTGTTTGATAAGGTGGGAGTGCTAGAATTTTGGTTGTGTTTACAGAGTGGTGAAAAACAAAGTTTGAATCATAAACATGTGGTGACAGAGCCGCAGTATGACGTTTTGTGTTGTTTACAGTGGGAGACCTTAGCAAATTGATAATGAAGTCAATTTTGTCCGATTTTTGTTAGTTGGAGTCTGTAGTTTGTGGTTAGTGTGGGGATGGTTTATTTGTAAATAGTGTGATGGTACTTACGGTCTGTAAGACTTGCCACCCCCGCCAGAGTGGTGATGGGTACACTCGGAATTTCCCGATCCATCACAGATTAGTTTAATCCTCAGCCAAATACCATTTTAAAGAATTCTGCAATTAGGTTATTACTATATTAATGCACAGTGGCGAAGCAATGTTTCTGGTGTAGACAACGCTTAACCTAACCTAACACTTGTACAGGGCTTTCAACAAATAACAAATATTATCTTCGAAATCTTAAATAACGTAATGCACTGTTTACATGATCACTTTAAACAAAATAGACGTTCTTTTTTGCAGGAAAAGCACTGCAAGTGACATAACTGTCAACACCATTTTAGATGACATTTGACATAGAGAAATAAATGAAAAAATAATCAACAAATATCATTTTTGGCCACTCACTGACGGTTTTAACTCTTTTTGCACTGATTTATACACTTTTTCTTCTTGTAAATATGATTACTTGATGAATGCATTATCGAAGTGTATGGATTTGTTTGTGAATGCTTGACGAACGATTCCATCCGAATGCGAGTCTATGGCTTGTGCACAGCTACAAAGGAGTTCGGTACATGGCTAGTGGTTACATGTTTACCCAAATTTATCACTCGCACATAGTTTTAACACTCATTTTTATAATAAATATAATGCCATCGAATGGCGACGTTCTAAACAGACAGTTGATTGGGGAGGCAAACTCCAGTTAACCAGTTCTTCTCTTTCTCGTTCGGTATACTTCAAGTGTTTGCCCTTAGATGACACCACTTTCCCGCCAAAATACACACATTCAAAAAATATTTACACAAATATCAAAAAACCTTCACGTATTTAACATATATCGATCGTCGACACACGAACTATCAAACACCGATTACCATACAACGAAAACTATATTTTATCCGACTTCTGAAAAGTGTCCAAGTCTTTATTTCACTTTGAACTTTTTTTTTAGTTAAGTTTGTTCGCTTACTAAATTATAAATCAGAACTTGAACCATAACTCTTTGTAAAGGCAGCTCATATTGCACTAACTATTTGTAAACAGGAGATCATCCACAGAGTTTAAGGCCCTCACAGACGGTGCGCGATTTATCCGCACAGGTCTATCGTCACTTTCCGTATCTGCCGACTAAATATCACCAGTGGCGCAACAAAGGTGGGGGATGGCCATAATCTTCACATTTTTTTTACATTTTAGAAATATATAATTGTAGTTTGTTCGTTTTGTTTGTGGCAGGTTATTAAATTTAAGATCTTATCATATACACCATAATCGACTAAATAGCTTATAAATACCTACAACTCACAAATAGATCTGCCAAAAGAAATATAACTTCTATTTTCTGCAAGCCTTGACTTTTAGATGGGGTTTTAAACTTAATAGATTCAAAACTACGCAATATATCTCAGGACTAGAAACATGATAAATCAAATTTTTAGCTTCGGCTTCAAACAAAGACTTATCCATTCCACCTTTGCTACGCCACTGCTAAAATCTACATACGGCGGCAGATGTTGAAACAATATTAATCAAATATGTGACAAAGCTGTCGGCCATGTTACAGTTCCTCAACTGAATAACCACAGCAATAATAAATCTTGCGGAATTCACGAAACTGGATTGTGTTGACACACTTACCTGAAAAATAATTTCGAAGAATCGAGCAATTATAAGTACATGCAACCAACACTACAGCATGCTTTGATCCAGTAATTCCTAGTAGATTTACATTGATTTAATATTACTTTGATCAGTATGTTTGCCGAAAAATTTTATGTTTGCAGTTGGCTGACGTCGTACAACTTACGTCACGCGTTACCGTAATTTATCATAGTGTATGTTGAGCGTAAGCTAAAGAAGTATTGTAATCTCCAAAACTAACGGACCGATTGTTGTCAAATTTTACATATATATGTGTTAGGAATATCGTGTAGATGACAAAACGTTAACTACAGTTTGCCTAATCATCCCTACCAACAATGTAATGACATTCCCTCAAAATTGTTCGTAGTAAGTAGGATTTAAATTTTATAAATTAACACATTTCTGAACTTGTTATTTATGAATCCGCGTTAAAATTTCCCCGAGGCGTCCAAATTTTTGCAAAAATCGAAATTGTACAGCAACCTTTTATACCAGTATAGGTGGAATTCCTACAAGGTTATTCGTTAGCTTATCGCGTAAACGGTTCGCCTTCGCAAAAATCGCGCACGTTCGAATGTGAAACAAGCTCTATAAGAATCTTTAAAAATATATATACAGTGCCTTTAAAAAAATGGTCAAACAAATAAAGAGAGGGTGTCAAAAAAATGTTTTTGTTTTTAAACTTTTGAAAAAACTGGCCATAATGAATGAATTATTCCATTGTAATAAGAATATTTTAACATACATTAATGCAATATATTTTATTCTCGACAGAAACAGTTCGTTTTTGTCTAAATGTCTATTTACATAAACAAAACCCACATACTCACAACCCGCACGTAGACTTATAAATTTCTTGTGATAAACTGATAAAACTGGTACATAAAAGTTGAAGAAAAAAAACTTAATTGTAAATACATATAGCAAATATTAAATATATTTTAAATCACCATCGAAACTGATGGACGCATCGTTTACTCAAAAGTTATATCGATTTACGTATTACGCAATTTTCTGTCCAATTTCACTATGCAAACAAACTAACATCGGAACTCGGGAAATATGGCTTATGTCAAAACTAAGCAGTTTATGTTTTTTCGACGCTTCATGCTTCCTAGAACAGAAAAAATAGGTATGAAGGTCTCCCGTTTCCGTTTGTTTGCCGTCTGTTAGACCAGTACCGGTAATCTGCTAACGCATTAGACCGTCGTGAAATTTTATATATCGTCTAGATTGTAAAATGCTAACTAAAATTTGTCTGATCACCCCCACCAACAGTTGGATGACGCAATTTCAAATGTTGCTAGATAAATTCTGTCCAAAATGTGCGTTCACACTTGTGATTTATCAACGCAGCCATATTTTTTAGAATTTAAAACTTGCGCGTTGTATGGTACAGTGTCTAATCTAATAATCCACCTCTGTTTTTTTCTGATGATGCTTCAGGGGCGTTATTCGCCATATCTTGATTAATTAGATGCTAACTTAGTCCGGTGTGTTTGGACCACAATCGCCATCTGTCAGAAGTGGCCATTCGTCACATATTGAAGGTTTAGGTCTGCGCTACCTTTTTTTTTTTTTTGTTTTAGTACTTCCTCTTGCGCAATCACCGATTTTGTGTCTAAGATTTCTTTAAATATCTTCCACAGTTATTAAAAATAAAAAACGAAAAATAAAAAACAGAATTTGGCGGGAAGTCGCGTTTGACTGATATTGGATACAGTCAAATATACCGCTCGCCCCACTACACTGTGTCTCAAGTACTGCCTAAAGTGGAGACATAACGTCTGGTGTGAAACAATTTATTATCGGAAGTTGTTATGACAGTGATATAAACAATGCATTTTGTTATCAGAAGCTTTCTTCAGAAGTTGCCGCCCTATAGCGGGCATGTGTTTGAGACACTGTATTTATTTACAGTGGGACGTGACGACGAGTAATTACTTAATAAAGCAAATTTGAGAAGACACTAGCATTGTGCAAAGCACTTACCGTCTGAACATTGGCATCTATAGTTCGTGTCATTTGTTGCTTTGGTGGCACTATCGTGGAGAAAACTGCACTTACACTTAGACATACTGCGTGAAAATAAACCCAATCGCGTTTATAATTATAACTGATATTGGTACATCCTCAAAACTCATGTTGAGGTGTAGTGAGATAAAGAGTGCAGTAAAAAAGTAAAAACGGTTGATAAAAGAAGATGCGATTGCGAGAATAGAGAACAATATAAGTATAAATAAATAAATTCGTATTTATTTATTTATAATAAAGGACAGAGTGTATAAGTAGAGAGGTAGTTATAAGGACAATTATAAATAATGTGTTAAACGGTATTACAAGGAGCAACATGATGCAAAAGACGACATCGTGAGAATAAGCAAAAAACAAAATAAAAAAAATAAGAGAAAAGTCGTAAATGTATCAGATCTATTTTATACATTTGATAGGTATATTACAAAAATTGAGATAGATACGTAGTAGTAACTTGAAGGGAATGATTAGAACCCAACGTTAATGTAGCTTTTATACTTTATTGTATTGAGTTTTGTCAACATGGAAAAGTACAAATATTGCATTACACCGACTTCTAGCCTGGAATACACAATAACATTGTGTGTAATATAAGAGTTGTCCTGTCTGCAACGCAATGGCGATGCGATTACACTTGCATACTTAGTATTTGCCAGTGTCCAGTGCCAGTGTACTTTACATATTTAGCCTACTGTCCGCACTATCCGATGACCTGGTTCCCAGCTTCCACAGCCTTTCTTATAAAGAAACCCAATCGAACGTGAATCTGAACCGAATCGAAGCAAATCCGAAACAAGCTAATCGACATCAATCAATCAAATAACTAAACACTGCACGGAGACCGTTTTACCGTCTGCTCGATGATACAATCCCGAATCTCTACGGCGACTCAACTAATACTCAATATCTAATATCAATTACTGATACAATAAATAGGTATAGATTACAAATAACCACCAAATGACAATAATACACACAAATGCAGCATGTGACACTGGACAATAAGCAATAAAAGACAATGAACAGTTTAAATATTAAGTATAATAATAAGTTAATAAATGTAACTAAAAGTTGGAAACACAGAGATCTTTTCTTGTTTGTAGTACGGCTAGGCTACGGCGATGACCGCGTCTTCCGACTACTACTACTAATAATATATGATACGACCTTGCGGTAAATTTGTTTTAAAATTATTTATTGTTTTTTTTTTTTTGTTAGGGTATGTGATGTACGACTACTAGAACGGTTGCTCGGCTATTAATTAATTACAGTAAATTATTTCGGTAATATTAGGGAATCAGTTCAGTTCCATCAGCGGGGCTTGATGGGTGCACCGTGTCGGGAGTCGGTCTGTTGATATGTCGTCATCGTCAATCACTTGATCACTTGTCACCTTCCATCCTTGCCGGGATCCGACAGCACAGCTGCGCACCGCCTGTCCGACTCCTTTTTCCTTTAAGAAGACTCGCGGCACGAGGAGGGAAGACGGACGGCCGAGCCGCACGCGATCCGCGTCAGCGCGACCCTCCGCCGCAAGGTAGTGTAGAGCAAAAGATCTTACAAACCTCGCCTCTTATACTAAAGCTAAGTATATTGTAATAAGAACTTTCTTATAATAAGTTATTGCATGAATTACAGTTTATGAGGTACTGTACTTCCTAATAATATAACCTCTGTACATATAACTTTTGCACTCGATATTTATAATAATAATAACCACCATTTTTATCAAAACAGATAGAATATAAGTATGAGTATATAATATATGTATATATCAATCAGTGGTTTTTTAATAATGGAATGCATCTCGTCACAACAATATTTGAGCTATAGCCCTGCTTGGCGCCGGGCGGGATCGGGCGAACCCGCATCCAGGGCGAGCGTCTCGGCGTTGAGGTCACGGCGCGCATGCGCATTACGCCGGGTCGCCCGCCCGCAACACAACAGCTACACACATAGAGAAAGTAACCAATAGGAATATGTACTATATTACACTTACGCTAGAGATCTACACAACACACAAAGAGATAACCCTTATGTAGAGATACGTAATAGTGATATACGTAATCCATAATAAGTACTTAATAATCAATCATGACCATAATAGAATATCTCGTAATAATACATAATAATAATCAGAATAATATCAATCAATATAGTACAATGATTAAAAAAGTTAAGCGGTATATTTAGCAAATGGCTAGCCAAATAGAAGCTAAGAATGGTAAACAAGCATTGCTGATAGACATATAATATCATTTGAAATAGATCGTTGTTCTGTAAATGGAATTAGTCTACACGAGTTTCGATTTAGGCCAGAGTAACCAATAACATCACCTACGTCACTAGTTTGTGCTCGGAACACTAACTGTTATACTGACTTAGACTGTATACAAAGATTGTACGTCGACCCGTACGCGTTTGCAGTGGAGTTCGCGGCGATGGTCGCGGTCTTTTCGCTTCCCTCTCTTCTCCCTATCTACATTATAATACTATCCGATATTTCTAAGACCGCACCGGAATGGACCTCGGGAGCCCCCCGCAAATAGGCCCGGGTCCGCTCGCGCGTTCGCGGCTATCACAAACGGGGGGCATTTCCATTTGCACCGTATTACCGATTCTATCTCTACTTCACAGATCGACGCACCGCCCCAATTCCGGACATCAGAACAGAAAACGACTCGCGACCTTACGCAAATACTCAAAAACAACAACATTTTTGTGCGTTATCATCGTTCCTCCTGTCGAAGATATGTCACGAAATTAAAAAAAAATTAAAATAAAAACCATCAGATCCTTCCGAGTGTTCTCTAAAACATCATGGTCCCATGAAAGCACAACTATCTCACTTTCTCCCTCTCTCTCTCTTTCACGCTCGCTGTCTCTCAAGTTTCGTAGACGATCTCGCTCTCTCCCTCCTCGTTGAACAAAAAAAGTCGGACGTTTGGTACAGGTTGAATTTCCGATAATGAAACAAAGCAACGCGTCTACAAAAGCTCTCTCTTGGTGTATCAGGTTTCCTCTGGCATGATGTCACACTCGCGATTATCCAGGTCACAATAGATGCTTGCCCGTGATCGACCGAAACGATGCGAATCCAAAATATTGGTATTTACAAATCGGGGTGTTTTTGAGAGACCCGCGTAAGGGTTTAGCAGGAAAGAGGAGGCGTTCTATCGCGGTGTTTGTTTCGGCGTATAGTTTCGGAACAGTGCATCGTAGCACCGCGCCAGAACGCTGTTCGGCTGGGTACATATTTATAGCAAACTTGGAATTTGGAAATGGTTTGTGATCTGTTCTGACATCCCGGGCGGTGGTCGAGGTCCGTGGGTTATCTATGGTGGTATGGTATTAGAGTGAGACCGCTGCACTCCCTCGCCTGGTTGCTAGTCGTTCTTGCTTGCCCAATAAAGCTATCAAGACTCGCCTTATAATTGTACTTATTTGCCTAGTTCGATCAAACTTATAATTTCTATGTACATGTTCGTATTCTGCGCTGCCGGGCGGGCGTGTGCGTTTCGCTTATTTATCAAACCGACGATACATGCAATAAAGGTATAATGAAGTGGCAATGGTCCTGATCAAAATGCCAAAACACAGTCTGCCATTGTTAATAGCATGCTTTATAAAATATGTATCGATATACTCATTATTATCCGATCTCAAGGTACGAGTGTTTTATAAAAATAAAGTGATTCTTTAGTGGAAGTGGCTGGTTAGTCTGAAGGTGGTTAGAGGCGGCGCGACGTCAGCGATCGATGCCGCCGCAGTCGCGTCGCTTGTGCAATGCGTAGTAGCATGTTGCATCGACGTCAGCGAACACCGTGAGACATCACAACACAGGAATCGTAATAAAACCAAAAATTAAAACAAAATCATAAAGTAACTTTAATTAAATTTATATTGAAAATAAATTAAATGAACCAAGTCGTTAAAATAATCGGAAAACTAAAATTAACAAAGTATAAGACAAACTCGGCACGGAACCTCCGTTCCGTTCCCAAAAAAGGAAAAGAAAAGAAAATCATAAATAAATAATAAATTAACGGGATAAGTTGTGGTCTCGCTAAAGCATTGCCGTCGCTTATTTGATGGCATTTCAAAGCAAAACCACGCAATTTTCTTCTATCAGAAAGCTGAGGGTGTTAGAAATCCGGTAAACGTGAAATTAAACACAACACACAAATAAGAATAAACGGAGCACCGGTGCGGTGAGGGTGTGACTGTGTGTTTTTTTTTTCAGTCGTCCATGCCGCGTCTGCGTCCGCGTCTAGTCATCACGCTTCTCAGCATAGTCGGGTTCAGAAATATTTTTTTTGAAATTTTACAACTTGTTCGTCTACCCAATAGTAATAATTACATAACATGTAGTTTGGTGCCCATCACCTATCACATGCAGACATAACTAAGCAAATATACACATATATTTATTTTATTTAAAGTCAGCCCTCGCCGCCACGGCCGTCCGCGAACACAAATTACAAATACAACGGTACAACGCCACCAAACTAATGAGAATGCTCCACAAGAGCGTGGCTGTTGTTGATGCGACTAGTCTCAATTTAAGAATACACAAAACACTACATATAAATACATAAATTATACTAACCAATTAATAATTACGAAATTATATAATAATAAATACTATATGTAAATATATATTGTTTAGCTATCATGAATCTTTGGGCGAGTTCCCAACATGTCAATAAATGGTGATGGCACAATTTTATAGAAAAAAAAAATCAGACCGTAGAAATCTTTGCTATAGGAAACGCGAATGCACTTCTGACTAGCTTCGTATCTTTTTTTATAAGTACTAAGTTATTATATAGGGAGGTGCGCTTTTGGCGGGCGCCCCCGTTCTCGCTGGACGCTGTCGCACGTCCGCGCATTAAATTACCTACATAGAGCCCGTATAATTTACACGAACAGTGAACAATAAATAATAAATAATGTTTAAATATTGGCGCGGCATGCGCAACGTCCAGCGAGTGCGCTGGTGTTGACTAAACGTCGCTCTATGTAGTTTTACTTTTATTCGTTTTAAAGCTGACCTGCAGGACACGGTTACCCAGCGTGTAACCGTTTAGCGACTGGATGGCTACTACGGCTTCGTCATAGTTGGTCATCGTAACGAAGCCGAAACCTTTACATTTGTTCGTCTGCAGATCACGGATCACTTTGACGCTCTGGACGGCTCCGAACGGGCCAAACAACTGCCAGAGAACATTCTCTTCTGTCTCTGGAGCGAGGTTATACACGAAAATGCACCAACCGGAACCGTTCATAGCGTTTCCGGGTAGCATGGAGTTGGCCAGCAGGTCTCCGGCCAGCGGAGAATACCTGAAAACGCCAATCAAGACATTACACCCGGAAATTCGAACGTGTGTCAAAGTTGAACCTGAATCGTCCCGTTGGGTGGTGGATGGGGCCAGCAAAACGGCGCGTGGCTTGGGGAGTAAGGTAAGCTGCCAATGGAGGAATGGCTTTGTTGTTGTTACTCGGGTTGTTGGCGAACTTGACTGTGATAGGTTCGGTGGAGCCTTTGGGAATGGTACCATTGAGTTCCTGGATTGCTCGTTCTGCCTCTAGACGTTGGTCGAAACGGATGAAACCTACTCCTTTCGACAGGCCTGCACCGGAAATATCCACATTTTCACTAACACACCGACAACTCACCACTACATCAAGTCCGATCATCGTCGTCGTCGAACCGATAACAACAATCGGACTTTACAGCTAACGAGCAAGCCGTTTATTACAGTTCGGCTCCAAACATCAACAACGTCTGGAATACTCAAGAAAGGCATGATCAAACTCGAAATATCTAACCGAACAAGTGCAATAAAGGTAATCATGCATCAGTTTAGTAGTACATCAATGCTAACATTTCGACTGAAAACCTTCAAGCACATTCGTAAACAGCCTCTCGTTGTGTGTAGGTTTTAAAAAACTAACGACGATCGAACTCGAGGAACGGTCACATCGTCGTTAGTTTTTTGGAACGTGTTTCGTGTCATGTCATGTATGTTTGTGTATGTGTGTGTGAATGTAAGTGTAGATGTGTTGGGTATAGTGATTGCTCTGCTCTTTTAATATAAAATAAACGAAAAAACGAAAAAAAAAGCTAATAAAAATCAACATGCCACGATGCAAAATAAAGATAACGAAATAAAAAGAAACTCAACAAACAAAAGCAAAATTAATGAATTTTTTTTTTAATTATGAACGAAAAGTGATACTAAAATTTGGAATTAGACTTTGTCAATTGATATGGGGGGAAGGGGTGCATCGTTCAGCTGGCTTTATAGAACATTGGTGTACTTTGAGACACGAACGTTCAAGCAACTAAACATTTACTATGCAGTTTCGTTAGCGTTCTGGCTATTTCGCTACTTTACTCTGGAGCTATTATATACGTTTTTCGATAAATTTTCTTTTAAATTTACAAGAGAGAGTATGATCGATCGCGCCCGAAACAGAACAACCAAAGAGTGGATTTGGTGGTTGTGGGTGGTGTTCAGTTGGGTGTTATGGTAGAGAGAGAGGTACGTACCAGGCAAATTCTCTCCGGCCCCCGTGACAAATTGACGTACTAGGGAAGAGAAGAGAAAAACGCAAAATATAGGTACAGTAAGACAAATAATTTGTGAACTGACGGCAACCGGGTTAACACCACGGAATGCCGCTGGTTTAATTAAAATGTTACAAAAGCCAAATTTCAACAGTAACTCTGAATTAAATCATATTAATAATTAAATCAAAGCTACCACATCCAATAAAAATAATAAAAACTAAATATTTACTGATTGTAATAATCAATAAACAAACTGCAAGTATGTTGATGTATTTTGTATGTATGTTACTGTGATTGTGGCATCAACTCCACCTTCAAACATCCCTGGACCGTTCGGTTCATCACTCTCACACACACACTCTACACCTCGGAAATTTCAAATCTCGACTCCCATCTCGACGTTGTCCACCAAAAAGCGCTCAATTTAAAAAATAAACCAAGTTACGCTCAGACGCCAACTTGATTTATTCCATAAAATCCGACGAATGGAAGAGCGGCCGCTTTTTAGCAGGAAACGTCAGAGACCGAGCTTTAAAACTAACTTCACTCTCGACTCAGTTACCCTTTCATTCGTAAAGTAACTGCCATAGGCGACAGCAAAGCCGGTTTTAGTCGATTCGAAATTGCCGCGTTCGCACATATTCAGCTCAACCCCCGGCCCACGAACCTTTGCGGCGAAGATTGCAACCTTGGTTGTGGCAAGATTGCGACAAGGCTGTGCCATCGTATACTCTCAGCGGTCTGGTCATCGGCACTGGACTAGTGTACGCACACTGGAGTATATGATCGCAGGTTGTTGTTTATACAAAAAATGACGTTACAACAGACTCTTACCGGTTATGTTGTCGCATAAAATGCGCGATGTAATTATACGACCGTACGGACTGAACAGGGATTCCAAATCTTGTTGGGTCATGTTCTTCGGGAGTCCCGAGACGTACAGGTTAGCACCCTTGATAGCCTCGGAACTGGGCCGTGCGTATGACACCTGGAAAAACCACATCCTCATGTAGGTGTCGGTTTCGACGATCGTTCGATTGCTGCTCGATTCAAAGGCAGGGCGAACCTTTGCCAACTTTGCAACTATGCCGAACATCTAAGTGGAGATTTATGCATTTGACCCTGTCGTTCGGTCACGTCGCCCGAATGCATCCCGCGTTTCGCCGGAAAAAATCAAACTTTTCTCACCTTAATTGTCTTGTTCTGCAATCTTAATCCGTTCAGCGTATTGATTGCTTTTTCGGCGTCTTCTGGTCTGTGGTAGTTTACGAAACCATAACCAAGTGATTGCCCTGTAAGCAATGGACTAGTGATAACCCCAGGCACTGCAGGAAATCAAATTTCGAAAAAAAATACGTGTTAATAAACACAAAAAATTAAAAAAACAAATCAATAAAAATAAAGCAAGCACAACTTAAATAACACTACTGGGTACTAGTACGATCATAAACTACATAAACAAAGGCTGAGTTACAAAATGATAATAAACGTGCCCTAAAATAAACGACTACACCAACGCTTTTCCCACAAATAATTTTTATGTCCAAATGTAAACATCCCAGAGGTAAGTAAAAATTCAAGCGCGTAATCCAACCGATGGTTATTTTTAGTCCCAATTCAAATTTACAAAATCGTCAAGAATTTTTGCTAATAAAGGCCACCAAAATAAATATTTACGCTGTATTCAACCGAATTTAAGCAAATAAATTTTAACGACCTGCCTTTCTTATTAGATAAGACTCATTATCAAAGCGTAGACACAGGCGACTAAACCGGGCTGCGGATTCCTAACCCATACATCGATATGTACAACGCAATGACTATTGATCTTGTCTGTCATATTGTCAATCGACAACGTACATATATACAAACAACGTAAACGTACATTTATTTTTTTACGTATTATTTGCACGTATTACGGTACTAGAATTGACATAGGCGGCCTACGATTCGAGATCGTCTAAAAAGTCCCAAAAAAGATCGTTAGTGACGCCGCAACGGGATGCAGATATAAATACGCAGACAATCGTATGGAGCTTTGAAAAAGGCATATGACACTTCGTCCCCTTGAGCACATATGTGCGAGGGTACAATACACGTGCCAATGACTCACTTTCATTGACAAAGGGGAAACGACGAAAACTAGATAGGTAATAAAAACGAGACCGAATTTTAAAAATGCCTACTTTTCATAATTAACGCAAAAATTTACAAATTTGCCCTAGCAGACGTTAATCCGATCCTTCTCCCACTATAAGCATCTAATTCAAAACAAAGTTCCCAATTTAATCGTGTACAGGAAGTTTGAGGCCACCAGTGGCGTACTGACATAATTTTATCTTTTGTTTGTATCATCGAAATGTATACGAACAAATTGAAAAGCTCTCGTGCCGTATACAAGAGTAATCCAAGCTGGGGCTATGGCGTTTCGCAACATTCCGACATGATACGGAGATCGAATATCAAGAAACGTTCCAAAGGTAGTCCAGTTAGTCAAATGTCCACCCTTGTCGATGAATAAATAAATAATAAACGTCCATTGTGCACTGACATAATTTACAATGAGCAAAAACCCAAAAATCGAAATTTACGTGTCTCATTTTGTTTACCAAAACTTGTGATTTTTAATTTGGAACAAGTAGAATGCAACGGACGGAGTCGTGGCAACGTGCAAATTCTAAAATTCATGAAAATCGATTACAGTTTATAATATACTTTGGCAGTGTTACAAGTTTTATAACTTCTATAAATAACCACACTGCGTGGATCAATGTTTAACTACAAACAACATTTAGGTTAGAATCGCCTTCGATTGTTTTTGATAACTGTTCGAACTAATTGAAAGCGAAATTGGTGAAGTTCCAAAAAGAGTATGCAATTGATAACCGTACAAAATGGATTTTGGGGCGTGCGTGGCCACAAATAGAAAGTTCTGGGGCATTTTTTGGTGTTTGGGTTGATCATGATTCCTACCTGTTACTTTATCGCGGATCAGCTTGCAACTTTCGACTTCTCCGATGCTGGAAAAGAGTGACCGGATTTCTTCCTGTGTCATGGTTTGGGGTAGGTAATTAACGATGAGATTCGTCTTGGATTCTTCTTGACCTCCACCGACTTGACCTCCGCTTCCTCCATTTTGTTGTCCAACAACCCCCGAATCCAATCCGTTGGACATCATGTTTTCGTCGCTGAACTCAAAATCGTAATCTAGAACTTCCTCAATGGTGGCGGCTGGTTGGTCTTCTTGCGAAGAACTTATTTACATTAAAATCAACTTGTTTAATTCACTATTCGAGTATAAAAACAATACGAAATTTCTAACACGTTTGTTTTACTTTGCAACACTTTTTAGAACTCTATTACAACTTTCTTCATATAGAGGGTAGAAAAATTCCCTATTCTACAATCTGAAAGAGAAGAAAGAGAGATCGATTAGTTTGATTGGAAAAGCGACTTTGTAGGGTTTGCGTTGAAGGAAATGGACCGGAAAGAAGGAAACAATTATGTCTAGGTAAGCAAACACCGGAAGCCATATTGGTGACATCACTAAATACAAAGGACTAATTAGATTTGCGAGGTTATCCGGCGAGACGATCCGAAATGCATTTTTGATTTTACAACTATTAGCTATCACGTAAGTCTTTGTAACTGCACTCGAGCGAACTTATCCACGCAACTCCGGCAAGCTGATAACAGTTAAACTGGTATTTTATCGGCTGTCCCACGTACACAAGCAGATTATTACATTTTTATAAAAAATTACTGGTACCCCGGCGGTACCAAAAAACGTGCGTCCATCAACTACAATGTAAACACAAAGCCGCACGCTACAACATCGGGCAAAAAAGAAACCAAAACAAAAACAATAAAGCGCTTCAATGTAGTAAAAAGACATCAAGCTTTTGGTCAAACAGAACCCGACGCTATACATGTTAATTAACGAAAAATTAAATGGTAGCTTTACCGGTGGTCACAGACGACGGTCTTTTTAATATCGACGGACTGGATTTATTTGTGGTAGGACTATAGTTTGACCTTGAGGTAATCAAGGGTTCGCCGCGTAGCGCAAACAACCCCTAATAATAATAATTTAAGAGTTTGTGAAAGGAATGTATCGTGTTTAGGTGATCGATTGTTCGTCGGACAACACGAATCGTAGATCAACGATGACATAACCCTCCTGCTTCTTTTTGTATAAAGTAACTTCCTACTTCTAGGAGCACATGAATTTGATTTTCGTCGTATTTATAGACGCTGGTCTATTTTCGGATAAAGAAGCATATACAAATCGTTGAAAATTTTGAAGAATTTGTGATGAATACGTTCTCGATGTTACAGTTTGCTTCGCGTAAGTCGTCGCTTTTTTGCTTGGACGGCGTTACCTGGAAGTGAGTGTTCCGCGACCGGTTTATGAAAATAATCGAGCAGACAGCGGATGAAAATTTCACGGGCGGATCGATTGTTCGAAATTATTAGATAACGCAACGGCGTATTATTATTGTAAGTTTTACGCATTTTGAGGAGGTGTAACCTTTTGGTAAACGGCTAAAAGCGATTGGTTCAAGGCACGTGCGTTTACACTTAAGTCGGAGATTCCCCTACATTTCCAAAAATATCGCACACTTGAGTAAAATCTGGACAAGGGTGGGGGTGGTGTGTATCGGACGTAACGCGATTGTTTACACAGAACCACGTTTTACACGCGAATAAAAAAAGCACAATAAAAATGTAATTGCGATAAGGGGAAGGCAAAATTATTGATTATTTTGCACGAAGGTGGGCAGTGACACGATAAAACGACTTACCTAAATTAAGAAAATCACATACGCGTGAGGTCACATTAAGGTTGAAATTTAGATTTGTGTTCACTAATAAATAGAAAAGGAAAAATAAAATAAAACGAAACAAAAATAAAAAAACAAAACAAAAAGTGAAACAGCTCCTACGCTCTCACAACTCGTACTGCAATTAAAGCCGGCACGGAACAGTGGGGGCTTCCGACTAGGTATCGCGCGTATTGAGCACATGCGCAATTATCATTTTACGGGCTATTTTTAATTTTTAGCAAATTTTTCACTAAAACCGAAATAGAATATTTACTCCAATAACTCAAAAACGTTGCATTTTTCGATCGGGACGAGGAAAGCCGGCGCGGAGGCAAATATTTTGACACCCCCTCCACACGCGACCCCATCGCGCATACATTTTAGTGACATTCTGTACCCAGTTTGCATCCCTTTTGATGCGGCACAAGCGAAACTGGTTTCATTTTTTATAGTACGCATCAAGCACGTGCGGCATATGGTAAATTAAAAAGGGGGTAAGTTAAGTAGAGAGAGACGCCTTGAGCCACCCTTAAAGTAACGCACGTTGAATACATTTGTTTCTCTCTCTGTCTAGGTTTAATAACAAGGGGAAGGGTGCACCTAATCAGTGGGTACCGAACAGCTGATGGCATACAAAGAGACGGCCCTTTCGCCCCTAGTTTGGCGTCTAGCGTATTCCCAGACTAGAGGACATTCACCCGCGTTTCTAACACTCTGATTGACTAGGGTGGAGCAAATTTTTCGGAAGCATTTTCTCGATTACGATCGGAGTTCGCATTATTTATAAATTCGAAAATGCGACGCGTGCGTGAGGAACTTCGGTTTTGTCCATATGGTTCAGATAAAGCTGTACCAGGTGTGTATTTTGAGTGTGACCTGACCTATTAAAGTTAGGGTGAGATTAGATCGTCCAGATTGTACAGCGTTAATGAATATTCAAACTTCGCTCGAGCACACGCACGTGGTCATACGTCTCCCCGTTTCCTTTTATCAAGGCACACGGAAAGAGTGGACTGTTTTTATTTTAGTCCGTGACTCTTCGGAGGGAGAAAAAAATTAAAACGAATGTATATCACACATATACAACGAACCATCATCATCCGTTGCTCCATTTCCGCAAAAGACGAAAATTAGAATTCAGAAAAAATTTCTGATCGGGTAGACCAATGGAACCCGCCGTGTTTAAATCATTCAGAGGCTCAGACGAACCCGCGAATTTCGTTCGGCGCGAGTCTACGTAAGTGATGGTTTGTGTTTTCAGAATCAATAAAAAACTATTTATAAATGTCATATTTTTGTGGAAAAAACGCCAAGTTCAACCGCACGAGCTGGTACAAAACGGGAGTAAGTCGCGGGGGCTCGTGTCAATATCTGTGATGGAGAGCGAGTATAAATAAAATGGTTGTGCCGAAATATAGTTGAGATTGCAAATCGACGTCGCGTGGGAGGCATGGAATAAGGGAATAATGGTAATCGAGGCACGGGCTTTGGCCAGGCCGGCCGTAGTATTGATCGTCGACAACTCCCTTCCACAGTCGCAACCCCCGCGACTCTCAGCTCAAGCTACCGGCATCGCGGTAATCATTACGACTCACGTAAATGTTTGCGAATTTTAAGAACGACCAGACAGACAAACGGAAAATTAAAGGCTGTCTGTTAAAGGTAGGAGTCGGGCGGCGACAGGTGAAGGTATATACGTGAGAAAAAAAAAACTCACCCTTTGATGTTGGTGTTGGATCCAAGATTGTAGCACAAATTATTGTAATTGTTAAAACGATTGAAACTGTATTACGTATCCACTAACAGTGCGAGATTGAAGAGAAATGGTAATGATGGAAGAATGTATGAGTATTGTACAATGACGGGAGTGATTGATCAGTTAAAACAGGCGTTAAAAAGGATTGCACTTATTTTTAAAGACGATTAAATATAATAATTTTCTAACGATGCAAGGTTATTAAGCCAACCTAGAGTACAATAATTAACCGAACTATGAAACTTTCAATAAATATTTAAATAATTTATATATTTATACTATTGATTAAATATAGACAATAGTAGTAGGAATTATTAGTAATAAGTAATTATGCAAGGAATGATATTATTACATAACGTACACTACCAAACGTAACACAAGTGTTATTCAGAGAGTGCAATAACTAAATGGTGTTGCATGGCGCTGGCGAGGAGGGTGTCGGCCAGGGGTTGCAAACGATCGATATTGTGCGCGCGCTTTCACCCCTGGCCCGGGGCCGACGCTGCCGACGCCGCCCCCATTCATGCGCTGCTTCTCTTCCTGCTATTCACCTGCCTCCAGACGTTCGCCGGCGCTCCGCCAAGGATAGCGCGCTCCTTCACGAGCCCTCGTCCACGCGCCACTACAGGACCCTGCTCCCTGCCCCCGCTCCCGTACGTGCAAATACGTCATCCTTACGCACGCTTAATTGCCCATTCATCTTACTTAGACCGATCACATCGCTGTAATCATCTTCTTCCTGACGCACCCCTTCGTCGAAGCCTTGTTACTTCCAAACGACTTTGCATATTAATCGATACGACGAAATCACGGGAAAAAGCCTCGCTCACCTTTCTGACGCACAAAAAACTACTTCCAACCCCCGTACAGACTCCCCCCGGTTTCGCAGATTTCCGAAATATCAATGGCAGCCAGACTGGGGGGCGTACGTTCGGCTTAAAAGTTTTATGGTGGTGCAATAAACTATAGAGGGTGGCCATAGTGGTATCGGCGTGAATGGGCCAAGGTGCGCTTGGTTATTGATTTTTAGACATGAAAGAACATTTTTAATTTCGTACGAATTCCAGGAATTTCATTAAGCTGGACGAATGATTACATTACTGAACAAATGTTAGCCTTTCTAGTCGATCTGTCTGACGCTTCGATTACCCATGCAAATTAAACGTAAATTAAGTGTCAAAACGACACCGCCGTCAAATTAACGCGCACACACAAAAATTGAAAAAGTGGGGTCGAAATAAACGCACTGGAAAAATTCCCTTTTTAAAAATGAGCACGTACCAATTTATTCCTGAAATCGATATGCGCCCGCGTGTGGAAAGGTTCGAGTTCAATAACACTCAAAAACGGGACGAAGAAACACCGTCACCATTTAGGGTGTCAAAATTTTTTATTTCTTGCTAAAACAAGTACAGTTCAATTCAGTTTTTTAAGTCACTTAAAACTAGGGATGACTTTAATATTTTGACTGGTTTTCAAATTCTTCACTCCCCCACGTTTCAAAGAACTTCTCAGATAGACCACAATTACGTAGGTAGGTGGTTAAACATTTACAGTTTAATCTGAAATTAAAACAGTGTTTATGGTAATTATAACGACCATCTGTTAAATCACCCTCTTTTTTCGTCACGATGTTCACGGTGTGTAATTTTAATTTTAAAAAGCCTAAAATTACAAATGGTCGTAATCTTTGTGAGCAGTTTCAAACCGGTAGATTTATCAAAAATTTTCATATTGCGCACTGTATTGATATAAATATATTAGGTAACGTTAACAAAATGCAAAAATTTACCCACAAAGGTGTATTTTACTGTAGATTTATTAACCACTGCGAATAATTGTGTGTACGCACTGAAAGTTAAAACCGAAATTTTGCGATTTTCCACGATACGGATCCAGTGTTAAAGTTTAGAGAATATAGTAAGTCTTGGCAAACTTCAGTTCAGTGAATTTTACTAAAAATCAAACAAAACTATCTACAGTATGTTTTGTTACAAGAAGTGTTCACAATATCTCTCAAATCTTTGATATAAAATATCGCGGATGATTCAGATGTTAATCAAGTTACAATGTTAATCACTTCGATAATAATTTATGTTAAGTCAAAACTGCTCGGCTAGCTCATTTAAGTAGTCCATAAAAAATAGTGACTACTTTGTTTTCAAAACAAGATCATACAATTTGCCAGAACTGTCACAGAACCTTATCAAGTAACGGGAGAATGTTTGCTTGTTTAGCGGATGTAGTGAGATAATAAGAAGTCAGAAATAATCATCAAAATTGTAACGCGTCCTTTAGAAAAACAAATTTGACGCTATTTCCGGTAACGCTGGCATAACTTTACGGTTAACTTTTCAGGTCAGGCTTTCATGTGTAAGCTTATACCTCGAAAATCAGTTTTAAAGATATGCACAAGAACTGTAAATATTTTAAACACGTAAGGCGCCACTAAAACAAACTATTGTGCTTTTGAGAAATCCCTGCATGCAATCTGGTGTAAGTGGTCAAGAAACACAAAAATTCTCCCACTGTTAATTCACACAAAATGTGAACATAAAGTGTGAATAATAGGATGGAGCTATTAATCATATTAATTGGTAGTGTGCAGCTGTACATCTGTAATTTACAAACAGGGTATTATGTATGCCAGTATTGTATATCCCACGGAAAAAAATTAGTTTGACGCTTTGTTTGATTATCCCTAATGTGTACAATGTACTTTAGCTCGGGATTCCAAAATGGGTCCAGTAAAAATGGCATTCGCAGCTAAAACTTAATAAATCACCCCGTATATATTTTTGGTCCGTTTGGTTGTTTACCTCAAAGTCAGTTTTACGTCGTGCAGAATTTTAAATTTAGTGTCTGTTTAAGTTCGAGTGTATTAAACAATTCCTTTTTACATTTTGTTTCTTAAAATACTCGGTATGTTTACGCTTACCATACGTTATGCAAGTAATGTCTATCAGTATGTGCTTCGAGCGGCAAATATTTGCTTGCCATACAAAAACATAGAAAAGTAAAATTTTCTCTATCGATTTTTCATTCCGGATCGAGGCTATACTTAGCCAATGGGAAAAAGCGGCGTAAAAACTTAACGGCAAACTTAATTTGTAAAGCTTCGACCTTTTTCTGATAAAGCCCAACTTTAGCGAGAAGCGAAGTGGAAGATGGTTCGATAAAGCTGTTTCATACATCACCTTACTCTTAACTAGGTTACGAGAGATCTAATTTTAAGATCTAGTCGGAAACTAGGCTATGCCGAACTTTACATATGTTAAACCGCATGTTTTATACAACCAAAAACGCACAATTGCATTGCGCGTTGTGTTTTAGGGTCAACGAACCAAGCGAATGACGCAGAGTGTCTGCACATAATGATTAACATAATCATAGAACAGTATACGGGGAGCGGTAAAAAAATCCGAGATAAACGGCCACTTGATTTTTCGAATGTTCACTTATAACTTACGTTGTAGAATGTAGTAGACGGTCAAATTTAAAGTTTGACGTGAGTCGCGGCGCAGGGGGTACGACAATGTCGGAAAAGTGAATGACTGAGTAGATTGCCAGGGTGGGGGACAGGGGAGGGGGTAACGGCATTGTGCCTTGCAGCCTCTATGCGAAAGAGGCTAATAACCAAATTTCCCGCAACTAAATACTTGTAATTATGATGAAATAAGTTTTCGGGGAGTCAAGGCATGCAATAGCGTATATCGATCAAACACAGGCCTTAAAAATTGTCAACATTGACAGCAGCTAACTTAGTCATAAGACAAAATTCGAAGAAGCCGGTCAGACGGAGATTACGATGCAAAAACTAATCGATTATTGGTTTGTTCTAAATTTGTAGCATTGCGTGCTTAATCCTTAAATTGGAGTGTCTGCTTTGACGGCTGCCTGTTAAACAATGGGTGATTTTGGTGAAGGTATGTAATCCGTAGCTCCCATTTAGCAAAAGTTGAATCATTAAAACCTTTCGATTAGCTCAAAGTTTGAACGAGTTTTAAGTGAGTTGAGAAGTTTTGTTTTGTCATTTTATCTTCCATCGATCGCGGCTTTCTTATTTCCTAAATGGACTTAATGGTCGAGATTCGTAGACGGAAATATCCCGAGCAATAAAAGCAGTGCCATTTACCCGCTGCTTTTGACAGGAGTGGGTCTTTTTTTAGAAACACTTTCCCAGATCCGGTTAAATTAGTCATTTTCACCTTTCCACTGGAAATAACACCTTTCCATAAAGTTTAATTATGGAGCTATTAGTTTAGTTCCATGCAATGTTTAAAAGCTCTAGATTCCGTGTTTATCTGATTCTATTTCTGATAACAACACACGCTTAACGCTTTGCAAGCTTTTAAAGCTTAGGGCAGTTGCAGCACAACTTTACACTACCAAGGGTTAAAATAATTTGCACAATTATAGTGTCAGTGTCTTTGTTTTCGTTGATTTTTACAAGCATGGCAATCTCATGGGACCCCTTACAACACACTAGTATTTATCACCGCAAAGAAGGTACCTAAATTTTCACTATTGTAGTAATGTTCAACATACACACATATCTTTAAAATTGTCACTCCTTAATTTTAATTGACTTAAATAATGAGGTGCTAACATTCAATCGGTTGTCATAAATTTGTGCCGCGTGACAGTAACAGGTGTCTGTCTCCGTGCCGGTGTATCAAAAAATATACCTACGTTATATCATCATTCAACTGAAATATGCGCAGATTTATTCTAGCTATATGAGATAGTACAACACTGTGCCAGTGCAAACAACCTTTAGCAACCCTACACTAATAACCACGTTATGTATCCTCATACTCACCTCGTAACTACTCGTCAATAACGACCTGTCACGTTTAAAAAGATATTTATATTTTACCTGTTATTAGATTTTTCCAAAGGGTTACCACTATACAATGTTTAGAAATACTTCTGTGATATCATGATTGAGGACCCACCGAACCGGTATCAGTTCCGGTAACTACTTCATTAGATGGTGGCTCTAATAAATTATTCATATTTTAATCAATATATTATTTACGTGAAAATTATTAATAGACATATTAGTTTGTGGTTATCTTGATGCAGATTTCCTGTTTTTGGTTGGTCCAAATTTAGAAATGCTACACAGCTTGTGCCTACCTTGCCCATTTCGACAACTGCTTATACTCAACTATTACAATGATTTTGTTAAATTTTAAGAAAATTTTAACAAATCTCTCTTTGTTCGTTGTACTGTGTAAATATGGTCATTTGTTTCCAATATTCTAATTAATATACTCATGAATTGTTTATCATTTTTGTTAATTTTTCCAAAATACAGCCTCATCCACAAATCTATTGTGTTTTTATCCAGTAATTAGTAGTGCCACTAATAATATTTCATTTAAATTACTAAATGAGTTGCAAGACCTTGACTTTTGCAACCCGTGTTATAATGCCGTTTTATACACTACTAATTGAAGAAAATCGAAAACAAAAAATGTTTTTGTGAAGGTGGATTACCCATAGTTTGACCGTTTTGCTTTTGATAAGCTAAACAATTTTTGTGTGTGCTTTCTGTTATTTAGCTTTGCCGACTGCGCGCGCACTCTGTCAAAAATATTAAAAATGCTTCATTCTAATTGGCTGCTGTTTTACAAAGCACCGTTTCAGGTTCAGGGGTTTGGGGTGATTTAGAGCGTACACGATTTAACCCGAAACAAAGGGTTAGAAGCGATAAGTAAAAATCAACAAATTAAATCTGAAAAAACGACACTGAAACAGCTGACCGTAACTGCGCGCGCAATCGACCAAACGAATAGCATTTAGTTAAAATTAACACCCACTTTTTTTTAATCGATAGATTCTCGACATTCCGAGTAACATTTTTCTGCGCTATTTTACTACACAACACCATTTTTTGCGTAAAATAGTGTCAGGAAATATCACTTAACTCATCAATAAAACTAAAGCACATCTGACCACTTGTTGATTTTATTTTTACGTCTGTTATGGGTTACAGAACAGTAAAGGCGACATTAAAAATGTGTAGTCATTGAACATAATAGCCATCTCTTGGAATTACAGTGTTTACCAACTTATTTTAAAATAATAAAAACTGCGATATTTTAAGGACTGTCGCAAAGCACTAGAATTACTAATCGAACCGCTGTAATTTAAAAAAATCAATACAGTTTATGTATTATGTATGTGATAATTTAAAAGAATATCGACCCTCGCAACACCTTCAACGCATCGACAGGACTTAAATCACGTGCCTGTAAGTTCTATATATAAAACGATAGTAATGTAATTACAATCGATACATGAAGCCGTATTTTAAATATTTATTGTTACATACAGAGTGTCTATTAAGACACTTACACTTACAATTAAACAAAAAAACCATTGTTGCCACCTTATCGAAAACAAAATAATTATTAAAGTACGTTATACCTACACTAATTTCTGTTTTTGTTCGTTTAATCGCGAAGAAAACAACAATTTTCCCACCTTATCTATCCCATTCAAATCCATATTACTGTATTATTAAACGTGTCAATATGGGTATCGATCGACCAGAATCACGTTAAATTCAATATTAGCACGAGGTACAGTTTCGAATTACTGCACCCGAATGAGGTTTTTTCTTTCCGTTCATTCTTATTATGGATGACATTTTGCGATGCTGATGATTATCCAACTCTGCACTTATCCCTGATGTGCTTTCCTCATCTCCCCTACATTAGCGCTTGCCAGCTCTCCATTTTATTTACTCATCCTCTATTTTAAGCACTTATGGAAAAGCTTAGCCGTCTCCGGCCACATTTCCTCAGATCAATATGCAGGTTTTCCTCATTTATTTATAAACCATATATTAAGCGACGCCATTATTAAATATTCAGTATTTTTATTCGAGGTGATTATGGCCGAGTTTGATGAAACTTTCCCACATGAATTTTCTTTCAGATAGCGACGACAGTGACGGAGAGGGCGGTTTAGGTAATGTAAATCGAATTATAATGAGACCACCGGGGCATAGTGGAAAAGCGAAACGGGGTCATTTGTGTTTTGATGCTTCTTTTGAATCTGGCAATTTAGGTAGAGTCGATTTAGTCAACGAGTACGAATATGATTTATTCATCCGTCCGGATACCTGCAGCCCTAGAATCAGATTTTGGTTTAATTTTACAGTGGATAACGTGAAGCAGGACCAGGTAAATTTCCCCTCGTGCTTTTTACGTTTTAAGCATTAATCAGTCCCTAGAGGGTCATTTTCAATATTGTGAACATCAGCAAAAGCAGAAATCTATTTAACGATAATTTAACCCCCTTGGTGAAATCCACGAGTCGCCAAAAATGGTAAACTCGAGAGGCTCTCGTATATTATTTACTTTGATAAGTATTACAGGCAGCGAATCCCAAAACAACACGTCTATTATCATAAGTCTTCGGCTCACCAGGGACATTACGTCTTGAGTTTCTCGTTTGGCTTCGATCGAGAAGACGAAGTTTTTCAATTTGCTTTAGCACCACCGTTCACCTATTCTAAGCTTCAGATGTTCCTATCAATCCTAGAGTCAAAAGGATCGTATCTGAATGAGTCATTCCAAAGAGAACTTTTAGGGAACAGTGTGGTAAATTACATTACTTTACCAAACTCCAAAGCTATCCGTCCATTACGATTAACAAATTGAGCAGATGTCAAAACCCCGATTACAAATTAACCCCAGAACTGATAACTTTGGCCCTTGATCTATTCTACATTTTTTAATTAATTAGTCAGATTTTTAGCAAAAGCGTCGACTAGACTTAATAACTATAGGATCTCTTGATCGCTCGAAACCCACGTCGAAACGACGTGTGATTGCTATAATGGCGCGCGTACACCCCGGTGAATCCCCCGCAAGTTTTGTGTGTCAAGGTAATGCTACAGTGGGTGCAAATAAATCAATCAATCATTTTTTTCATTTTTTAAGATTTGCTGTCTAAATTTTGAAAAATATTTAGCAAATTTGATTTGTTTGCACCTCACTGTACGTTGTTGAGTGTATTCCTAAAAGTTTTCTCAGGTCTTTTAGAATTGCTGATAAGCTCGAACGCTATAGCTGACACTTTGCGCAACCATGTTATTTTTAAAATAATTCCGATGCTGAACCCCGATGGCGTTTTTTTGGGCAACTACCGTAGCACCGTAATGGGGTTGGATTTGAATCGATCGTGGCACTTACAGACGCCGTGGTGTCACCCTACGTTAAAAGCAGCAACTGATATGCTTGTAACTTTAGACAAAAATAAAGTACGGTGGAAATGTTTCAACCACAAGGTCTCATTAGGTTTTTTTAGGAGTTTCAATTAGATTTTGTGATAGACATTCATGCTCATTCGAGTCTTAAAGGGTGTTTTATTTATGGGAACACGTACGAGGATGTGTACAGGTGAGTATAAATAACCGAGTAGAAAAATTTGTCGATAGTGGGTTTATAGGTACGAGAGGCATATTTTATTTCCTAAACTACTAGCGACAACTGCCGACGATTATCTAAGCGAAAACGCCATGTTCAATGCGGATCCGAAGAAAGTTGGCACTGCTAGAAGATATCTGTGCCAACTTTTAAGCGATCGGGTTAATTGCTACACGTATGAAGTTTCGTTTTTTGGGTATAAATTGAAGGGGTCTGACGTCACGATTCCATACACGGAAGATAGCTGTATCCTTTTTTAAAAATACTCCGATTCGAGCAGTCAATGAGTTATGCAAGCAACATTACACGTGGACGTTACTCCGCCTACTCGTCCGTCTAATACGATTCGTGGAAGACCCGCCCACTTTCGTAATTTTTAGATTCGTTACTGTTTTTGTAATTCCTTGACATTATTTATAGATATGAGGTGTGGTCGCAATTTGGTAAAGACGTTTTTAGAATACTACCACAGCACAGGGGCCATTCCAATTGAAATAGCGACAGAAGTTCAACACAAAAGGCGTCGACCTAGAACCCATCATTCTCGATCAACGACTAGAAACTCGAATAGGCAAAGACCACACACGACGAAAACGCAAGCCCTTTTACATTTCAAAGATTTGAATATTAATTATGAAAGTGATACGTCTATAGAAGATTATACTTATAGGAAGCCGGAAACTAGTCGATTTTTTGAGAAGTTTGCAGATTATGTAAAAAAGGCGAACACCCCCTACTCTAAATCAGAAAAGATGAGTTCGCCGCCACCGACCACCATCGTAGTGATTCCGGAACCAAGTTTGTCAATTATTGACTTCAACGTAATCACCCGTAACGACATTGAAAAGGCTTCTAAATTAAGAAACAGACGAACTAAATAATAATTATTTATTCATCTCGTGAACAACGAGCATATTCTCATGAATATGTATAAACAAATAGAAACCCATAACTTATATCATTAATTATTATCAAATTGACCGAATGCATGTCTTCATAATGAAAATAAAGAATTAAGAAATCAACACTGATTGGCACTTGACTAAAGTCATAATGAAATATTTGAACAGTAATTGTGAACAACGTTGCTTAATTTTCTTTTTCTGTCAACTCTTGATAACGTGCATACATCATCTTCTTAACACAGTCTTTGTACGATTCTCCCGCTAGTGCTGTATACCCTGCTACTTTATTGCCAAGTCCTACAGTACTGCTATGTTGCTCTGCCTACAAAACATCAACCAATGAAAAAGAAAACGAAAATAAAACATACTTACTTGAATAATTGTAGTTCTTCCCTGATTCTGCTTCCCTAAACCTTGCCCTTCCGTCCAACCCATTTTTTGCAACAACCTATTCCCTACATTCTCAGCACCGATTGGTTCAGAAACGGAGGCAGCAGCGACCGGTACTTCCGCCAGCTCCCTCGACTTCAAATACTTTTCTTTAAGTTTACTCGGCTGCGGTTCGTCGGGATCACCATACTTCATTCTCCTTTCCTTAGCTCTGTCCCTGTACACTACCTTCTCTTTACTCCCCTCTAATTTCTTAGTTTTCTTCCTTGCTTCCAAATTTTGTTTGTGCAACGCCGAAAGCTTAGCGTGCTTAGCCAAAGCCTCCGCTGACCCCAACTGGCGCTTACACAGATTACAGATCAACTTAGTATAATCCAAGAGCTCCATTTCATCGATTTGTTCTTCATCCCCTGAAGATTCGCTGTCGCCACCGTACGCAGCTACAAGAGGTGCAGCAGATGAAGTTGGATTGGACTCCTCAGACTGTTCATTTTTATAATAACCTGGAACCAACTGACTCGTGTTTTTCTTTTCCAAGACTGAGAAACCGATGTCCGCGGATGCGCTGCCACTAGTACTGGCACCAACATCTGAATTGGCTTTTGCGAAGGACATTTCTTTCTTTTGGTTCAGTGTCTTCGCCCACCGTTCCATGTCCTTCGCGATCTTCTTCGCCACTTTTACTTTATCTTGTTTTTCTGTTTTCGGTTTTTTTGTTTCTTGTTCTTGGGCACCAGTGGCAGCAGCTACGGCTTGTTGCCCCGCGTAACTTTCGTAAGTCATTGGTGCCAAAACGTAAGTTAACTTCTCCTGGTCCCAATAAAGGTACTTTTGGATGACGCTGTTCCAGTAGTAGTTAGAATTAGGATCATAGTACAATCCGGTACTCGCGTCGTACTGATACCCCGTGGTTTTGTCATAAGTGTATTTGGAAACATCCGGAACAGCTAAAATAGTTCATGACTATGTTTCCACCCAGAATACTATTATAATACTTACGATATCTCTTTCCGTCGGTCCCGTTTGGAATTGACATGTGAGTAGTGTCATAGAAATTTTTGTTAGCGTGCATCTGCTGGATTGCCGATTGGGCGACGGCGGCAGCAGCGTTAGCAGCATCCATCTGGTTTTCTTGATGAAGTGTTATGGAATTTCCTGCGCTTATTTGTTGAGTAAAATAATTGCGGTAATATTCTATGTAATGTAAGTATTCGTTGGGAGTTTTAGCGTATCGTCTAGCAGCATACTCCGCTAAGCTTTCTACATCCGTCATAGCGTAGGTGCTGGGAATGGAGGCGTTAGGAAAAGCGGCGTTGTCAGCCTGAGAATATGCTTTCTTGTTGTCGCCCATATTGTATTTACAATAAGACAAAATCACTGAAAAAAAAAACGAGGCCATTGAAATGACTGAACGTCATTACCACATGCGCAGAGGACTCTTCAGATGAGTCAAATGTGTGGCATGTGGAATGCAACATCGCAAAATTAATACAAACTACATCACATGAAATACCACAACTTTTGTTTAAAAGGGCGTATTACCAGTTTGATTAAGTCGCACAGTTACAACTTGAAGTTTATTCCCACCATTGTTTTCAGTGATACAACATGCCGGCTACCACTATGAAGTCGTTAGCGTATGACATTTTATCTACTAATGCTTTGCACTCAGCGATATGTCACCAGGGGCGCTGATGCCAAAGTTTTGAGTTTTAAATTTTACATTTAGAGGTTATAACTGCGTTTCAGTTTTAAAATGCAACAAACTGTGTATACAGTACCATGTGATCGAAAAGGTCCCCTAGTAGGCCATGAATTTATTTTTAAAGTAATTATGTTGGCAACACTAGTATTATCTGAAAAATGAATTTTATGTTTTTCATTTTTCGATAACACGGTGGTAGAAGTAAGATGTGGAAACAAGCCGCTCCAATTTGTTGAATACAACATACATCCCAGTAGGCTTATTTGCTACAAAATAGTATCCAGCACAGTATGTCCATCTATGTATTAACATTTCAACTTGTCAGTGCATTTATGAATGAATAAGTGACAGATTCGTTGGAGGGAAAATAAATCTCAGCACTACGGTTTGTGGTTGGTCTTTGGTGTGAATCGTGTGATTGGTGGATGATTCGACATTTATGATTGGGTAATAAATGACATTGGCATAAATGTCAAAGAATTAAGGTGCCTCGGCATCAAAGCCGCCAAAGCCACAAATTTTCAAACGTTTTTTCTTTGTTATTTTAATAGATGAAAAAAATATGGCAATTGTTTCCGATACAGTTTTTTACCCACTACCCCGCTATTCCCATATTTTTGAAAAAAAACCTTTCATTATTTAAAAAAATTGGTCTCGAGTTTAGACAGTACTTCCCTCGCGGTCGGAAACTTGACGACTGCATGCCTATTGTGTTTTTTTTCTCATTACATTTTTGTAGTGTGGAATTTAAAAAAAAAATTGCGATGACGTCATCAACATTTTTGCAAAGACACGTATATCAGTTGGGATAGATGTAGTGTAATACTAAGAATAAAATTATTGTATTCCCAAATTTTCGGGAAAATGAATTGGGTCGTTTTGAATATTGATTTGTTATAATCAATAAAATAACGAAACAATTTACTCACGTATACGGCGCCGGCGTGTAATAGGAGAGGGAACTGAAAATCGTGTATGTATAAGCATTCTTAATTTAAGATGACAAGCGTAACAGCATACGTGAGAGTCAAACAGAGAAACTGTAAACAAAACGACCCTAGGTTTTATTGCTTCGACTTCCGCTTATTATATAAAACATTGGGTTTTATTTTAATTTTTGACGGTGGAATTCACAATTGGTTGATTATAAACATGTCTATTCCACATTCGCGGAACCTAGACAGCGCACAAAACAAATGCACGTCTGTAATGTTAAAGTCGATGTAAATAAGCGTGCTACCCTTATGTTTCAACCGAGTTTTTACTTTAAAAAATTTTGTGTCTACCAAATTGGGTTGGTCCAATGTAATACTAATAATAAGTGTTGCCTTTAATTTAATCAATAAAATAAATTGACTTCATTAATTTTTTTGAGCCACCTCTTAAGAAAATCTAAAAAATATGAATGGAATGATAGATAAATCACAAGTACAAACTCATCATATTTTTTGCATTTTAGATAGGATTTATTCAGCAAAATGTAAGGGTGACGTCATCAATTTTTTTAGGAGGGATGAACAAATACATTTTGAACAAAAGTTTACCATGCAAATAATAACTTTAAAATATCTCCAAGATTTCAAAGCATTCGGTTTTGTAATTCCTGATTAAATTGATAAAATAAATTCACGCATTCATTAATTTTTTTGAATCACCTGTATATGCAAATCCAAAAATATGAATGGAATGATAAATCACAAGTACAGACTCATCATATTTTGTACATTTTAGATAGGATTTATTTAGCAAAATTTTGTGGTGACGTCATAAATTTTTTAGGGGGGGACGACCCAATACATTTTGATCAAAAATTTACCATGCTTATGATAATTTTAAAACATTTTCAAGATTTCAAAGCATTCGGTTTTGTAGTTCCTGAGTAAATCAGTAAAATAAATTTTGCGCATTCATTAATTTTTTTGAGTCATCCTGTATATGCAAATCCAAAAAATATGAATGGAGTGATGTATCACAAGTACAGACGCATCATATTTTGTACATTTTAGATAGAATTTATTCGGCAAACTTTTGAGCTGACGTCATCAAGTTTTTGGAGGGGATAACCAAATATATTTTGACTAAAGATTTATGATGCTCTTTAGAGCCTTAAAACATCTGCAACATTTCAAAACATTCGGGTTAGCAGATTCAAAATTAAATTGCAAAATGTTGTTTTATAATTTTGATTTTTTTTCCAAAAATCTGGATGTTTCGGGTAAAAACTGAATTCGGAGTCGTAAACTACATGTGTAGGACTATGTTATTTTATACAATTTAAGACCCATTTACTATGTACAATTTTGAAGCGACGTCATCGCATTAGTGGTGGGGATGATTAGACGGACAGACAGACGGAAATGGGAGACCTATTTCTTCGTATTCTAGGGGCCATGAAAGATCGAGAAAACGTAAAAGTAGAGAGTCGGCCGACAGACTCGATTACAATACTTCCTTTGTTTACGCTCGGGAAGTAAAAATGCAAAAAAACGTTTAAAACTTAGAACGAAATATGATCGTTAATATTGACCGTTTTAAAAATTTCACAAAACCATTAAATGGAATATATTTTACACTAGCTCGCTATTATTTTCGTTTTCGTTCAATTCATCAATATTTTGTATAAATTACAAATTAAAAAAAGTAAATTATGCAACCATAAATACAATTTCAACCATTCTCACAAAGACGGAGACAAGTTCCTAGTCCGACACGGGACTTCCAAGAAGGTATTAGCAGGGGTAGCTTATTGAGCTGATAAGACAGGTAGGAATGGGTACTTATATATAAATAACACCAATGAAAAATGGTTTTTATTTCTTACTTTCCAGTTAGAGAAAGTCTTTCATTTTTAAAATAGTGGGTGTACACAGTAAAAAATCAAAAACTGTGATGTCAGAAGAAAAAGCGGAAGATAGATGATGAGACTTGTACATGCTGGAAGGAGATAAACTCTTTTTATACTTGTAATAATTAGTAATACAGAGAGATCGAAAAAGAAATTAGTCAAAGTTTGCCATGCACGAACACCCGTTTGTCTTAGTTTCAAATAATTTTTTATTAAACGTCACGTTGACAAAAGTAATTTGCACTGTTATCAAATGAAATTAAAGCTTTTTTGTTAGAATCTGACTTCAGAAATGGGACAAAATTGGAAAATGGTGATTTCGATTCATTTTTATGTGTTTTAAAAGTAGGTGTTATAATTATAATTTTAAACTGTCAATTTGACATTTGATAAAAAAGTTTAAACTACGACAAACCGCTTGCCGTGCATGGCCAACTTTGACTAATTTCTTTTTCGATCTCGCGGTAGCGGTTAAACGTTTTAGATTTATTTGATCATAGACATGTTCATGAAAAATAAAATAAGAAGTTTATATCACCAGGTACTCAACTGCAGGTAGTTCGGATAAATGTATTATTAGTCAACAGTCCTATCATGAGGATTATCTTGTTGACTAGTACCAATGAACAATAGTTGCAACCCTTTGTACCTGCAAAGCTTCTTACAAAGGGATTATATCTTCTGTTCTTATTTATTTGTATTAGTTTAAAGTTAGTCAACTGGTTAAGCGTTTTGAAAACACAAATTAGTTGCAAGATTTTTGGGAACAACGCAATAATTGAAGTAAAATGGCCTTATTCAGCCCGCGATTATAGTGTGAAACAGGCTGTTAGAAAAAAAATTCTTACTGCAAAATAGATAAATTTAACAAAATCAAATTAAAAACAAACCAAAAGTAGTATTTTTAAGTACAAGGTCTGTTGCACATAACTGGACCAAATATATGCTATTTTGTATCATTTTGGAAATTTCATTCTACCCTATAAAATTTTATTGACAATAACGAGACGGACAGTAGTACACTGGTAAGAAATATTTACGACTAACACCAGTTCACACGAATTTGTAGGAGAATATTTATGCTTTCTAACATCTGGGGATTACAGGCACGCGACAACTTTAAGTTGTAAATATCTCTTACTATTGTACTACTGTCCGTCTCGTTATTGCGAAATTTCGTACAGACAAATTTCTGGGAAATCTTATCTTTAAATCTACTTACAAACCCTCCCACTAAACATAATCCACAAGTGAAAAGATGCAGCTAGAAGCATAAAGTATAGAGGGTTGCAGAATCTATAGTACAAATTAGTAACACTCGAGCACAGCATAGATAACAGTAGAGACGGCTCGCCGTTTTTCGTGACCCGTTTTCGTGGGTGGTCGTTCGCATTATGACCGAATGAGGGCGCCCAACTGACGTCTAAAATATTTGAAATTTGGCAGTTTTGTTACAATATTTTTGCCAGTTTTGCTTGTTTAAGACTGCTTTTCCGGTAGAATTGTACAAATAGTATAAAAATGTAATTTTCACAATAAAAGGTAAAATCTTTGTCCGATGAATTTTCATACCGGATCCCTGTTGTGCGCCTTATTCTCTCCCTCGTGTTTGGAATTCTTGGAAAAGATAGTAAACATAACACATTTTTTGTTTAAAAAGTCGTCGCAAACGAACAACAACGGTGGTTATGAATAAAATATGGACTTTTCTTTTTTCTTATTGCGATTCACGATTATACGATTTGAGCAAACTAGACAGTTTGCAATAAATTGCGTACGAATCAATTTTTGAAATTGTAAATGAAGTGATACTTCTTAAATTGGGTGGCGACATCTGGGAATAGTTTAGGCAACGACCACCCATGACGGCTTAAAATTCGGGTCAGAAAGAACAAAGGCGCCGACACGAGCTGTCTCCACTGATTGTTATCTATGCTGTGACTCGAGTGCATTTCCGATCTCACTGCCAAGGCACCTTAATGCTGTTTTCTATTACTTAATTTCAACTGATCTCTCTAGACGTCGCTGCGGTGTGGACAGCTAGACATATAATCCAAACCACGCGATTTGTGTTTTCTACCAATGATTTTGAGGAAAGTTATGAATGAGGTTTCCACACCTTACTTCTACCACCGTGTTCGATAATATGATACATATTGAACAGTATCTGGACGCAAGCAACTCTTCCTTTGAAAATTTTTGTTTTTGTTAATAGGATGACAGCAATTTTAATTATGATCAAACTGATTTTACAATTAAATTCTTGTGAAAAAGTTAGGTAAATCATACCAGGTGGTGCACTTTTGCAATACAATTTCGTGTTATTAAAGTAATCCACTTAAATTATAAGATGCTTTTCACTTACAAGTAAATTCACCGTTACCTACAAAAAAAAAGAGATCAAAATAACTTTGAACCGTTCTGAAGTTTCACTGAATGCTAAGTCTCTCTGTTAATCAGTGTTAGCAACAATGGTGGCTTTGTAGCTTCAAGAACAACGCAATACTTAAAACGTAATAAAAATGTTTATATCAAGATGAAATTAATTCAGTGCTGCACGTCACTTTTCTAACGTTTACGTAGGTTGACATTTACATTTTCATGTAATTACTGTAGATTTTTCACCTAAATATTGATTTTTTGATTGATCGGTTCGATATAATGTCTTTAGATTATCAATTCGGCACAGGTGACGCGATTTTTCTTACAACATTAATTTAACATTTAATCAGTTGTCACGATTTTTTCTTACAATATACATTACTATGTGGGAATACATATTTAAGTTTGTATTGTAATGAATTCTTTTGTAGATAAAACTAAAATAAACTTAAAAAATAAAACGTAATAAACCAACCTGTCTTTCCATCAATGGTTAATGGACTTGATAAATTACTTAAAGCTCCGTGAATTGCCAAAGCATCAATAGTACTTTCAGTGCCTAGGTAGCAAATACCCCGAGACGTTGAAGTGAGCGGGTCACGGCCAATACATACTGCAGAAATTGACTTTACCAGATCTGGTATAACTGAGTTAAGCACAGACATAACAGAATCTTCTGTTGTCAAGGCATCTAAATTTCTTATCATAATAGCTGAAACGAAATTAATAATAACAACGAAATAATAAAGTTATAGTTTATACTTTTGGTGGTGTAGGTGCAAATTTCGTCACTTCCACTTCCACCTTCCTCACTCTCCATTCGTGAAGCGTGACATTTGAAGCAATTATCTCGACGTTTAAAATTTTGAGCGCCACACTACAAAAAGAAAGAGAGTATTGTGCTCTTATGCGTCACGTGATCAAAAAAATGTTAGTTGTTTAAGTTACTATGTTTGAGATACATTTTTTTGGTCACTGGTGTAAGAGCGCTTACTTTGATGCAGAACCAGTCAGCTGAAGCTTTATGACTGGGCGGTTTTTCAGAGTTTGCGCAGACGTCTTTCGGAATGCTATACTGCATTATAGCACGATATTGTTCTTGAAGCATTAAAACACCCTGTGAACAAAAATACGAAGATTTTAGAAACAAGCTGCTGTTAACTACTACCCCTCTTATTTAAGAGACCTGGCGCTCTAGAAAATTATTTTGATGGAATAATTGAAGGTATTGGCTGACTTTATTTATTTAGTTAATTTAGAAAAGTTAAGATTGATATATTATAAATAATAAAAATCATACTTATCGAGCCTTTAAAAAACTAGGAAAACAATGTTTTTACAATCTCTTCTGTAAGCTAAGATACCTGTTTCATGTCCATCCACCGAATGGCCTCACCAAGTGTTGAAAACTCGACAAAGGCGAAACCACGTGAAGTACCTAAACAGCACAATAGACACCAATGGAATTACCCGGCCTTACGAGGAAATATGCACAAATACGGCCCAAGGACAATAATACTAAATGCTACTCTAAGGTAAGTACCTGTGTCTTTTTTTCTGATGAGGCGAATATCTTTGGGCATCAGACCACAGTGTATAATATCCTGGCGAATCTGGAAAGCCACAATAACCAACATAGAGTAAAATACTGAAATTTTTCCTTACATCGTTTTCTGAGATATGTTGGGCTAGTCCCCGTATCATGATGGTGTTATTTGGCGGCTGACTTTTGTAGCCAATGATTTCAGATCCGCTAGCTCCAATGACAGCTCCATTAGGGCTACGTTCACTGTTAAAATTACAATAGGCATAAATAGACAATTTAAAGTGATTTTAAACCACTCCACTTTCCCACGATGGGTCATACCTATCCACACTGTCCCTATCATCGTCGCGATATGACCTATCTCGATCACGTGTTTTTCGGTCTTCGGATCTTCTCTCCCATCGGGAACCACTACGAGACCGTTTGCCTCTACTCGACCTGTGGTGGTCTCTATCTCTGTCCCTACTTCTATAGTGTCTACTTCTATCTCTATCCCTCGAATATTCTGGGCTTCTGGATCTGCTTTTCCTATCACCATCCCACGACGACTCTCTTCGGTACTCGCGGTCACTTTCATAATCACTACCGTTCTTAGCTCTATCGTCGCAGTAGTCGTGATGGACTGCAATAAACAAAAATAGTGATTCAGTTGACTTACATGAGTAAAAACCATACTAATCAGTTTCTTGCGCTTTAACAACGCACTTGCCTTGTACTGCAAATGGTCGCGTCGGAAAGCGTACAATTTCCGAGTAAGTCTTACAATATTATTCATTAGGGTGCTGTAGGTGACTTTAATACGTCGCAAATGAAACGGGCGGTACTATGAAAGGAGTAGTGAAGAAGCGGCAACATGAATAATGGGTAGGGATAGACAAAGATCGTACCAGGGAGTGAGATGGTAATGTATAAAGGTTCCGATTTCGTCTTACCAGGTGTCAGATAGTAGAGTGGAGTTGATGTTACAAACTTTGGACAATTGTTTTCAGTTTGCGTTTCCGGTAAGCATGTTTTGTTGGTTTCCGTACACGAGAAAAGGAAAAGGTATACCCATCATCGTGGTTTACATTAGGACTTTAGCGTTACACGTTATATTTTTAAATTGCCATTTTTTTTCTAAACGTGCCTAAGCTTTCAGCACCAAATGCAACTTAACCTCAATTTTAACGTCAAACTAAAATATGCTTTTTTTAATTACAGTTTCTATTTTAACTAAAAATTACTGTTGGAAATTAAAACTATAACCACCGCCACTACAAAAATAATATTTTTTCTGCAATACCCGACTGGTTAATGAAAACTGTTAAAGATGACGTCACACTGCAGCACTGTGGAATGCGGAATTTTTTAGCCTATTATAATTTACTATTCCGAAATTAAAACTGGGGAACTTTTAAAATTAAGCACGGTACTCCGTTTTTTTACATTTTAAATTATATAATCAATTTAGCGCTATCTGGCGAGCAACAATTGACGTCTGTACCACCGTCAAACTCAAATATGCGATTTTTGACAATAGATAGATTGTTATTAAATACAAAAACAGTGGTACCAACGTAACTACAATTACTGTTAATGTACCAATCACAACCAATCAATTTCATTATGTCGCTCGCAGTGTCACTACCATAAACAAAAAAAAAAAAAAAAATACAAAAATCTGTGTATCATAAATGCTGAATGTAACAAAATTCACGAGCATAATCAATCCCACAACAATAAACGTTGTGAAGTAGATTGTTGACGCAAACTTAAGTTCATATCGATTATTAATTGACTCCACTCAGAAATTTATATTTATAATAATAATTTAAATGTATTCAAGAGGTTTTACCCCAGTGACAGAATACAAAATAGACAAAATAACTTAATATTACCACATAACAAATTAGATACAATTAAATTATTATTATTATTATTATATTTATAATTAGGCAATAAAAAAACAGCCTCAAGTCACTTCCAGCAATCGTGAACTGATAAGATTGTTTGATATTGTTATACAGATGATGCTACAAGTTTCTCAAACAGTTACAATCGCCGAATTTTTGAGGTCTATATTTATAAATTTTGAAAGTTAGAAAGCTTATAAATTATAATTCATGATTCCAAGTACTAATTAACGCTGTGGATACATTTTTTGCTAATTTTGAGTTTGAAAAAATTCTTAGCATATGTACGTAAATGTAGAAACTGAAAAAGTCAATTCATATCAAGCATTTTACGATTCTTCTGGATTTTTGACAGGTGTCTGAACCGATAGTCATTTATACGAAAAAAGGGGAAAAACTTGTTTGTCAAGGTATAGTATTCGCACTTATTGGTCAACGTTTATGTCGTTTTTTGTGTATTCGGTGAAAGTTATAGTACATAATTCTTGATTATGGTTCCTTGCTTTTCTTTTGTACTACTGGATGAGTTGTTTTGAACCATACGTAGCTGTCCATAGTTACCCTTAGTTTCGCTTCAGATGGCTCGCTGCGCTCTCTATATTTGCATATATACGCATCGACTGACGTGTTCTAAATTCGTTTATAATGCTATATATTTAGTCTCTTCACGGTAACTGAGGATTATAATCGATATTCCGTATAAAGCGGGGTAATTACTTGACGTAAGTAGTGATGCTTCTGCACGATATAACAAATTGCGTCAACCAATCAATACAAAATGTAGATACCTTAAAAGCTGAATTTTATGAAACATAAACCTACGGTTACCGCTTAATTGCTGATAAGGAATATTTTGTTTCGCAAGTTTGTATACTGCGTCAAAATTATAAAAACAATATGATGTACGAAGTACTTGGTATTATTATGACAAATTAAAATGATAAGATATGACCATCGATTAACTAAAAATAAATAAAAATTATAGCTAAGCGTGAATTGGGTTATTGCAAAATACGACGTGTCAATTTCGTGGGAAAACACCGGTTGTGGCCAACTGTATTTTCCACTTTTTTCGTCCAAATGTTTACTTCCTGCGGAAACCCGAACTTACAATTTTTTTTTGAAGTGTGGAAATTCGGTGATCTGTGCCCGTTGTGCCTCTTGTAATGCGGAGACCTCGACGGCGATCTACTTCTGTAATCCGGGGACCCTTTGTATTCTGGCGATATCGACATGCTTCTACCTCTTGGCGAATAGTCTCTAGATCTATCCATATCCCTCTACACCAAATTGTTTAACCCAACACTAACACAATAAAAATGGCGGCAGGTGGATGCCATACACAATTTTAAACAATGTTCTTTCCAGCACATTCAACAACGTCCCACTCTGTACAAGAGCGTCTCTTTTTTCATACTTGTTGTGGTTCGCAGAATTTAGCAACAAATTATGGGACGCGTTAGTTATTCCAAACTAGCATCGTCACGTTTTTCGTTATCATACTTTGTAGACGAACACCGCGACTATCACGACAAGGACAAAACATAATTTATCCTTGGGGCTTCTTTGTCTGACTCACCAGAAATACGTGGATAAAGGAAAGCTGAGGGTTATGCGCATCCTTGCGCGCGCAAAACACGCAGGAATTTCCGTTGCTCGATTTTTAATCCCCTTAATCCTGACTTTTTTGTCGAAGTCGGGACGGAGGTGAGTGCGTGGCCTTGGAAGAGGTTTTTGAGGCGGCAGTTGTAGCTTTGGAGGCGGTAGGTAAAGAATTTGTGGCAGATTCGATTGATTTATGGTTTATGTAAAGGCTCGTGTTTGTTTACGAGTTGGGTGTTTCTGATGAGGGCGAGATCGCAGCATGGCGGCGCTCTCAAAGAACGGCTTATGATATATGTTTGACATTGTGGTTTCGGCATCTGTTTGTGACAAAAAAAAAACAAACTTTCTTTGGTTGCAATCTCTGCCGGCCATTTATTCTGCAACTGCAATGTGACCTTGACAAGAGTTCAGGCTTTAAATGTATTTTGGGTTGCATACATGCCAACATATCGATTTATATGGTACATTCGACAAACGCAGCAACTTGACCTCTTTTATTAACGTTTTGTCCGGTTAAAAATATGACATAATGCTCTTTTTTACTGGGTATACGATTTTACAAGGCTTGGGTAACATATGGCAGTGAAGTACGTCACGTGCAAAAATCAATTTGATAAATATATAAATCAAAAATGAAATTTCAAAAACGTTCGGTTAAAGTCAACGAATTTTTTACACGATTTATATTATAACGTGCACAAATGATTCTGGTATCAAGTGTTGCTCTGGAATTTATTTTGCACCTTGGTATCACAATGAGCAGCCCTTGATACCAGAATCATTTGTAGACTCGTAGAAGTAAATATAAGCTGTTTACTTTTTTGAGGAGTATTTTTTAAAAATATACAAAATTTAAAGAATGAAGGATGAAAATTTTGTTTAGCATTAACTCACGGTAGCCTCAAGGTAAAATTTCAAATTAATCAGTTCAAGATTATCTGATGCAATAAATTTTCAAAAGATAAAGATACGAATGAGTGTATGTATTTTCATATTTTGCCATGTAACAAAACATTGGTCAAAATAATCTGATCGTAATGTGTACCTTCCTTATCGCTTGGGAAATACAAATATGTCACATTTCATTTACTATTGGCGATCATGGAAAGTCCTGTTTAATCTCAGAATTTTTCTTTATCTTAATCACCTCACCATTCGAATGTCCATAACGCTCACCTGATTTATAACCTATTCCAAAATGAAAAATTCCTGCTAAAAATTCACCGTCAAGTAATTTAATATTATCGCATTGTTCGGATCGACTTTGCGCTTGCTGCGAAAGTTGATATAGAGATATACAAAACAACACATAAAAATAACAAATAGTTTAACGAAAAATTATGACCTCCACCTATATCTCATATCCAGTTTTGTTTGAATTGCTGGTACAACTTAAAATATGTTTGTGATTTTTAGATTATTTATTGACTTAATTAATAAAAAGGAGCATAAAGAGTTATTTTTTCACTGACAAAGTCAGTCAAAATAAATACTACTTTAAACCCGGCATGAAAGTACATAAAAAGTGACGGTTGGCTAATATTGACAACCCAGTGTTATCTGTCTAAAGAGATTTGACAAAAATTTGTGATATGTGGTAACTAAGGAAAAACGCATGAATAAAATTTGCTTGCAATTTTTAAATGTATCATATGATTTTTTGGTATTTTCATTGTAAAACAGGTGTTTTGAACCATAATCATACTCAACTATAGAGAATGAGTCAACAGCATAAACTTTCATTTTGAGTCATAAGGCAAATATTATATCATTATTAAGATAACTGGCTTTTAGTTTTTCAATGTTGTACAATAACGTCAATGTTACATTTTATAAAAATGATTAGCAAAATTCGAAAAATATACGATTAATAAATGTAATATAATTTCGACCTTCGTTGTTACAGTTACAGTTTCGGCCACAAAATCTTGGGAAGTTCTGTCATTCATTCTAAAATAGGCGTTAGGTACTTATTACCTCAAATTTACCATGTTTGTCATTTTGACGTAGACTGCTATGTGGATGATGACGCATGTCAAAATTTATATGACGTATCTCAAAATTTATTTTTTAAAAGTGTCAATCATTATGTTAATAAAGCATAGATTACATAGTGTTTTATTTTTAAATGACAGAAATATACTGCCCAAGATTTTCTGGGCGAAACTGTAACTTCGTTTAATAACAGTGTTTATTAAATTTATCATTGTAATCTGGTCGTTGCCAGTTTTTTTTTATTTCTAAAAATATAGTTACGAAATGTGGCACGTTTTTCGAGCGTAGCGCACATTGTTAATAAAGTTCGTATTTATTTTCAAGATTGGAAAGACTCGGGCGGTTGTTCCGCTTTTTGTGCAGGCTGGGCACACTATTTTCATATCCAAGCCGCACAAATATTGGAAATTAAAATAAAAACTTACCTGAAGTCGCGTGATGAAATCCACAATGAAACACAGTTGAGGCTTAAAAAATGTATTTTATATTAATCTGTATACATATGTACAAATTGAACTTTAAATTCAGTCAGAATATGAAAATTCCAAAACTATTTGTAAACAATAAATATAAAATAATATCTTGAGTTGAACTATTGACCTAACGCATCTAGGAATATCACAAAAGTTCGATAGTATTATATATCACTATGTATTTTTGGAAAGGGTAATACTGCTTTTGTGACAAAAATTACAAGGTGCTTCAGAACTACTAACTTATATCTTGTCAGTCTTTCAAATATTTGGCAAATGTTCCGTTTTGTAAGGAATGACTGAGTGGCAAGAATTTGAGAAAACAAAGGGTTATGAGGAACCAGCGTTGGGCTTGAAGTTGACAGACTGTCCATTTCGGTCTCTCGATTTGAGAGAGTTATTCGACAGCTGCTTAGATTCCGAAAAAACGACACTTGATCTAACAATTCTGAAGAGTTTCGAATATGCTGATCTGTACTGTCTATTACTAGCTGCATATATAAACGGATTTATAACACTAGAAGCCCAAGCTAAAATAGATGCCAATACGTGCAGAACTGGATACTCTACTTCGTCATCAAAAACATTAACTAACATTAACGGCAAAAAACATAAAACGAAACAAATAAATATAATCAACATGAGCTTCGTGAGCCTACTGTCATCTCTTTCTCTTCGGCTGCTCCTTTTTTCTTTTTTTGTCGCGAGCCTGAAAAAAAAATGGTTCCAAAATAAACATTAAGGTTCGCTTCCACGAAAAGTAGTAATCGAAAGGTCAATAGATGGCACTGCCAATAACCCAGGTGGCTATAATTAAATTATGTGCCTGTTCAGCCCGGTTTAGATGAAATCAAATAAACATAATTAGCATTTTAATTTCTATTAATACTTCTAAGGAAATCGATTTATTTTAAAGGACAAAGTAGCTAGAAAGTACCAGACGCAACACAATTTATTAATAGCACAAGAGATATGACAGATACTCTTCACACTAATCTTCGCTCTATTTATTTACAAAGTCACAGCTCAAAAATTTGCTTTTCTACAATGTGAAAAATTTTTATTACTTGCATACTTACTGATGCGCTTTGAGTTTGTTCCGTGATCTTTGCACCCGCCAAAATATGCAGGAATACGACGTGATTATAACCACACACGGTAGCACGAACGCTATCAAGAAGAGAATTTTCTTTGGTGATTTCCCGTCTTTCTCCAAAATCGTACAAGAAAACGTCGACGGATTAAGCCCCAGCTGTCCCCACACACCTAAAAGCGACGGCAGCTAAAAGAAAAGCTATTGTCATCCATTTATCATAACAGCCACCCCAATAGGGGACCATGGTATGTGGCGAAAAACGTAAACTCACCATTATTAAGAAAGCGAAACCCCATGTACAAAGCAGCTGCAACCATATGGAGGTTTTCGAGTACAATTGGTTGTAATATTGATGGTACGATATAAGGACGTACCTAGAATGTAAGCGATCTGAATTAGGTAATTGCATAACGCTAATCGGCTAGCTATCAATTCGTTTTATTGAGACTTTAATTGGTCGTTTGTTATGTAATGGCGTGCTGTGGGGTCTAGACAAAGGTGGCACCTTTTAAAACATTGTGACACTTTTTTGACACTGGGAGATAAGTGTTGCTTATCATCTGGTGTCAATGACAGTTAATTGACACACCAGGGCGTAAACGATATTGCTGTTTAGCTATAATTGAGTTGCGATGCGTATGATAGTTAAAATCTTGGTTTATTCGCAACGGTGCACCGGTGGAGCCCTACCTCTATGAGTCAGCGTGGTGGGAACAATAAGTAAACATTTAATTTCCTGCAATCTTTATCAATCGTAGTAATTTTTATCATCGCGGAGATTCATTGAATGTATTGTTCCTGCACACGTAGGTACTGATTCAGTGACTGGAATTTATTATATGAATTAATCATCTTCATAGTTGACATCTGACATTGACACACATTAAAAAATTTAAATGTAATAACTCCCCCAACTTTTAATGAATCAATTGGCAGCGGCGTTTTCCTCGTTTTTTAACTCTTTAAGTACAGTCTGTGCACTATCACGTTCATCATTTACTTCCTTTTGAATATAAAGCGCATGTTGTGTTGACTTAATAAAGAATCTTGTGTCTTAGATACGGACAATCAAAGGGCGATGTCCTAGTTAATTTAGCATTGTAATTACGATGCAATAAAACGGGTTTAAAGAAAAGATTATTTGCTTATGCGCATAAAAACTGATACTTATAACGCAAGTAAATTTTAAATATTTTGCAATATTTACGTTTGATGTCAATGCATAAAAAGCAAACTCGTTTATTTTGTTACACGCGATGTAAGGAAAGTGTTGTTATTTTTCTAGCGATGGATAACGGCTTAAACGACATAGTCCAGAGTAAATTATAGAGGTTAAAAGTCAAACGTCACTTTAATTTAGAACAAAGTTGTACTTATTGTGCATTACTCATCGCAGCGATGATTTTTTCGAACCATTGCGACGATCGTGTGTCAAAAAAACGTCAAAATTTAAAAAAGCGGTAATTTAATATAGGAAACATGTGTCCGTACCGTTGCTAAATCCAGCCTCAATAGATAAAACTAAAGCAGAAGTCGCGATATGAAATTTGTTCACAAAAATAACTTCTTAATTAGTGTCAGTAAATAAAAAATGGCCGATGAACAATTTAAGCTATAAGACCTTGAAACACTGAATAAAAATACCATTTGAATAACAATTGCTGTTGAGCAAAATATCGGCGACAATTAAGTATTAATATTTACCTGTTTAATGTTATCGCCACCATATTGAGCAGCGAAACGGCAACATTTCCGTAAAAAAGCACCGGGAAAAGCACACAGAGAGCATCTCCGAGGGTCCAGGCCTCGTGGATGTACCTCGAAGCCGTCAACGGAAGATTCACAGAACAGAAGAGAAGATCCGAGAGACAAAGTGACAAAACGAACGCCGTCGTCGCATGTGTACGCAATTTTGGGCACCTGATTAGTGCCAAAACTGTGACAAAGTTACCTGGAAGAGCCTCTCTGGTTTTTGAAATTTTTTTTTAAAAAACTTCGCAGACTTACCGACGACACCAACAATGCAGAACAGGATGGCACAAATCGATGCGAAAATCGTCGCCTCGCGCGGGTAGATGATATTTTGAGTTGCATTACACATATTTTGAGACAAATCCCATTGAGATATCACGACACTTTAATGGTGAACATATCACGTAACCGCTCGGCTATCAGACGCGCACTGTTTTTAAAACTTGCTTGCCGCAGGCACTTTGAGGGCTGAGGGTGGGGAAGATGGACGAAAATTGAGCACGGGACAATCCGCCGGGTTTTTGGAGGATTTTTGAACCGCAACGACGTGTGCGCGAATTTGTTTGTTTATGCCTCTCGGTTATCGAGAGTCTTGAACTAGGTGGTGATAAGTTTTTGCGTAGTCGCAAAGAGAAACATCGTTAAAGACATTTTTCTTTATTTAAACTTCCTTAAAAAAGATTGAACGTTTACATAAATATTTATATATATTATATACACATAGATAAACGATCTTAGACTTTTTTCAAAAATTCGAATCTTACTCTATACGAATAACAAATCGTAGAATTTATACATGGTTATCGTTAATGTATCGGCAAAACTTTGTTAATTCGGTTGCTCCCGTCGTTATTCACAGATTTCGTAAAAAAACTAAAACTTGTCATTCATTTCTCAACTTTTATTTTACCGCCTGATAAAATGTTTGTTCATAATTGTAAACAGATAAGCCGGTAGTGAATAACATCTATTTGAGTAAACGCTGCGTTGAGAAATAGAAAAGTACTTGAAAGCTTTTAAGATACATTGAGTCGAATAAAAGACCGAAGTGGTGACTTAAGTACAATTATGACATTTTACCATCGCAGCGTTGCCGATAGATTACCGAGATTGTGCGCATTAGATGGATCGACGTAGACGGGTGCGTTATGTGTAATCACTGAAATAAATGAGAAGTAGGATTTATTTTATTTATAATAGTTTGACACATTTGATATTACAAAATTGTAATGACAGTTCTTAATTTGTTCTCACACCCCGTACATGGGATTTGGTAACTGGAGAAACAATCCTTTTAAGTAAAATCCAGGTTAAAAAACTACACGTTATTATTATATTTAGTCTTCTTTGGACCAGAAGAAATGAATTAGGCACTTGGTAGTGTGGCGGGAGGGTTAGGAGACCTTGAGGCTGCATTGAGGTGGGAGCTGCTATAACTGTGGATGCAGGGCGTCGATCGTAGGCGCCTGCGCGTGAATCCGACGCTCCTGCTGCAAGAGTTGGTGGGCTGCTAGGTCCATCTCCTCCTGAGTCATGTCTAGCGCCTCCTGCATCTCTTTCGACGTATATCGAACGAATTCCGGATCGCAATACTTTCCTAGACCTTGTTCGACCAAAATTCTACCGACGAGGCTTTCCGCCGAACCCACCACCTCGAACGACGTCGGACGACGATCTGCAGGACTTCCGGGCAAAGAATGCGACAGTCTTTCAGACCCCGCATGGCCGTTTGGCTCGCCCGCCGGGACTGAAACTGAACACACGTTAACCGGAGAACTCCATGGCACACACATCGAGCTAAAAAGCTACATCTACCACTAAGGCTATCGCTACACCGGGCTAGCCCGGAAGGACCACCCCCGACAACGAATCTTCACCCATTCTTAATTTCTCTGAACCACTGACCCTGTTTTAATTTTTGCCCCCAATTTTGACAGTTTTCGTGTTGTATGTTCGTTTCAGTGACGTGTACACATTATATTCAGGTCTGATTTAAAAAAATAGTGATTCAAATGGTGTAGTTTTGATTTGATTGATCGATGAAGCGGAATATCAAAATTATCAGGATCAAAAATTAAATAGCATTGCTTAGGTCGCTGCTGGGTTAAACTGCACATGCGCAGTACGCTGTGCATCTTAAAATAGGCTTAAATATTTGGTTCTGTTAAAATGGGATAAGATTGTTCACCGGTACCAGCACTACTTTTCGATAAACGGACTTATTGTCAGGTTGGTGATGAAGTTCGGGGGCGTCCGCGTCGGACTTGCCTGGCTAAGCGCATGCAGAAGATCGACACATGCGGGTCGCTAGCTGTGAGCTGGGGCTAACCTCTGCCATGGAAGGAAGCCCTGTGATTTAGGAGGGAACAACGCGCATGCCGGCCGTCCCCTTCCGAATCCGAGGTCAAAGGTTGGAGCGTGCCGGGAGCGCCGATGACGCTACACTCGTAGGGCAACGGCTCCGGCAAGAAGCCTGCAACTGCCATAGCTTGTGCTTGTGCGAGTTTCAGGCCGCTTGCTATGCGACTAAAGCTCGGTGCGTGTTGCACAGGCGATGGCGTGGCAGTCATGCAACCGCCCCCAAGGTTTCCCAGGCCGCCCAGGCCCAGACGAACGCGTCGCGGCGGAGGAGTCGGAGGCATCAGCTCAGTGTGGTCACCCTGCAGACTAGCACAAACACAACATCACCACATGACCGGTTAGCAATACGAAACCAAAACCAAAACCAACGGTTAAATCAAATCAAACCAGCACACGCTCACACCCGTTTACGCTTACCCTTGTAGTTAGGGTGGAGGAAGCCAGATTTACTGAAAATCAAAATAACGTTGTAGTCATTACTGGCTCCTTCTTTGCTCGTACATTCCTCCCACATTCAACACTTCTAACACGAAGGAGGTTCCAGCTGGCTGCCTTTACACTCGATTTGCGTCATACCCACCAAGGGTGTAGTAGTCCTTTGGCTTGCCGTGATCAGCAGAATGCTCGTACTTTTGCAAAAAGTGAAGGGTGCACGCTTTAGGAGCGGCTTCCAAATGTGAAGATTTTTCCAAACAGCGTTTTGGTATACATGCAGTATCTCGAATTCTAGTGCTATGAAGGACGTCTTTAGATATATACGTAAACAACGGAAGCCAAATTACAACAATCGACTTACGACGTTGCGGGTTTTTTCGGTGCAAATTTTGCAAAACAAACATCTTAGCACAATTTTGAAGTCTACCTGTATTATTGGAAGTTCGACAGGCACTTGCGCTCTGGTAGAAAATTAATAGATAGTCAAACGTGAAAGTGTGTTATATACATAATAATCGTGAAAAATCTAAAATTGGTGCGGCTAAATTTTGATAAATATACAAGGTGCATTTTTTGAGCTAACGACAATGGTTTAATATGGGTTTCGCAGACAGTGAACCTCCCAAGTGCCAAAAAGATGGGGTATAAATAAAAAAAGATAATTTGCAAAGAGGAAAGCCATGTGGACTTACTCTATTACTTGGAAGTTATTTTTATCGGTGTCTCCGTTGTGCAGGTTGCTGAGTGACCGCAGAGGAATTTCCTCCTCGTCTTTGAGGCCTTCTTGATTGTGTAAAGACGTAGCACTAGCCCTATTTTGCACAACGTTCTTTGTCATTGACGTTATGTGGTTCATGCCTTCAGTAACCGTCCTATGAATGGAGTTGTATGGAAGATAATCTACGCTGGAAGCCGGAGTAATTTTAATTTGAGTAGAATTAGCTTTTAGAGACTTGGCCCTATTGAAACTGTGTCCTCTCCGCATTGAAGACCAAACACTACCGAAGAGGGAATGATTTCTCTGCAACGAAATTAAATTAACGATCCGGCTTCGTGACGGCCTTTAGAAAACTCACCCGATGCATTGGTTCTGGATTGTCGTCAACAAGTTCATCTAAATTGCCGGAAATTGCGCGCTTCAGTTCAGGTCCAGCTTCGTGAAGTGTACGTAAACCAGCTTGTAACGTGACTGTGTTGTGGGTTTCCGTGTCGCCTTCTTTCATTTCTTGTTCTTTTCGCTTTTTGAATCTTCTGAAGTAGTCTTGAATGAGGAACGTGGCGTAAAACTTTCCTACTGTAACTTCGTCATCGACTCCTGGCGGGGGCACAACTTGATCAAGCAACTTTGGATTAGTTCTTTTCCAGATTTTTTTGATCACTGCTCTCAATTCTGTGTTGGCGTCGTCGATGTTTCCTTCAGTTTTTATTCGAAGAGAAGTACGAACGACAGCAAATAGAGTCGCGTTGAAAAGAACCGTACCGTCGCTATTTAGTGGCATGTTCATGGAAACTAAACGTTTACACGCAACGCGGTGGGGACACAATTTTCCGAAGCCTAAAGGAGGAGAAATTTTTCGGAGTAAAGTTACCACGTCCAAGTGTTTTATTCTCCCTTTAGCGTCGGGATCGTATTCGCTCCATAACCTTATAAATTCGTCTAGATGATGCGGTCCTAAAATTGACCAGTCCCTCGTCAAATAGTCGAAGTTATCCATAATAACGGCTACGAATAAATTAATAATCTGAAAACTTCAAAGTAAGATCGTGTTGTGTGGTACGAAAGACATCATTACCAAAAATGAACATAGAACATAAAATGATATAAAATATGGATAGGCTATATCTGAACCGCAATTGTCGTCTGGGTTCTGTGCCACTCTTGAATCACATTTTGCGTTTGGGGTGTCTGCACAAGCAAGCATAATATCCTGCCACGCTTCACCTGAACGAGAATAGGATTGCATGGTCGATCGTAAAATTTAAAGACTTACCTGTTGCAGATCTGAATAAAACTAGCACTGCTTGAGAAAACGAACCAAAATTATTGTTTCGATTGATGGATGCACCATCTTCAGAATGAAGATTCTCGATTTTACCAAACATCTAAAATATTTGTTATTACTATACCGTTACGACATACAACTACATATGAAACACCTGCATCCCTATTACGGCGTATATAAAAAACAACATGACAATAAGAAGAGCTACGTAAGGTAGGGCTTGGAAAGACTTGAGGAACGTCCAAAGTAAGGTTCTAATACCTTCACCTTTATTGAGAAGTTTTATAAGTCTCATAACACGAAACAATCTGAAGAAGTTACTCGAAATTTGCAGCTTAGATCCACCAGGCTAGAAGTAACCTTGTAAAAGCAAAGACGACGACTAATCGATTTCAATGTTACTTACGTTTACGTCCTGGTAGACGATATCGATAAAGCTCCCTAACACGATAATGAAATCAAAAACGTTCCAAGCGTCCCCGAAATAATTCTGAAAGTGTCAAATATAGTAGAATAGGAATTTTCGTATGTTCACAGACCGTACCTTAATTCTAAAAGCTGCTAATTTAAATACGAACTCCATTGCGAATATGGCTGTGAATATCATGTTCAGGGTGTCCAAGACTGACTCGTAGGTTTTATTTTGGTCATGATATCTCATAGCCAAAGTTATAGTGTTCGTTAAAATTAACATAAATATAGCATACTCGAAAGGCCTAGAAGTTACGAACCACCATACTTTGTACTGGATGCGATGTTTGGGAATGTATCTTCGAACAGGTTTTGCTTTTAAAGCAAATTCTATGCAGTTGCGTTGGTTTTTATCTAATTCGCAGTTTTTGTATTCTTGTTCTCCTTCATTTTGGAATGTGACGATAACGAAACCAACAAAAATATTAACCATGAAAAAGGCGATAATAATAATGTATATTATATAATATGCAGCTACGATGGGGCGATAATTATGAATTCGTCCGCCATTCTCTTGGTTCGAGTCAATGGAGACGTAAAGTAAATTTGGCCATCCTTCGAAAGTGGACACGGTAAATAAGCTCAGCATGGCTTTGGCTACGTTGTCAAAATGAAAATCGTTGGTTTCCCAATTCCTGTCCTTCACGATTGGTTTGTTGATATCACCTTCTAAATAAATTAAGTAGGTCCCGCTGTAAAAGTGAGAGCAAAGGTCCTTCGAAAAAAGTTCGATAACGATATGCGACAAACTTACTTGCATTCAGCTGGCGTCAATTTGGAGCGATCAGAACACGAAGAAAATTTACCCTAGATTTGTTGAAAAACGATTTAGGAATGTTTTTTTTAATCGTTGAACACATGCATTGGTTGCATTTGAAAAAACGGTAAAAAAACGTGCACGATCAAATGCTATGTGGTTAGTTACAGTGTTACGATGTGTCATCTTTATATTACAAAGTTCGTGCAGTAAGACGTGCACTAAATTATATATTAATGTTGCCTACGTGTTGCGATCACTTGTAGTCATAACTAGTAAACATATTGTAAATATAATATTATATGTAACGCATCTACACGTTCTATTATGTTAGAACTTAACGTCGACATAAACATGTTAACATCATCCGCCTGCAAAATATAATCTACAAGCCGCAGTCTGCAGACATTGACAAAAGTAGGTGATCGGCGTCGCGCAATCTTTAAATAAAAGCCAACGAAAGCTTACCAGCACCACCGGAACATCGCATTATCGTAAAACGCATCGCATTATACATCGCATCTACAGTGCCGACAGATAGGCAGGCTATACAGACAGACAACAGACAAAAATGGTGTGGAGGTGCGCTTGTTTCAAGTGTGAGATCGCCCCCAAGAGCCCGACGAGCTCCCAGAGGAAGTCCCAACATCCTGCTACCCAGCTACGACCAGTACATGCAGATCTACCGTCAGGTGCAGCTAGAAGCATGGAGAATTACCTTAAATAGCTGCACTCCTATCACAGCGAACATGAACTGCAGGAGGTAGGTAACCAGCATGATATTGCCGATCGTCTTAATGGCTACTATCACGCATTTGACTACATACTAGCCATAGGAAGATTCGGCATGAGAGGATGAAACAAACGAAATAGTCAGTAAGTATAGAACAGTAAACAGAGCGAAGGCGTCGGTCGGGCATCGCGCAGCCAGCCGGGACGTCAAATGCACCCAGGGTGACGTGAGGCGCTTTCGTGTGATTCAATAGGACACGACGTAGGGGGGACCGGGGCTGCGGCGGCGGCAGCGGCGACGGTGCCCTTCCCTAGATATGACTACAAGTGTAACTGGAGGCGATCGTTGAGAAGAAGACACGAATAAAGAACCGATGCTCATTGCGGCGTTGGCGCTACAGTACAGAGCGCGTTGATGGGGTGTACACGGCGGACGACGCACAGCACACATCACGCACAGACAGCTTGAGCGGGACATGCGGGTTAATAGGCCTCAAGCCAGGGCGGCTCGGCCCGCGGGTCCCACCACATACAAGGTTAATACTGTGAGAGAGGGCGTTGTTGTAGGGGTACCCATAGGTGCATTTGCTCATGAACAACAACGGACTGCTGGTGCCTACCTTGAATAATTGGACTCCAATTACCGCGAACATGAATTGAAGGAGGCAGGTAACCAGCACTATGTTGCCGATGGTCTTTACCGCAACTATCACACACTGGACTACATGCTAAGAACAGACATACGTCAGAGCTGACAGCTGACAATATCGCGGGCCTGCCTCCACCACTTCTCCGTGATCGAACGTTTAGTGATTGACAGCACCCGTACTGACCGTCTCACCTACCTTCAATCCTTTTGCCCTATTGATCGCTCTCAAAGGGCGAAGTACGCGCAAAACTCGCAAAATCTTCACAACTGACATCGCTCCTTGACTGGAATTACAATTACGCTCATCCTCCAAACCAAACACGGCAAACTCGACTTACCTGTATATTGACACTATTGACACGCACACGACTACTAAGTCTAGCACGTTGAAGGCCGACCGCAAGAAGGCACCGTCGTGCAAGATGCATCCGTAGGAAATTGTTTTCAACAGCAACTCCGCAGAAAATATTGCCGTAAAAATGTAATCGAATATCTTCAAAATCTGCAACAGGTTTCGTATCATCTTATTAATCTGTCCCGTCTTTCATTCGAATTCCCTACATTGCCCATCTCCGAGCCGGCGGTCGGTATCGGTTCCTCCAGGGCCAGGAGCGCCGAAGAGACCATGATGCACACCAAAATCACGTTGCCGAAGACGCTGTGGTTGCACAACCAGTGACAAAACACCCGAAACCTTAAATAAGAGAAAAGAAGTTTATTTATTAAAACTTTCGAGTGGCGCGGATCGTTGAGTGTACATAAAACATTCTTATCTCGGCCTGGTTTCTGGAGGGCTGAAACTGTCTCTACTCCCTAATGCACAACGAGATCTAATCTAGAAACACTCTAAACTATCGGTAAATTGCGGATCGGGCTTTACAGGGTCGCACTACTCAACAAACCAGTGCGGGGCCACACTACAGTGCCGGATCAGGATGCAAGCGACACACTTCAACAAGACCTACGGCACCACTGTCTACGACATTTCACCTGTTCGTAGGAGAAAAAATGAAGAAAGATGATGCTGGAGGAATAGGCAATTTCTGCGAATTGGATTTTATCTCGGACATGCGACGAGGACGTGCACCGACCCTGCTGCTAGTTTCAGCCTCGTCCCCATCTGTAATTGCACATACCGCTCACATTACTATCAGAACTAAACTAACATAGCTGCATGAAGTATACGGGATATATAGCATCATTTCCCGCTTCTGCAACTATGTCCCGTTTTAAGGGGCCTACCTGTTTTTACTAGAAAATATAAAGAAGGCACTGCCTTTTGGGATCGGACGAATTTTCTTTACTATGGTTACTTCAGATAAACGGCGAGGACGGGCGGTATCTCTTGTTACTTCTACTTGATCGTCTGAAAATCATTACCATTGTTTGTCCTAACTACGTACTTCAAACTTCTCTTTCCAAATCACATCCTAGCAATTAAGAAAATCACAAAGTACCTGAAAAAAATCAACCTACCCTGACTGTTTTGTTCCTCTTCGTATTCCTCCTCGTTGTCAATCGTCATTTTGATTTGTGATTCCACCTCTTCGTCGTGCTCAGATCTATACGGTCGGCTACGTGACTCATTATTTCCTTGATACGACACTAACTTACCTCTCTCCGTCGTACTGACCGTCTTCTTCCGTTTCTTCTTCTTCCACGCTATGCTCTTCCTCTTCTTCCTCCACGTTTTCCTCTTCTTCGTGGGGAGTGGGACTCTTCGATTTGTTTTGCGCTTCTTCTTCTTCCTCTTTTTCGATTGCAGTTAGTGACTCCGCATCTGCTAAATTGTCTACGGCGATAGCCAAGAAGACATTAAGCAGTATATCTAGAAAAATTAAGAAAAACCAAAAACGAAAAAAAATTGTTCTGAAAACGTGAACTAAACAGCCAAAGGATACAGTTACCACATATAAATAGGATTATAAAGTAGATGCAAGCTAAGACACCAAAACCGTTTACACCTCCGTACGCTTCAATGCCGTTGTACATAACTGCATTCCAATCTTCACCCGTTAATATCTGTAAAAAAAAACGAATCACTACGTTTTGTTAGATATTGATTGATGTTTTCATACTTGAAACACAGTGAGTAGGCTTTGCCAAAAGCTATCAAAATTGGACCTCGGTTTATCCTGAGTATCATTAAAATTAAATCTTCCTCCAAAAACTTGCATGCCGAGTAAAGCAAAAATAACAATGAACAAGAACAGTAAAAGTAAAAGAGACGCGATTGATTGTATTGAGTTTAACAACGAGGCGACTAAATTTGACAATGATCGCCAATATCTACAACAGACGTGTTAATAAAATGAGGTACGTAAAACGAAGTACTTACTTGGTCACTTTGAACACTCTAAGTAGTCTAACACAACGTAATACAGATATACCTAAAGGAGGCATAACGTTTGTATTTGTTAAAATCATCTCTGCTATACTTCCAATAACAACAAAACAATCAAAACGATTAAATAACGATACGAAATAACCCTGAAAAATCAATTTTTATTTGCGTCACAAACAAGGAAATTAAATCTTACTTGAAAACCTAAACTGTACAATTTCAACAACATTTCCATTGTGAAAAGAGCAATGAAAAACATATTTGTATATTCTAAAAAAAAGATACAATAGGAGTAAAGCCTTGAAGTAAACGTGGTAATTGTATAGTTCTACCTTGAAAAAGATCTAACCATATTGGCTGTTGATAGTGTTCCGTTGCCAAAACACCAGTATTTAAAAATACTAATACGATAATGAGCCAATAAAATGTTTGAGATTTAACAGCTTTCCTGCAGGACCTTCGCATCCTGCGGTTGATTCTCTCGAAATCTTTTTTCCGCTTTTTAAACCACGATTCTTGTTGGACTTCTTCTTCACCTAACTGGTCCGTGGATTCCATTTCGTTTGTTGGATTATTTCTAGCATCTTGGTTTGATTGGTCCTCGCCTTCTGGTTCTATATCTTCAGCCTGAGTTATCCAATCTAAATAACCCTTCAAGTCTTCTTCAATTTGCTGCTTCTCCCTCAGTTTATGAAAATCACCTCGCGCTTTAGCTTTCTCTCTTTCTTTGGAAAACTCACTGAAACGGTTTTATTAATCCGGAGAGAAAGTTTTAACGAGTGTTTGTTACCCGCTCAAGACACCGAGAATTAAATTCATTACAAAAAATGCACCTAATATAACCATAGATACAAAGTATGACCACTGCCACGTTCTGCCCATCGCATCTTGAATCTAAAATTTTAATGAGTAACGAAAATTCGGGCACATGCGAGGATACGAACATTATAAAGCACATCGGTCCAGCCTTCCAGTGTTATACATTGGAATACAGTCAACATCGATAATCCGAAATTATCAAAGTTGGTGATTCCAGCATTGGGTCCATCCCAGGTCCCATTAATACCTGGTAAAAATTCACTACATATAAATTCTTCCGTACAATTAAATCCACTAGCACCGCAAGGATGAGGGTCGTCCACTATCTCTTCTATAATTTGTGAGAAATGTAGAATTTTGTTTAACACGTATCGTACAAGTACCTGTTTTTGCATTATAACAAGTATTATGCATTTTTCCTGAGAATAATTCTAAACCAATAATCGCGTAAATTATTATAACAAACAATACTAACAGAGCAATATGTAATAAAGGCACCATGGCACGAAGAATCGAGTTCAATACAACTTGTAGACCTAGAAGTCGATCATAGGGTACGGGTTCTAAATTTTTATGTTTGAAAACTTACTGGGAACACCAGAGACGAGCCTTAAAGGTCGTAGAACTCTAAAGGCTCTCAGAGCTTTAACGTCAAAACTATCTCCTATAAGTGTTGATAATGCTGTACTTATCATACTAGAAATGTGATCGTTTAGAAGGCATAGTATTGAAAAAAAGTGTACGGATTACCCTATCACTACAATTGTAAAATCTAGTAAGTTCCATCCATTCCGAAGGTAAGCACCTTGATGCATCAAAAAACCATAAGCTATTATCTTCATTATACATTCAACCGTGAAAATTACTAAAAATATATATTCAATCTTTTCCTGTAAGTAGAGTTTGAAGTAAGCCGTAATCTAACTGAAGAAGGAGTGTATTTACCAATATCCCATTTGTTACGTTTGAGTCGCCATTGGGGAAAGGTGTGTAAACAGCTAAGGCAACACAGTTCGCGAAAATTGTAAGTAAAATTAAATATTCAAAAGGTCTGTATTTGGTTAAGGAAAACTCGTCCATAAAGCAGGTGGTGGAAAAACCCGCGTCAGACGAATGTCTTCATAATTGCTGCCCCTATTTCCCGAGTATCTCCTTATTAGGCAAACGCGCGGAAATATCTGTTTGACTGGATAATCCTCGACAAAGTGCCTTTTCGGGCCACGTCGGGGACAATTAGGCACGTTATGATGCATGGGAGTTGTGTTGTGAAGTGAGTAATCCGCGGAAGAAGATAAGAGTAAAACTGTGTTCTGAAATATTAAGTGTGTTTTGAAAGGATACTTCCACTCGACGACGTCAATGCAGAGTTTCCTGATGGGGTTCTTGAGGTAAAGACAGAAGAGGGCGCGTTGCGGTCTATCCGGGGGCGGCTTGCCGCCGCGGCGCACAGGCCGCTTGGGGGCAGTCGTCGTGCGGGCCCCCGTTTGTCCCGGGCTCGTCACGCCCGCCCCCACAGTGCTCATCGCGGTCGCTGTCGCACTAATCGGCCCTTGCCATGCGCAACCTGTGTATGGCGGCTGCACGGACCACAGACGGTTGTTGGCGGACTCTCGAAGTTCATATTGCAGTCCTGAAAAAATCCCCCATGTCTTACAACAACGAATACCGCCGCCAGTCGCCGGCTCTGCCACTCCCAGCCAAACAAACAAGCGAGCTGTATGGCTCACGCATACCTATGACGCGAATAAAGCAAGCAAAGCATACAACACTGACAGTTGTGACATGACAGGTGCCACGAAACCTTGAAAACGTCTCAGTAATGAAATTACTCCAGTAGCAGAAGCTAGCTGTCAACTCCACACTGCGAACTTTAACACGATACACCGAGCATTTTTGATACGTCACTATGATTTTCGACTGTCAACTTCGTTAAAATTTCAGTACGGTGGGTCAACAACTCAGTTTTTGTCACCGCGAGGACAAAAAATATACAGAGTTTGGTATACGTTTACGTATCGGAAGCGTCACCCCTGACATTAAATTAAGTCGACCTTGAAGTTTGGACGCTCCTGTAAGTTGCTACACCTCTTATTTATTTGAGGGTGCTCGCGAAGCCGCCATAAATCAAATAGTATGGTAGGACCCTTCATTATTCCAGCTCAAGTTGAATCCGGAAAGGTTAAAGTTTGTCGTTGTGTCGAATTTCGATGAGTCGCTGCACAATTAGAATGCACTCGGTGTGCAGAATTGGGTCATTCGACCATCTTGAGCTCGTCTTTTCATCTATTGACATGGTCTAGAAACGCGCAGCTGTGATTTATATGATTCGCCGCCACCAGGTGGAACGCGGCCTAAATCCCCTAAACTTGATTGTTTTAATTTAACACACTAAACCCTTCTTGACAGCGGAAACTCGTAAGAACCAAAGTTGCCCCATTTATTATCAATTTTGAAAAAGCTGAGTTTCGCTCAAACTGAGATCGTTCGGGAGTACTCTTGAAACTTATAAACTATTTACATTAATCAAATTTTCTTTAGACTCGAAATAAGGTTAGTTAAGTTTGTTCTGAGTGGGGCGGATGTTTATCTAAATTAATTATTCCTTGTGATTAACTTTATCTACAGCCATGTATTTTACATCGCGTGATAAAGAAAATTTGGGACCGACTCATCATTGGGCGTGAAGTCGTAGGTCCGTGGTAAATTCAGGTTACTGTTATCGAACGAGTTAACAGCATTTATCGGGCACCATTTTTCATAATCGGACGTACGATTTTTCGCCTGCGGATGATTCGATTACGTTTTTTTATTACACGGCACAGGCTTGGGTTCTTTGTTGTTGTAAGTACGTTATGTTCGTGACGTCGTGGAAAAAATTAATGAACAATAATAACCTGAGGTATATACTTATTACTTACGCATGTTGACTTTTAATTAAGGATCCATTGAGAACGTAAACCTGTCAGGTATTTCGAAAAGCGAGTTTCCGTTTACAGAGTTTCTTTTTGAGTTCGGAATCAATTTCCAGTTGCTGGCTGCAAGTTATCGATCAGTAGGGTCGTTATTGCGTGTGCTATATACGACTTTTATTGTAAGTGGTATTTGCAATATGAAATTTTTATTGCATATAAGATACAAAGAATAACATCCTTAAATTACGCCCATCAAGAATTCCTTGCCGCGAAATTCTCCCGTTTAATCTCAGAAGTTTAATTTTTAATTTAACTTTATACGGTTATACGAGCCTAAATTATTGACTCAGTGAAAACAACACTTGCTTATTACGCAATCCAATTTTAAGGAGAAAAAAAATATCATTCATCTTACTTTATATCCGTAAAGATCTGAAACCTTTTTAAGCGAGAGTTTTCAATTTCTTCGGAAATATATAGCCCTGGAGTAAATTTTATTGCATATTAAATTTGATATAAGTCAAATTTGTCACCTGACTGAAATAACATTACAGAAAATGATCCTGTAATTTCTCAACAAAAAATTCCCCGCGTTTATATTTTTCATCGCATTTATTTTTATATCCGGCTTTACTTATGAAATGAGGGGTTCGAATAGAACCATTATATCGTTTATTCCGTATTGATCAAGCCAATTTCGGTTCAAAGTTTTAAAAAGGATGCAATCTTCTCTTAGAAAGTGAATTTAACGTTTTCCTTTTTGATACGACGCGAGGGGAGTTTTAGGATCGAGAAAGAAAAGCGAATAAACAATTTCGCAACCCTTTACAACACCTTCGGCAGACGGTAAATTTTAGTAAAAATCATCTCGAAGATGAGGGATAAAACAGACGCGAGGAAGCGGGGGTGTGAGTCGTGACAAAAAACAACGCAATTCGTACGAGTATACATGGAAAAATAAAGTTGGTGTCAATCGAAAGTATTTCGTCTTAATCGAGATCTTTATTCAAATCTGGATACCAATTAAAATTACAATCGCCTTTCACGCGGATGAATTTATTCGAATCGAAGTTCGACTCCGAAACGTGATGAAAACTGTTTTTATTTAAAATCAATCGAAGGGATAGATTTATATGAAAATTTAATATTGACTGAGATTTACTGGGGCCAGTGTTTGCAAAATTTATTCAATTATATCCGAAGCATTTCGATAAAGGGTCGTCTTCAAAAGGATAGCAAAGTAAATATATTTCAATTTTCACGTTTTTGTGTAACTTGCATTTTAAATGGTGTTCCGTAAAATTGAAATCGAATGGTTCGGATGGGTCGGCCGACTATGGATTTTCAATCTGTCGAACCACTAATAGCGACTCTTGATGAGGAGCTTATCTTTTAGTATTTTCCATAGCGAGATCAATTTTCGTACGTGGAATCCAATTTTCTTGATAAGTTTGACTGACACCGCGTAATGAAATTAGATCATGATTGTGTCTTGGTTCATTTCGGAAAATATATGGGGAAATTTAATTAAATAGTGTTCTAGAAGTTGTGCGTTCCCGAGATTCCGCCATATTCATCCGTTGAAGGTTAATGTGTGAGGAATTTTTCTTTCGAGAGAGACAGCGAGAGAGAGAAAAAAAAAGCAAGGGCATTCGCCTTATTTGCATGCTGCTTGCAATAAATTACGAGTTTGGAATTGCAGTCGTTCTCATCAAATTCTGTTAAATTGGATTACGCAACGCGAAGAGTCAGAAACAAACTTTAATTGTTTAGACACTTACTCGTGGCTTTGTAATTTTCTGAGTCGCGAAACTGAAAACATCATTTGAAGCTTGTTTCGCAGAAATTAATGTTTGTGTAAAACAAATACTGGAAATTAGCACCGAGAAAGTAAATATGTAAGTTTGAAATTTGGAATTAAATCGCGAAATAAGGGTACTGCTTAAGAATAAATAAGGTCATCAAGTTGCTCGATTGCTGAGGAGGGTGGTATTAATGAACTTTACTTATTGGCGAACTTCAAGTTGAGCAATCTTATTAAAGCTTGTCACAAGTTGGAAAGTCGAAGTTTGCTAATAGTAGCCGTGTACAGGTTTCGGCGAAAAATTTTCGCAGCCCGTAAAAAATGGGTAATGTATTATGTATAAGTTGGAAGTTTTAGGAAAGCTCTTTGTTGCGCTGGAGCTGCACTGACACACCCTACGCAGACGCATAGATAAATAACACTCAACACCTATGTACTTAATTACACTAGAAAAATCCGAATCGTCGATCGTACGAACCGACCGAGGGATTAGCTCCTTCGAGCGAAAGCAATATATTTTTCTTTAATAAATCGCGTCCTCAGAAGTGTGAAATTGAAAATTCTAGTAGATAAGTTCGGGTTCGAGGACATAATCCCGGGCGTGCAATTTTTACAGCTTGTTAAAAACGGGCGCGAACCTCGTTATCTCTCCTAAAATAATAAATTCAATTATCAATACTTTGGAGGATTTATCTGAGTTTTCATCATCGCCTCCAGGTGAATTTCATCAAAATCAAGTTAAAATTTAAGAATTCTCTCATTACGTCGTAATTAAGACGCGACCTTTTCAACTTTTAATTACTTTTGAGCTTGTTTGAGAGCAATCAATTCGATAGAGGCGGTTACATTTGATTGTGCCTTTTAGCAATGATACAATCAAATTCTGGCCGAAACTGATAGCGGCGCAATTTTTCGAAAGACAATGGAGGGCCGGAGATTTTGAAGGACCTATTCACAAGAAAAACAAAAGAAAATTGAAGTGGCACCACGATAGAAAAAATAAAATAGCGTTTGGTCGAGCCAAATCCCGAGATTTAGTCTTTGAAATAAACCCGAAAGAAAACAATTTGTGCCTGGCGGAATACAAACAATTAAATCGTTTTACTTATTTTCGCGAAATCTCCGTAGTTTAATTATTTCTCTAGAAAATATTTAAATTGAGGGGTGCTTAAGCCCAGACCGATGCCAGTTCTATTATAGTGATGATGGTAACGGCAAGAAGTGCGACGATAAAAGAAATGGAATAAAGTTTTTCACGCTTCCTTCATTTTAATTAAGACCGTTCTTCCAGTCTTTCGGTTCTGATTTCGCCGGCACTTATTTCGATTCCGCACAAGTTAGGCGAGGTTAGGTAACTTAACTTAACTTACGAATGTGGTGTTAATTTACATATGGTGATGAGTAGAGTGAAGTGGTGATGGTGAGGCAATTAGCGTGGCACGAGAAGGAACAATAACTCCCATGACAGCTAATTAAGACTAATGCTTTAAAATAACTCCAATCAATGAGGCTAATGAAATGATTAATTCGAATGAGACATCTCACTGCCTACCTCATCTTCCGATCCCGCTAAATCCTCGATCTCACTCAAACATCTTCAGAAAATTCATAATTAAGCGGAACATTTCGACCGAGTTTGGGTGAAACGCGGAACGAGTACTTTCTCTAATTTGAACAGGACACAGACTGCTCTTGTTTATTCGGCGTCAACAACGGCGCCGCATCTCGACGCTCAACGTCTATGTATTGTGTAATAGAACGGGCATGCGCCATAGCGCTTCAAAACCAAATTTTCATTTAATCTCACATTATCCTCGAATTTTTTGTTTGATTAAATTTTTCATTTTGATTGAATTTTATGAACCCTCACCGCCCCGAACCTGAATTTACATAAATCGCCATTGCTCCCGCTGA